AATTAAAGCCTTGAAATAATTCTGACAGAATAGAAAATGACCTCTTCGTATATTATGTTCTCCTGGTAGCCCAACACCTTTTACGTAACTGTGTCGACAAGTAACAGGTGTAGTATTAGGAAAAGAAACACCTCCTCGCACATCATATGATCCCGATACAGAATGGCAAATTTTTAAATCGAAATTAAGCTTTGAAATAACTCTCATAGTGATAGAAAAAGACCTCTTCGTGAATTCTGTTCTCCTAGTAGCAAGACACCTTTTACTTAAGTTTGTCTACCAAGAACAAGTGTATTTGGGCCTGAAAGACCTCCTTTCACGTTATATCTTCGTGATACCTACCAAATTTGTAAGTGTTTTCGGCAAAGTGCGAAGGACCAGGTGCTTATTGTAATGTACTGTAATCTTCCTATCAGTTTTGTTATTAGGGAGGAAAATAAAGTACAACTTCTGTAAATAATTTTTATATTGAAAACTGTACAAACAAAATAAACGCATATTCTGTTCCGAGTGAATCTTGAGAGTAAATGCAGCCCATGGTAAGCTCAGAAATCTGGTATCAGGAGTGAGGTTAGGTTAGCGTGCTAGTTAGGTTAGCTCAGAAATCTGGTATCAGGAGAATATAATGTGCGAGGAGATCGAAGGTTAAAATAAAATTTAAGTGAGGTTAGGTTAGCGTGCTAGTTAGGTTAGCTCAGAAATCTGGTATCAGGAGAATATAATGTGCGAGGAGATCGAAGGTTAAAATAAAATTTAAGTGAGGTTAGGTTAGCGTGCTAGTTAGGTTAGCTCAGAAATCTGGTATCAGGAGAATATAATGTGCGAGGAGATCGAAGGTTAAAATAAAATTTTAGTGAGGTTAGGTTAGCGTGCTAGTTAGGTTAGCTCAGATTAGTTTGGGCTTTTTAAATTTTTACAAATCTTGTATCTAACCTAACGCACATGGAACTTAGCTCTCAAATGTCCTTAAAATGAACACCCAATTAAAATTTTTATTTATTGCGGCGTACTCTTATGGCGATTTAACTCGTATATTGCGAACAGATACTTTATTAAAATTGTCAAAAAATCTGTACGGACGGCCGTTCGTTCACTCGCCCTGTCCTATGGCAATCCAAAAACGCTGACGAAAAGGAATAGGCTATAATACAGGAGCGAAAAGTTTAATTTTCGAGTTTCGTGGTTTACTTCTTTAACAGTGAAAGGCACAAATCTCAAAATGTTTATAGCCTTGCCTGAGTTTTTGGTAATATTAAAATAATCCAAGCAGAATACATTGTTGTGACATCTGTCCTTATTATTGCGGACTAACATTTTATCGATAAATGCAGGACACTTTATTACCCACATTATTTTAGTTGCAACCTACAGCTCAAAGATGTCACCACACTATTTTTTTTTATATACTTTATGAAACTAACGTTAGATGTCAGAGCGAGTTTTTTAACCACTTTAACCATAGATATATCAAAGAGTATCTAAGTATTCTTTGGATATTTGAAGATTTAACCTCAAAATGCATAAATGTTTGTTTATTTTATAATCAAAAATAAAACTTTGTTATCATTCCTTTCTCGCTTACAGGTTTAAATTGTGGAACTGGCGGCTACTGGGAGTGACAGGAAAGCGGCAGACTCGGGCATTGCGGAAAATGATACTGATTTCTCTGGGTCGTCCGATCGGTAGACTGGTAGTTCTCGATGGGTGAGAAAAGTTAGCATTGAATTTGGACAACACAAATTGAAAAGGGAAAGGCTTTGTAACCAAAACAGGAGGACACGTTGGAGAACTCGCAGAAAACCCATTCAAACACAAGTCAAACTTCTCAACGTTAAAATCGCAACGATTACATGATTGCAGCAGCTGCCGATGGTGCGAAGCTATTCGTTAAACAATTGAGCCTTGAGTTCATTCGACAGAACTAAAGTTATAAAAACGGTAGTGAAATTGGCAACGAAACGGAGCGAGAGTGTTACGCAGTTTGCAAGTACCCAAAAATGTGTTGTTTGTGCGATCTTCTTGTGAAAGTTTTTGTAAAATGGTTCTGTATTGAAATTTTCTTCCAAGTGCTTTAAATAAACTCCCATGCATAAGAAGTTACGAATTGCAAAAACAAATATTCGTTTTCTTTTCATTGAGCATGATGTGTTGCCTACAAACCAGGCTACACAAATATCGAGTACCCATATTGAAACTTCGGGACTTGCTTGATTATCCCCAATTAAGTACATGAAGGACACCGTATTGAGATAAGTGCTATTGCTACCCTCTGCCGAAATGTTACAAAATAATAATCAAAACGAGTCCCGTTTTTGAATAAAGGATTTACATTTGAAAACGTAACTTTTCGACATCAAACGTTAATTTAATGAACTCGCAGCTCGTGTGTTAAAGGAAATCTGTTCCCTAAGCTCAAACAACTAATATAATGGTAATATAGAGGTGCCCTACATTTATTGGTAACATCTGAATCTGACTTAATTACGCCAGATGACGGGACGATATTTAAGATCATCAACTATTAATTATGGAATAAACTAAAATTATTCAATGACCGTAGTCAATAAACAAAGGTTACATATCATTTGATGTAGGTGTTCAGGCTCTGGTCGTTTTGTATGCTAAAGGCCAAAATGGACTAACTGAGCCAACGGTCGGATACGACAGAAAAAACTTGATAAATATATAGCCTGGTTTGTAGGCAACACATCATACTCAATGATCGGAAAACTAATTTTCTACTGTTATTGGTAATTTCTTGCACGGGATTAGAACATTCGACACTGGTACGATTTACAATTTTTACTCGAAGTTCGCAAAAAGAACAATCCATTTTTCGTCCTTGCAAACTACGTAACACCTTTGCCCCGTTCCACTACCGTTTTTGTATCGGTAGTTCTATCGAATGATTCCTCGAAGCTAAATTTTTTTTAAAATAGCTTCGCACCATCTGCGGCTGCTGCAAACATGTGAACGCTTCGATTTTAACGTTGAGATGTTTGAACCGTTTCTCCACCGTGTCCGCTTGTTTGGATTACAAATTGTGTTGTCTGAATTCAATGCTAATGTTTCTCATCCATCGAGAACTACATGTCTTCCGATCCGATGACCAAGAGCGATCAGTTTCATTTTCCTCAAAAGTCTGCCGCTTTCCTGTCACTCCCAGTAGTTGCCTAATTTAAACCTGTAAGAACGAAAGGAGCGATAATAAAGTTCATTTTTTGATTAAAAAAATAAACAAACTTTTATTTGTACATTTGAGGTTAATTGTTACAGAGTTGTAATTGTGAATGTATCTATGGTTACTGTATGTAAAAAAAACGCTCTGGCATCTAACGTTGGTTTCATGAATTATATTTAAAAAATTGTGTGGCGACATCTTTCAGAAATAGGTGTAATTAAAATAATGGTAATAATAAAGTATCCTGCATTTATCGATAAAATGTTAGTCTTCATTAATAATGATAGATGTCAGGACCATGCTTTTTGCTTTGAATATTTAATTATTTACAAAAAAAAACACGCATAACTATAATTTTTTGGGTTTTGTGCCCACCCCTGTCATTGGAGTAGAGCCATGAAACTCGAAAACTAAACACTTCGTTCCTGTATTACAGCCTGATTATTAGGTGTTATAGCGTTTTTGGATTGTCATTGAAAAGGCCGGATGAACGGACCGCATCCCTACAGATTTTTTGACGATTTTGGTAAAAGTATCTGCTTGCAATACACGAACTAAATCGCCAAAAGAGTATGCCGCAATAAATAATTATTTTAAATGAGAGTTAAGTTTCATGTGAGTTAGGTTAGATCTTGTGAGGGAAGGTAAAGTTCCCTGATAGTGAGGTTAGCCATTCCTTGAATCACCTCCTCGAATATCATATTCTCCTGATACAAGATTTGTAACAATTTAAAACGCCCAAACTAATCTGACCTAACCTAACTAGCACTCTAACCTAACCTAACCTAACCTTCATTCATCTCCTCGCACATTATATTCTCCTGATACAAGATTTCTGAGCTAACCTAACTAGCACGCTAAACTAACCCCACTAAAATTTTATTTTAACTTTCAATCTCTTCGCACATTATATTCTCCTGATACCAGATTTCTGAGCTAACCTAACTACCACTCTAACCTAACCTCACTAATATTTTATTTTAACCTTAAATCTCCTCGCACATTATATTCTCCTGATACAAGAGTCCTGGGCTAACCTAACTACCACTCTAACCTAACCTCACTTTCTCTAACCTACCCGTCAATCACCTCCTTGCATATTATATTCTCCTGATACAAGATTTCTTACCAAACCTAAATGGGAAAAGACACGCAGCGCGCAACTGGTATCTCTTCCACACAGCCGTGAAGGATCAACCTCAACGGAGCGGAGGTTGTGGTCAGTGTTTGCTCTGCTCCACCCACCCAGTACAACTCATCCGAAAAACTGTCACAGCCGTCATGTGGAGGCCCTTCTGGGTCTGCCTCGCTCGTTAGAGGGCACTCGCATCCTTGTGTCTGAAAAATAGTAGAGGTATTGAGGTGGGCCACTCTCGAATTCTGAGTGAGGCGATTGCCTATCCTAAAAGGATGATCGGTCCCTTTTGAAGGTATCACAAGAGTTCTGGATTGTTCAGAGTTTTGATTGAGACGTCTAATCGAAAAAGTACGAATCGTTTTGGATTCTACGCACCAAAATTAATAAGAAAAAGTTTTTTCCCGAGAAATTTTGGTGTAGTCAATTTTTGGTAAGAAAGGAAGGTTATACACTGCTTTTTTTTGAGGCCCGAAAAAAAAATGTCTCAGATCGACCCGGAAAAAAAATTTTCTTATAGAATGTGGCCTGTAGAATCCATAATTTCAAACAGTTCCAAGATTGGGCTACTAGATCAAAAGTTACAGCCCTTTTAAATTTTCTTTCGAAATTGGTTTCTAAACAAAAACATTTTTTCCTGCAATATTTCCAGTCCCTCACATCGACGAACCAACGGAAATAAGCTAAGAAAAGCTAGATTTTATTCCATATCACAAACACCCATCAAAACATCCCTTAATTTTACTGTCATATTAAAGAATTAATTCGTCTGACTATTCTGACTTAAATTTAGGTTGAAACAAGACTTTTCGAATGTACTTGGTAATAATTCGTATGGATATATAAGTGACAGTTAGGAATAGTACAATTACTAAAAGTAGAACCGCAATTACGTCCAAAAGTAGGTACTGACACCAAGAAATATGCCTCAAGGGGCTTTGAAAATGTGTTGCTCCCTTATGCCGTATGACGTACTCCACCCACCACACAGCCAGCTCCAATGCTCCAATCGGTTGATCTAGAGCCAAACGGGAGGCCTCCCGTACCTTTGACCTGTACCTACATGGAACCAAACGGTACTCTTATTCTACACCAGCAGCTACTTACGTTGGATTTTCGATTACCTCCACGACCGCCTGCTTGAGTGCCCCCTTTTCCAAACCCCAAATATTTACGTAAAGTCCGAACCCTTTTCGCACCATTTTCTGTACGTTCCCCGGCTGGTCGGCGAACACCGGCATACCTACCATCGGCACCCCTTCAAAGATGGCCTCCTCCATCGACTGTAAGCCTCCCTGTGTTATGAACAGTTTTATGTTGGGATGCTCTGAAGTTACAAGGTTTAAAGTCGGTTTCGTTGCACAGAGCGCTTACTCAAAACGTCGGTTTGGGGAAACCACCTCGAAATGATTACGTTCTCCGGTTTCTTCGGCAGATCGTCTAGCTCAAACTTCCACAGTATCCGATAGGGAAGCTCGGCAAATGCCTCCAAGAGCACCTCCCTCGTTTGTGGTGGGAGGTCTTTGCTTTTCACGTTCGAACCTAAGCTGAAGTAGATAAAGCCGTCCGTGGAGGTGTCGAGGATTGTTTTCAGTAGCTGTAAGTGAGGGATGATCAAACTGCACACGTGACTTTCATGTACCTCTGCTAAAGGTTTCGGTGGAGCCCTGTTAATACCCCCAACTTGAACTACGGTCGGCACCATAGGACGTGAACGGCCCAAAACCGAATTCGTGTTCACAATCATCAAGCTGGTGTTTGCGACATGTTCATGTACGGTCCCGTAGCCCTTCCCAAAGTATCTCTCGATTGCCACGTTTTGTATTGGATGTACGTAGAAATCAGTTACCAGTTGCATAAAGAGTTGGTACACAAGGGAAATTACACGTTCTGGTAGTGTTTCGGCTTTGTCAAATGGCAACAGTACATCCGGATACAAAACGGGGTGCGTTGGCACCCCCATGTAATTGTTTAAGGTTTCTATGGCAGGCAACGAGGTAAACCCGACAAGAGGGCACTCAAACCGTTTCGCAAAGGCAACGGCGGGCGCCATCATGGACTCCAACAGAAACACGTCGAACTCCATCGAGGGGTTGTTCAGCAAGTCTTGTACGAAAGGATGACGCATCTGGTGGTCCATCACATCGTTGAACGTATCGATATAGATGCGCATAGACGTAAACGGGTTAACTTCCGAAGTTAAAACCTTTGAGAGACCTCTGCTCATTACTTCGTAACTCGAACTCAGGTCAATTTCAGTTAAGTTGGTTAGGGCTGGATCGTTCATTGGGTGCGTCGTTAATAAAGTGACGTTGTGTCCTCGTAAGGACAACTCTCGCCATAGAGGGCGAAACACTACCTGATGACTGTAGGAGGGCGTAACAACGTACGCCAGAATGCGACTCCCAAACGCCAAATTTGGTATTACCAAGAGGATGAACGTCTGTGCGAGTAACTGGCGGATCACTTCTTGGGTTAAGACCATCATGAAGTCATACACTTTGATTGTCTTTGATAAACACCTGAAAAAATGATAACGATCAGGCTAGAAGATTGTTATTTCTCACTAACGCGACTTACCATGAACTTGACACCGTGGTCCGTTATCTACTACAGTAAACCATCTACTTAATGATTATTGGTTACTATCTAATAATATCGTTTTGACGAGAAAAACAGTGTACGCACTGTTGCCGATCCTATTTGCGGCTTAAGTTTGTTGAAAAGCGATTCAATTCATGCCAATTCATATTCAGAATCCCACCGACTTGTCAGCGCAATCATTTCGTCAGTCAAGGTGCTGTGTGGGAATTGTTATAATTAATTCAGCCAACAATTCGATATTCCCCGTTGTCAAGGATATTTTGGCAGGGTTTCCTTTGATGGTGGGCCAGATAAATGCCAGAAAATGCTTGAATCGTTCAGATGATACAAGCATGAAATTTGGTATGAAAACGGTGGCCACTTAAGAAATTCAAGATGGTCGCCGTTTTTCAAGATGGCGGACAGATAAAACAATCTATAATGGTATAAAACAATACTCTTATCGAAGCGTTCATACCAAACTTCATGGTAGTAGGTATCAATATGTGTCGCCATCTTGGAAAACGGCGTCAATATAAGTGGCCAACGTTTTTATATGAAACAGTGCCCTTATAGTGACATATGGCAAATTTCATGTTTGTATAATCATCTGAACAAATTGGATGTACATTAAGTATGTAACGGGAGCCCCATTTTGCAGTTTAATTTTTTCCCAAATTTTACAGATTAATTCACTCTATTAACATTCGATCAATCATCGTGGTAATTGTTTCAAATTCTAACCAATCAGATGATTTGTTAATTGATTAAAAGTTAGGTTATGCGTAAAATCTAAAATGTTTGTGAAATTTATTGTGTTGTATCTCCGTAAAAAGCACACGATCTTCATTTTAAAATCATGGTAATTTTATCTTTAATTCACTCAAGCTTTGTTGCCTCTTGGATAAAACTCTCCATCCAATGTAAAGTTGTTTCTTTTTGCCGAGAATTGCAGTAGAAACAAACGATGCTGCCTCGCTATTGGTTTAACATAGACGCGAGACTCGAAAGTTGCGTTGGTTCCATTATAGTTATTCCGTATAAATACCTAAACGCACACGAGCCGAAGGGAGATGCGTAGTGTCTGTAAAGGTGTACATCTTGTCCGCTGGAATTTAATAGTCACAGTTGCAGTAACGAAATTAATTAAAAATAAATAATCAGTGGTCAAAAGAATGAAAATATTTGATAGGTATAGAACATAAACAATAATCGACGTCACAATCAAGAGTGGTTTAATAAATGATCTCAAAAATATGACAAATAGGACACTGTAATATAGATCTGCAATGTCAGCATTTAAATTTAAATCAATTTTATTAAAAAGAAAATCAACACGTAGTCAGAGAAATATTAATATTAAAACAGGCTTCCGCGGAACACAACGGAGCTATAATCGTTAAATGAATCTCAAACAAAGGTAGTAATGAAAATTCGATGGTATCGAAAACCAGTATGCAATCAAACGTTATATCAAGGAGTCGTCGAAAATAAAAGAAATTATTTTTGAATTTCAGGTCTCAACCTTTTGAGCTCAAATGGGCGCGTTCTGCCTGATCTGTAACAGATAACAACACAAACAAACAAGCAAACAAGAGGAGTAGTGAATAACGCGGTACATAACAGATTGTGTAAGACCGACGCTGTAATGTAAAATTTCATTTACAGCAAGTTGAATTGACAAAATGGGTGGAACCTCCCAATGCGCAATATTGAGAAAATCCAAAATTCTGCGGTTTCTAGTCAGGAATATCAGTGTAGAAAGCAATAATCAGTTTGGTAATAATAAGGAAAAGAGTAAACCAGAAATAAGAAACCGACAACGGCCTTAGAACTTGTAAAATATATCCGAAAACAGCGTCAGCGAAATCTCGAAAGCAAAATAACAAGAAAAAACTTCACCAAACTTATACAGCCATATAAATAAAGGTGGAGAAAACGAGTGTCGATTTGTACAAAGAAGTACGTGCGCCGAAAAAAAACTCTGCACGATCTCCGTCGGTGAAACAAACAACTAGAGTAATAAGAAATTTATAACACTTGAATGACCACTAATGGCAAAAATAATGAACTAAGTAAATGAACTTTACTACAGAATAACTTACATCTTTCAACTAGTGCATTACAAAAGAATACCTAGATGGCGTAAATACCAGTTCACGGTTACTCTCAAGTTGTAGGAATTTATATTACCCTGACATCCATGTGTTAAACTGCAGTATCTTATCAAGACACCGGTATACACGATAGCTACACGAAAACAAGATCCGCATCTAATCAACCTGTAATCTCGACGCCTGGACATAGGTAAGGAGCGAAATCATTGGAACCACTACAATAGCCTACTGGAATTAAAATAAGTAGTACCTAATTAATTGGATATCTTCTCTTAAAGGAACATTTCAAGGACAGCCGCCTTCAACTTTTTTAACGTCTGTCAATATATGATCGACTATGAACGAGTCATTATTTTTTGTGAGCACGCTGATCTCCTTCAGATGCCGTTGTGCTTTGTCGACGTAATCACAAACCTTTTTACTTTTACAACCCGTTTTCAGAAAACGCAGTGCAGTGCGCTTCGATTTTAAGTAAAGGGGACTTGTGGTACGCTTTCTGAATCACCACGTAGTTAGTTATTACAAACTTTCATTAATATTGCGCGTATTCATATTATTGAGCTGGCGAGGATGGTGATCAATGCTGAGGGTGCCACTGCTGGAATGCTGTTAAAGGCAAGGAAAGGAACCTGTTGCAGCCAGAACCAAGCTGATTGTATTGCTCGATCCCTCATAATTCATCTACATTCGGCAAGCGAAAAATGCCAAAGAAATTTGGGATAGTCTTCAGGAAGAATTTGAAAATTTTGGATTAACTAGAAAATTTGGTCTCCTACGCAAGCTTGTAACAATTGCTCATCGATGGAGAAATTTGTAAACATAATCGAGGTAGCTGCAACTAAGCTAAGCAGTGTTGGTTTGTAAGTTAAGGAACAATGGATTGAAACATTAATATTGAGTGGTCTTCCAGATAATTATCAACCAATGATTATGGGCACTGAGAGTTCAGGTATAGAAGTTACCGGGGACTATGTCAAGACAATGTTACTTCAGTATGTACGAGTAAATTTCAGTGATAATCAAGGGAGTGCATTTTGGGGAAACAAAGGTGTGGTGACTACAATGAAAGTGTTATAGATGTCATGAAATCGGACATTACAAGTTCAATTGTCCTAAAAAGACGCTTAATATGAAGAGAACTGACAGCAGGAACATATTTTGTGCTATATCGGCATTGAGGTGTCCAAAAAAATTTCATTTTTGGAGGAAATTTCATTTGCTTTTGATTGTTGGCGATTTCTCGAAAAAAGTGTTTGGGTATTTATCAAATGCAAAAGTTTGGTTCCAAACAAAATTGAACATTTCAAGGAGAAAAACAAAAACGTGTCAGATAAAAACTTCACTTCATGATTATTATTGTTGTTTTGGTAATAAACTTATTAATTTACATTGACATCCCAAGCACCTTTCTACGGCCTCGTGATGGTGGAAGATTATTGAAGAATATACAAATTTCAGTAACTCTAAATGCAAACTCTCCCCGTTTATTGGGGCAATGTAACCTGCAATATATTTCTTTGGGGTCGAACCTTCAGGAGCCAAATTTTTACTGGGGGAGATACCTGGTAATCAGTTTTGAACAACATCCCCGTAGAGTGAACTTTGATGTGACTTGATACGAGATTTTGGAATGCGATGTCCGAAACAGAATAGCTTTCCCTTTCATCGAGTGTATTTGACCAATCGCATGATTGATCAACCTGTTGTAATGGTCATAAAAAAATTTGCAGTATCACATTCTGATCTCCGATTTTCGTAATCTTAGAAAGTACTGGAGGTGTAGGTACTGCACAAGGACGCCCAATCACAACCAAATAATTTTTAATGAGCTCATTATACACGTACGCCAAGTTAAACTCGCTAAATTTAAACATTTACTTTCAGTCGCACAATTGTAATCGCTTGGTATCAATTAGTTAATTACTTACTCGGAATTTTCAGGTATGTTGATATTTATCGAGTACTTACTACCCTCAAAGTTGTTAGTTAATTGACAGAAACATTTGTTATTAATAATAGTCAGTAAGATTATCATTGACATTCTTACATAATTTTGCTTCTTGCTCCTTTCATTTATTTATTTATTTATTATCCCTCTCTTTTAACTAAATCGAAGACGGTGACCGATACAAGAATAGTGCGAGGGACCCGAAAGCTAAACAAAGGCACTAGAAAAAAGTTTTGAAAGATAAAATGTAGCCGATTCAAGGAAATGTAACGCCCTGTATATTGCGACCAGCTATTTTGGCGAGTACTATCACTGAAATATGCTCATGACATTAATTAACACCATGTATAGTTTACTGAATGTTTAACCACAGATGCTTATAGTAAAGGCAAGCATATCGCATATAGTAAAAAAACATGCGCAGACTCCGCAATGCCAACGTTCATATTTATTAAAATATTTTAGCGCATCTTCCAACGAAGTTGAGTGCGTTATTGCATTCACTTTGTCTGTCTCTCTGTTCGTCCGTCCTTCCGCCCGAGACCTTAACTACTCCTACAGTTTTCAATATATTTGGTTCTTTTTTTTCCGTTCCGTAGCTTATAGCTCTGGCACCTGAGCCAATAAAAATCTTTACGATTAATGTGCTGCGCAATGCCAACTTTGTGGGTTAATTAATTTTCGCCTGATAAAACTCCTTATCGCAAACGACCAGATGTGCCTTACTACTAACACCTAATCTAAGCTGAATAAATTACAAAAGCTATCAAATTTGAACAAGAATTACATATTAACAATACTTTTAAAAAAAGAAAAACATCGCAACACAAATTCAAATGAATAATAATAGTAATAGTTAATAATAATATCAAAAAAACCAACTCTGTGCTTATTTCGTAATTAATAATAATTATTATTAATATTATCCCTCTCTTGTTCTGGTTTACTTAATATATTGAAATGTTTCTCATATACAGGATGTCCCGTCATTATTTTCGGAAATTAGTCCGAAATAACGTCTATAACAATATGCTTTTAAAAACTTTTAAGAGCTCTCAAAGTTCATAAAGATCTTTAAAAAGTTGACAGACTCGAATGGTTGATAAGTTCTTTAAGGGTTGTCAAAGGACCTTGAAAACTCTAATTTTCATGAAAGATTGGAAAGATTCGTAAATGAAGAATAATGGCTGACACTTGAAAAGGTAATAGTTTTGAAAAGTCACAAAGATTATTAAACACAGTCTATAGACTCATAGAAGCTCTTTCACAAGATATGTTGAAGGCTCTTGTTCCGGAGACTACTCAACTTTTAGCAGGCGTTAGAGATCTTTTTAAATATTCAAGTTCCTGGTTCTTCTGGATTCAAATTTCAAACAATCTTAAATTCTAAGGTCACAAAATAGGTCAAAATTGTTATTTGTGGATCAATTTTGTTGGGAAAAAGACTAAACTCTATTCTTCGATACCCAAAGAGTGGTGCGACATCTGTTTAAAATTAATTAACTCATAGCGATAAACGCAACTCTGAGCAAGAAGTGTGTATTTTTGATCATCATTTGGTTTCGTCGAAAAAGCTCCCACTGCTCTTACAGTTCTTTAAAGGTTTGAAAAGTCCTCGAAGGCCCTTAGAGTCTCTTAAAGGATACTAATTTTGTAAATTAAGGCTCATAGAAAATCTCTAAGACACTGAAAATCCTTGTAGCACAGATGTAAGGCTAGTAGTTTCTTAAAAATCCATGATACTCTTAAAGAAAATTCCTAAAAGTCTTTAATGGCTCTAAATGTATCTAAAAGGTTCTTCCATTGGAATCAATGACGACTTTATCGGAGTCTCTTGTAACCTTTTAAAGGCTTTTCTTCTGAATATAACGACCCCACTTTTAAAAACTATTAAGGACTTTTAAAGACTCATAAAACCTTTAAATCTGCATTAATGTTTAATTATCAGACACGCTGGACTTCCAGGTTCTTTTGGTGACTGTAAAAGACTGATAAAGACCGTCAAAGTCTCTAGAAATCCCTTTCTTGAAAACCTTCGGGCGCTCTTCAACCGTCGCAGAACTAGCAGCGTGGTTTGCTCGTTCTCTCCAGTATGTAACAAAACACACTTCCGCCATAATTGATTTACCTAGTCGAAACGAGCCAAACGTGCCCATTTCTCCGCACGAAACGCGCATAATGCGAATGAACACGTGCGTTAATTAATTTTCACCTGATAATAAAAATTATTATCGCAAACGACCGAATGTATCTTACTTCTAACACCTTATCTAAATTAAACCATTACAAAGCAGTAAAATTAAAACAAGAAAACCGGCCGGCGGTCTGTGTGGCGCAGTGGCGTGCATGTTCGACTGCGGTCCCTGGTTCGAATCCGAGTTCGGGCATGGAATAAGTAAGTGAATAAATAAACAATTCTAAAAGGAAAATCAAACGCTGAAAAACAAATTCAAATGAAACGTACCAACTTTGTGTTTATTTCGTAAATAATCTCCCACATTTACTTAATAACTGGAATTATACCGCATACAGGGTGCCCCATTATTACTGCTACCTGCTAAAAGGTTCGAATCTATTCTAGGTTCGACCAAGTAACTGATATACCATGGTGCAGGAGCAGCACACAAACTTTGAACCTGATCGTTCTGTTGAAACGAACAGGTAGGTTCTTCTTCTCACCATGCTCTGCCTAACAGTTCTTTTAAATATAGTGAGAAAACCACTGCTGTGAATACAACCAATGACTATGACCCATATAGCCACAGAGTAGTACGACGACCCACCACGTAAGCTAATCGTTCACAGCCAATGTCATTCTAAAATTGATTCCAGAAACTTGGAGACTTTGGTCCACCTATTCAAATGCAGCTGCGGTACCGGAATCCTCGCCATGCCCAAGGCCTTCAGTTACTCCGGATATACCGTGGGTATTATTGGTACGATCGTCATTGGATTTCTTGTCACGTACTGCGTTCACTTGATTATTAGATGCGAGTACGAGCTTTGCAAGAGGAGGAGGGTTGCCAGTCTGACTTACCCCGGAATTGCGGAGGCCGCTTTCGCCGATGGACCGAAGGCGATGCAAAAAATTGCACCCTACGCCGGGTAAGTTCACGCAGCCTTGCGGGTGTAAAACCTCAAGGTTTCCAGCCACGTGATCAACGCCTTCTTGTTCGTTTACCAAATGGGATCGTGCTGTGTATACCTAGTGTTTATAGCGGTGAACGTGGAAGCCGTAGTGTCTCAGTATACAGAGGGATACGGCACTGAGATGTACATATTGATGTTCCTTGTGCCACTGGTACTGATAAACTGGATCAGAGACCTCAAGAGGCTGGCACCACTTTCTACCGTTGCCAACTGTGTAACACTCGTTAGTCTTGCAATCATTCTATACTACACTATCGAGAGAGGCCCAACGTTTTCGGCCAGAAAGCCAGTGGGCGACCTTAGAGATTTTCCCTTGTTCTTCGGTACCGTGATCTTCGCAATCGAGGCAATTGGCGTTGTAAGTCTCAACAACTTCGTGGCGTAGTGAAACAACTGGTTTGACAGATAATACCGTTAGAAAACGAAATGAAGCATCCCCAGGCATTTGGAGGAACCTTCGGCGTTTTAAACCAAGGAATGGGCGCTATTGTGGTTCTATACGGATGTGTGGGACTTCTCGGCTATTTAAGCTACGGATCAACGACGGAGGGCACGGTTACTTTAAACCTGCCCAAGGATGAGATGTAAGTACGTGGCGTAGAACGGTTGCCTTTATTCCCCCGTCTAGTGTAGCCCAAATTGTCAAAGTGAGCTTGGCGTCGTCGATCTTCATCAGCTACACCATTCAGTACTACGTGGCAATAGATATCGCTTGGAATCACTATTTGGGACCAAAATTTGAAAAACATCCAAGAGTTGGTCTTATAGAATATACTCTTAGGACTTTTCTGGTTGTACTGACATGTGAGTATTCAAGTTTGAGACAATTCCAATATGAATGTTGTTGCAGGCGCCTTGGCGGCAGCAGTTCCGGCTCTGGATTTATTTATATCGCTCTTTGGAGCGCTGTGTTTGTCGGCCGTTGGAATTGCAATACCTGCAGCGATTGAATGCGGTACCTTTTGGTATCAGACGCGTGGGTGGAGACTATGCTGGATGATCACTAAGAACGTTGCGTTGGTTCTTTTCGGCCTATGTGGATTAATTGTTGGTACTTACACGAGTTTAAGAGATATAATAGCCAGGTTTTTGTGATTAAACGGCTTTGTTGAAATAAAGTACTATCCCAACAAAAACCATTAACGTTTTGAGAAGCGATCTTGAAACCTGGTGGATTTGGATAGGCGGTCTTTACATGCACTCGATTCTGTTAAGGAAACGAAGTCGGTTGGTTAACGATTAAGGATGGCATTTTTAACCTATTAGCTACATTTGGTAGGCGGGTTTTATTAAATTGGAAAAGTAGGGATGGAGTAGGGGGTGATATGTTTTTGGGGAATTAAGTAAACCGCACACGGAAATGTCGCGAAATAAATCAAAATTGAGTACATGCGGTTTTGTAACATCCAAAGTGAGAGGTAACCGTTTTATTTGCGGTCGTGGAATAAACATTAAGCCGGGAATATTTAGCGCAGTGAGTAATATGGCGGACATCGAGGTTGTGTAGAAGGTAAATTAACCGCAATTCTAAATGAATTATCGTAAAAATTCAGTAAATACGGTAAAACCAGCGTGCGGTGGATTTGGTATCTAGAACTATCAATAAAATATAAAAGTACGAGCGAACTTTTCCTGCGAATAAATCAGAAGTATCACGTAACAGTTTCACTTCACTTTTTTCATTTCGAAAGCGAAGGTTTCAAAAAACAAATTAAATCAGTTTCGGTTTGACCATGGAGTGAGCTATGTTAGACCAAAGAGTATATAACGGTATACTGTTTGGTTAGACACAATCGGGAGAGCAATTTTTTGTGCGTAAGAAAAGACAAGAAAAATTAAACATATTACGCAAAAAAAGAAGAAAGAATTAATACATCGTACAAAAAAAATCAGGTATCCAACAGTATTCATGTTAAAGTCGATTATCACAAACAGACCCGCATACTAAACACACGAAAAGTTAATTAGGGGACCCCACTTCTCACATTGCTAAGACACCATATCCAACGGAGTCGAGTGACCGACGTTAACGAAGATCCCTTTTATTCAGCATCTGCGTAGAACGGTCTTTCATGTGTTTCCTAACCGTATGTCACATGTTTCTGTTCACAAAGCGAATTGCATTTTATCAAACTGCACATACTCTGTCATCCTTTTTCCACAGTTGTTTCTTTCTTCTTTCCCATATTTCGCTTGTGGATTCACGCAACGAGGACGGATTTTATTTCAATGAGACCTACTCGCACGGGTAGCGAAGATCATAGCTGTACGTCCTTTGCTGGAGCTTGGTAGTCGAGCGTGATTTGGATATACGAAAAATTGATGTAAAAACTGCTTTTCTAAATGGTGAGCTAGGGGAGCTTGAAGGAGCTTGTATGGAATGGGGAATGCAATACCGGGATCGCGGGATCACGAAATACCGCGATCCCACAGCATTTTTGCGGGATTAATCCCGTACATAAATGGAACGGGATCCCGCGGGATTTGCGGGACTTAGCAATTTGTCGACGACTCTGTTTGCTTTGTTAATGACACGCATAACGGAGATGTTTTTTTTTAATAATTTTTAAACTTTTTTTGTTAAAAATGTACTATGATTTTTGAGGCACTTTAGAAGTTTACTTTTTGTGCTTTACAGTTGAGGTTTTTTTGGGTTTTAAGTTAGACTGAAGGTACTTTTTTGTTGAATATTGTGATAATTAGCGATTTATTTTAATACAGAAGTTAACCGCACAGAATTGCTTATTTGCCAATTTATTTAAAGTTTTGCGAGATCCCGCAAATTCCGGGATCCCGCGGGATTAACAACTAACGATCCCGCAAATACCGGTGCAGAATTGCATTCCATAGTTATGGACAAAAAACAAATTTCGAAAAAAAATTCAAAAGGCTGTAACTTTTGAACTAGTAGCCCAATCTTGGAACTGTTTGAAATTATGGATTCCATCTGAGACAATTTTTTTTTCAGGCCTCAAAAAAAGGTAGTGTATAACCTTCCTTTTTTACCAAAAATCGACTACACCAAAATTTCTCGGGAAAACACTTTTTCTTATTAATTTTGGTGCGTAGAATCCGAAACAATTCGTACATTTTAGTTTAGACTTCTCAATAAAAAGTTATGGACAAAAAACAAATTTCGAAAAAAAATTCAAAAGGCTGTAACTTTTGAACTAATAGCCCAATCTTGGAACTGTTTGAAATTATGGATTCTACAGGCCACATTATAGGAAAAATTTTTTTCCGGGTCGATCTGAGACAATTTTTTTTCCGGCCTCAAAAAAAGGCAGTGTATAACCTTCCTTTTTTACCAAAAATCGACTACACCAAAATTTCTCGGGAAAACACTTTATCTTATTAATTTTGGTGCGTAGAATCCAAAACAATTCGTACTTTTTCGATCAGACTTCTCAATCAAAAGTTATGGACAAAAAACAAATTTCGAAAAAAAATTCAAAGGGCTGTAACTTTTGAACTAGTAGCCCAATCTTGGAACTGTTTGAAATTATGGATTCTACAGGCCACATTCTATAAGAAAATTTCTTTTCCGGCTCGATCTGAGACAATTTTTTTTTCGGGGCTCAAAAAAAGGCAGTATATAACCTTCCTTTTTTACCAAAAATCGACTGCACCAAAATTTCTCGGGAAAACACTTTTTCTTATTAATTTTGGTGCGTAGAATCCAAAACAATTCGTACTTTTTCGATTAGACCCCTCAATAAAAAGTTATGGACAAAAAACAAATCGAAGGTTTCCCTGGTATATGGTCTTGTTGTGTGCGTAATATATTTATTTGTTCTTGTCATTTCTTAAGCACAAAAGTTCTGTCTTTTATTTAATTCCCTTCTCGAGTATATCGCACGTCCCAACACGTACAAGAGCAGATTACACAACGTAGGAGTTCATTCGTGCCACCCATATCGAGCCGACTGCCATCCAAATTCAAAAGTGCCGCGAACGTCCATCGTTTCCAACGTTAAGTACAGGGTAAGTCAACGTTTTCAGTGTCCGCTTGATAGACCCCTAGGACCATTACAATTGATTGATCGTTTTTCCACTTGTATTTATACCTCTTGTGGCTGGTTCTTGTTGATTTACTGCATTTGACTCAACACCGTGCAGTCGTTTCGACTTGAAAGTTAGATAGGTCTGCTTATATTATTTTTCTCCAGTCGCCAACTGTACGTAGGTATAGGGCAAGTCACAGTTGCAGTGCCCCCTTGGAGGATTATTGCAGGTTTTTCTTTCTGTACAATTTCTTTAGTTTATATTCAGTTTCTTTCAGTTTATATGTTAGGGATTATTTTTGAAAAAAATGGACAATTGTAAATTCAACACTAAAATCCGCATGCCTCATTTTGTACTTTTATGGGGGTCATACTGGGTGACCGTGTGAGTTACACAGCAATATACTAAAAAATACGATTATTATTAAAAACTGTGTCAACATTACAAATGAATAAAACTGTTAGTACGTTACTAAACTGATCACATAAAAAAAAAAATAATACTTAAACATAATTCTGTTTCAATTTTGGACTACCGCCTACTGTACTACACATATAAAAGTGCTCGACTTAAATCTAACGGTATAGATTATCACTACAAAAAATTATATACGTTACAGATATTTACAATTATTTCAAATAAATACATTATTTATTGATGAAAGAATGAGTTAAAAAAATGAAAGGTATGAACGAAAATGGCGAATGCGAATATCAACGGAACAAGTTGTTGTTAGCTGCAATGATACTTTGATATTCACCGTATTGCAAGTCTACCACCCATAAAATACCCAACACCTTTACATAATTAAACAATTGACTTATTGCATTTTAAATTCCCCTTCTTCATTCACACACACTACGAAACGTAAATTTTGGCAATTCAGCGGACCGACGTACCGCAATAGTAACGGAAAAAATCAAGAGATGGCACTGATTTTCGTACTCGCGTTCAAGTGTTGGCTTTGCTTTTCGATTGGTCGTCGAACCTACAAATCTCGAGTGAGTTTACGCTGCTCAGCGAGGAGGTGTACGAGTGATTAACGATGTGCGGCGCCTCGTTGAACTGATCCAGCTCTTCTAGTTCGGCGTTCGATCCGCCCGCCAAAAGGAAATACTGTTCGGAGCGAGTCGGCCACAACAGGTGCGCCATCACGCAGTAGGCGAAACAGTCGGCGGAATACGTGATACCTGACAACAAATGAGAGATGAGGCTGCGGATCTAAATCCACTTTGAGTTAGGCAACCCATGTACCATGAAGTTTCCATGCAAACATTTTCCTGATATGTCGGTTGCCTAACTCATTGCTAAACATCCCTGCAGGCCGAGATTAATTTTTCCATACACGTTAGAAATACAAACCTAGCAGTAATTTTAGCCTCCATAATGCTGACACGTGCAACGCTATCAAGGCCAATATCGGCAGGTAAATAAACCACACCAGACTGGATGCGGCGAAGTGTAGCAGAAAGTTCAATTTCTGCGTGTTATGCTCGTACAGCATCGTAATGCGTAGCTCATAAATGAACCATAGCATTATTAGCGTCCTAAAGACGATAATTAACCATCCGGGCCATGTCTGGTACTCGTCAATGTCCTCGATTACGTCCACTTCAGTCTGCAATCACCGTTTAAGCATAACGACCTACTTATCTTCAAAAGTGGGTAATAAAAGAGATGTACGAAGTGTGAGGCAGTACAAAACAGAGAGGTCAGATTTAGGCTCCTTAATGTAACTCTTTTCTGTTTGACAGCGTCCAGTTCAAAGTCGCTTAGGTACTTTTGAGTTGTCACTGATAGAGGGCTTAGAAAGTTCTTGAAGAGCGACAAAAATTTATAGTGCATTCTATAGTCAATTAAACGCCTTCCAACTATGCCCTTTCTAAAGTAAAACGAGTCTAAAAAACGGCTCGCTCGGCATAACTGGAGAACGCTCGTATACGCCTCTACGTCTACAGCCGCTAACGACGTTTACAAACTGACAGACACAATACCTTGACTCATACATCGCTTGGCCGTTTTCAAAAATTTAGTTTGGAGAAATTACCACATGTACCGCTTCATAGCAAACGCGAACGAAAGTATGTCTGGCGATAACAAGAGACGTATTGCGAAAAACGAGCGCGGACGCCACGAACCCCCGCTCGCTTTTTTCCAAAGCAACACCATTGAAAATTCCATGGCGTTTAGATTTTTCAAAATTAATTGTTAACCTGGCATCCTCGAGTTTAAAATAGGCTTCCTTTCAAGTGTCGATATGTTCCTCAAATGTGCAAGAAACAATACTAATACCGTCTAAATAAGAAACAAATATTTTCCCCAAGAAGGGGGCCGAAAATATCCGTTAGCCTTTGTTGTGTGACCGGTGCGTTCGCGATACCAATAAATGGCTTCAGGTGGGTATTCAAACAATCCTCGTCGAGGTACAGTTAATGCAATTGAATAGATGAAGAGATTTCATGCTCATGCTATTAACATAAAGGAGGGGATATGCATCTTTCTATGTAGGGGTGTTAAATATTCTATCGTCGATACTCTCCACTGTATTGTTTCTTAACCAACGCCAACGAATAATGGGTGTTGTGATAGTGGCGCTCGCATAGTTTTTACGTCAGATTTTTCTCTTCGTATTCAGGTGTTGATAAAAATGAGCTTAATAAATTGTTAATAATTTCGGAAGTTAAATTATCAATTTAAGTCAATATTAGAATTCTTCTTTGTAGCAAATGCTGAAAGTGTACGAGGACCATTGCACACAGCATTATGAATTTGGCGCACAACGTGGGGCATCGGCATTAATAATTGGCGCCCAAGGTGGGGCCATAGCATTAGTTATTTGGATTTGCCTTTATTAAATGATGCTACTATTAAAATTTTGATGAAATTGGTCCATATATAAAAGTTACTTCTGCGCATTACGTGTCGTTCCCTAGGGAAAGTAATACGCGCTAATAAGCCGGATAACAACGGACTTTTTCTTGTGATGAAAACAATACTTTACCTATCGATGTATGAGTACAGAAAAGTAACAATTTTGGGATTATGTTAGAATGCTCTGAAAAGTCCCTACAAGGTTTTAGAAGTTGTTTGAACGTTTTCCAAAGTCGCTCAAGTCCACAAGCTCTGAAAAACGTCAACAGTGACTGGAAAGAGCTCTAAAAAGCTCTGTAATGTGGAAGAATGGGCTAGGCACCGTCCTTGGCTCTGAAAATCACCATAAGAGGGTCTATAACCTTTGGAAGATAACAGAATGTTTTAGAAAGCCTTCTACCACACTGGAAGACTTTTAGATGGTTGATTTTCCATGCCCGCATAAATGCCTTCCGTGAACTGATGCAAGACAGTGACCTTTTTTTTTTGTTAAGGAGCTTTCTGGTAGAGGCCACCTAAAAAGCTTTGGAATTGGTCAATAGAGGTGGTTGATGTAATAGGTATCCTACCCACAATGCAGCACTATCTGCATTGCTGCCTACATACGTACTCTCCTCCATTGATTGCATGATGCTATGTAAACATACTTGGTGATGACGTCATAATACACCAATGACGTGCGCGCAAACTACGGAAAATCCTACTATAATCCCAGAAAACTCGAGAGCGAGACTAGAAGGCTCTTCCTGGAGAGACAGTGCAGATCCCTAAATCTACGAATTAAGGGTTTAAACTCTGAACGCCTTCATTTTCAAATTGTTTGGAAAGCACCGACATATAAACCTAACCTCCATCTTTTCATTAACGCCCTCCTGGAAAACACCCAAAAAGCATTCAAATCACGCCAGAATGCACTAAAAGGATGCTCCAGGAAAATAAATATCTAGCGCTTTCCAATGCTAGGTTTTCCAGACCAGGGCCGGCTCGTGGGGTGAGGCGGCGAGGCGGCCGCCTCAGGCGGCATAATCTTAGGGGCGGCATTTTTGAAATTAAAAAATTAAAAAAACATGATTTATTATAATGATGTAGTTTAATAATAAATCTTTGTAATGTCAATTGACTAAAAGCAATTATAAAATATAGCCACCTCCGCCGGGCCACTAATTTGCAATATAGGTATGTAATAGGATAGCATGGTTTTTTTTATTACTTTATCGTACTTGATAAACAACGAATAAGCTAGCACCGGCGATGATACACATACACTAATGTCGCTGCTTCGCTGATTACTGCTTAATCGTTATAGACGGGAAGTGAAGATATCGTGCAAAGCCACAAAGGTAAAAAACCTTTAGAAATACTGAACTATATAGAGCTAAACAGTTTGAGTGATAAAAATATAGTAGTATCTCTAAGGATGAGTGGAGAACGTTCTTTCCAAAAAAAAATAATGAAAAATTATTTAAACCTCTTGCCAGGAAAGATTGCCGGTCACAGAACACTTGATCCCGGTCTACAATCTATGTTTTTCTAAAGATGTGAGCGACTTCCGAGATAGTATCTTGTCAATGTTGAACAAAAAGACTTTTCGTTCAACATTGGCACGATCCTATTCCGGAAGTCGCTCGCACCTTAAGAGAAACATAGATTGTAGATCGACACAAGGTGTGCTGTGACCGGCAATCTTTCCTGGCGAGAGTTATATGTTCAACAATGACACACGACAGATTAACAGATCTGGCCATTCTCGGCATTGAACATGAACTAAGTTGTAACATAGACTTCCATGATATTGTTAACAATTTTGCAAATGAAAAGTTAAGAAGAGTTCCTATATAAATATACGTATTATTACACTAGTTTGGTATTTTTGTTTGAATTTCCGTTTTTTGTATGCTTATGTAAACGTCATTTTCTGATTTCTACGATTTTATTTAATTTTCTCGTTGTCTGGTGGTATGTACTTATACTCATATTAAAGAACCATCAATTAACAAACAAAAAATCTTTTCATTCGGGCGGCAAAGTTGGCGCTTGCCTCAGCCACCGACCTCAATCCAAAGCCGCTTAAATACCCTAAATTTTGGATGTACTTTCAAAGCTAAGTAATGCCTTTGGAAAGGTTCCATTTAATAGAAAACATGAGAGCTTTAAAAACTAGCCTGAAGTTACATTCGCTTTTTTTTAAGGACATTCGCTTTTGGAATAGTACCAACCTAAATGGAGAAACAAAAAATAACTAGGGCCGGGCTGAAGTTACATTCGTTTTTATTTTAATCAACGGCCTTCGAAAGTGATAGCACCGAGACCTATTTCCATCCCCTTTTTGGAAAAGAGCCCAAAACTCGACAAATTCGCCCCCGAAGTTGGCAAATTGCGCAAGTGGTGAGTGAGTGAGTTTTGGACGCGGAGGTTTAAGGGCGCCGTGGTGGCCCAAGGACTCACCTAAAACCCTCTACTTTCGAAGGCCATTGATTAAAAGAAAAAAAAACTGAAAGTAACTTCAGCCTAGTCCTAGTTATTTTTTTTTCCCCGTTTAGGTTGGTACTATCCCAAAACAAAAAGCGAATGTAACTTCAGGCTAGTGCTCTAAAAATGCACGAGAGGACTCTGATTTCAGACTTTAAACCTACATGTGGCCCCTCTACGACTTCGTACCCTCTCTTTTTATACGCTACGTGTGAAACCCACCAAATTCCAAACATACAACAGAATGTGCACGATACCGTAGCACAACCATATGGCGAACACTAACGGTTTCCATGTCAACTCCAGCCTGGTAACGGCCCATCCTTTCGCCAGCAAAAGAAGAAGCAGCATGAACAGCGTCTACAATTCAGCAATTACGAACCGTACCGACCTACAATTACGATTTACCCTCGAGAGAATGTCTAGGATATCGCCTACCATATTCAGATTGGGAAAGCCGACGCCGTCCAGCGAGAACTTGAGCGAGTGCACCAGTATAAAGCAGATGGCGACAAAATCGATCGCCAAACTTGCGGTGAACAGCTTCGTAACGGGATGCTTCTGGACCCGTACCGCGTAACACTGCAACGGAACTAGGATTATGTAGCACAGCCACAAAAGGAGGTGCAGCTCGAGGGTATTCTGTCTATCGAACGAGAATTGATATGTTAGCACATTGTACGCGGAGTTGTTCGGATTCCCGTTCACCAGCCACATGTCGTAATCGATCTCGTAATGCTCGTTCGGCTCGTAGTGGTGCCACTCGCACGTCTCCTCGTCGCGATAACACGCCACCATCGAAACATACCAAAACCTGCAAGTAACGCAATTACGCCCAAAACCGTCGAAACTACGTCACTTACGAGGGTTGCACCAAATCCTGGATGACGTAAGTGAACTGGTGACCGCCGATTACATTCCACGCGGTGTCCTCGTCGACGCACAGCTGACCTTTGGGACACGGAATCTTCCTGAGGTAATCGTTGCCGTTCGGGCTGCACTTCGGATCGAAAGCGGCCACCTTCAAAGTGTTAAACATACGTTTGCACGCCTCCTTCTTATCGTAAATCAAACGGTTCTGATAATACTCGAGGAAGTACAAACGGTCCAATACGGCGAACGTGATTTGGACCGGAAAGTTTTGTCTCGATGTTATGTTCCCGAAAATGTAGCCGTGCGTCGACTCCTTCTGGTGGATGTCCGTCTTTTGGAAACCGAACTTCACTAGGAATTTGAAAAAGTCGTTGCTCTTGAACGTGCCCTTTAGGTGTGTGCATTGTATGAAATGAAAACAGGCTGTTATTAATAAAAAAATCACGAAAATGTAATTCATCACTAAGAAATATGTTTTGAAAACAATAACACTTTCTAAAGAGAAAGGGTTATGTTGTGAGTATGTGGAGCTGTCAAATTTCGCTTGCGCCACCAGATTCAAATAGCCCGCGAAATTCAAATTGCGCGCCGATCGAAAAGATTGATTGCTACCAAACAGTAACACGCACGATTTAGTGCAAAACTTATGGTATTAAGGTCAGAATAATGCTCCAACTAAAATAATGTAAGTCAGGATTATGATTAATCCAAAGATAAACCATTATGTCAATAGTAGCGCGAGATATCAGTGGGAATTACAAAATTACCTACTCATACACTTAATCTCGAGATTAGCCTTTTATAAGAAATTGGCACTTTCATTAATCCCAATTCCTTTCATTTTTTGGAGCTTTTGGACTGCTGAACCCATCAACATCAGTGTGCAAAACTGGGGAGTCCACTCCAGTGTAAAATTTCTGGGGGCCCCAGTCGCCGCACTAGGACACCTGCACCAATTTGCTTTTGAAAGTTTGCTGAAAAGCAGCGACGCCGGAAAGGTATGGGTCAGAGGGGGCCCCTCAGTTTTTTCACAAGAGGGGGGCCGCGCTCTCTAAGAATGAGTAAATAAAACACTCAAAAGCGACTAACACATCTTTTATTTCATGCGTGCATGCAGAAATTACAAAAAGTGTAGAAGTAGAGGATATATTGAAAGAATTTTGCCAGCAAAACTGCGGAAAATTTTTGGATATACTTAATTTTTTATATTTGCTTTTCTTTACAATACTCGCAATAGTGCAATAAATGGAACAAAATTTTTGTAACTTTTGTATGTTCTAGTTGTTCATTAAAATGTTAATGATCTATGGCTAAACACCACCAATAAATATTATTATTATGGTTTTCTCAATCGACTCAAGTACCTATCTCCGAGTTGCTCAGTTGCATATAACTAGACATCCTCCGACACTTTTTAAAATTTATTTTCACAATTTTCTTCCAAAATACATTATTTGATTGATTAAATAAACAGGTTTCAGGGTCACTTAAAAAACCCACCTGAACGTGTTTTCACAACCATTGAAGCTTAGTCGAGTCGAATAAAACGGTCCAGTCTTTACCAATCAACATTAATTTGTGTATACAACCTCCTTGCCCTAAGGGGGGTTCCAGGGCAACTGAGTGTGGTGCCACGTCGAAACTTTAAGAGGAAGGTTCAAAGATTTTCATGGCTTTGCTCAAAAAGTGAGAACTTTTTTCCTAATCTCCCAGATCATTTCCTGACTTCCCCTACCCATTTTTTACCACATCTCTTAATCTTCAAGAATCTTTCAAAGCGATCGGGCACGGACAGACGGATATTCAGACATACAAAACTATAAACGGGAATCTTACATTTTGTTCATAAATAATTAATATTCAACTGACAAATGTGGATGGCGGCAAGTCATTGTTAATAAGTGAAGTAGATTATATCGAACAAATTTATTACTACGACTAATAACAATTCATATTACTACGATTTCGTCCCTTCTTGCTCGTGTTTTTTTGAGTTATGGATACTCATACACTCTCGAAACTCCCTCACTACCTCTTGACACTTTCGCCAGTCTTTAGTTTCGGAGTAACACTCCTAGAAGTGCAATGCTGTAATTGTTGGACAATTATTTATTTAAATAAGTACTATAACTTTGTAATGCTTTTCTATGCATCCGGTTTTTTTTAACATTTCCTCCACTGGATCCGAAATATCTTCGAAAGTCCGTACAGTCATTTTTAGGAGTTATGTTTTAGAGGTTATGTTTTTACTGCTGTACTTTGGTTGCATTCAGCAATTCAATAGTACCTTAGAATTTTTGTAAATAGGCATAGGGTGCTTCAAAAAGAGATTAGTCACCAATACCTCTCAGAACTATCTCATAATAAAAAAAATTCTAGATTGTCGATTTGGAGCACCAGGTACCTACGTTTTGTAAGGAAAAAGTCTAATTTATTTATTCTATTTAGATATAGAATTGTCTTCTGTATTCTCGGTAGTAGTTGGATAAGACCGCGGGTGGCATGCGATTAGATTAGGCGGTTCTTTTGTTTTGGATTGTGATTCGAATACTTCGCATAGTATTTGAATACTTAACCTTCCTTTTTTAAAAGTCTAATTTATTTATTCTATTTAGATATAGAATTGTCTTCTGTATTCTCGGTAGTAGTTGGATAAGACCGCGGGTGGCATGCGATTAGATTAGGCGGTTCTTTTGTTTTGGATTGTGATTCGAATACTTCGCATAGTATTTGAATACTTAACCTTCCTTTTTTACCAAAAATCGACTACACCAAAATTTCTCGGGAAAACACTTTTTCTTATTAATTTTGGTGCGTAGAATCCAAAACAATTCCTACTTTTTCGATCAGACTTCTCAATCAAAAGTTATAGACTAGAAACCAATTTCGAAAGAAAATTCAAAGGGCTGTAACTTTTGAACTAGTAGCCCAAGCTTGGAACTGTTTGAAATTATGGATTCTACAGGCCACATTCTACAAGAAAATTTTTTTTNAGACTAGAAACCAAATTCGAAAGAAAATTCAAAGGGCTGTACTTTTGAACTAGTAGCCCAATCTTGGAACTGTTTGAAATTATGGATTCTACAGGCCACATTCTATAAGAAAATTTTTTTCGGGTCGATCTGAGACAATTTTTTTCCGGCCTCAAAAAAAGGCAGTGTATAAACTTCCTTTTTTACCAAAAATCGACTGCACCAAAATTTCTCGGGAAAACACTTTTTCTTATTAATTTTGGTGCGTAGAATCCAAAACAATTGGTACTTTTTCGATCAGACTTCTCAATCAAAAGTTATAGACTAGAAACCAATTTCGAAAGAAAATTCAAAGGGCTGTAACTTTTGATCCAGTAGCCCAATCTTGGAACTGTATGAAATTATGGATTCTACAGGCCACATTCTATAAGAAAATTTTTTTCCGGGTCGATCTGAGACAATTTTTTTTTCGGGCAAAAAAAGGCAGTGTACAACCTTCCTTTTTTACCAAAAATCGACTGCACCAAAATATCTCGGGAAAACACTTTTTCTTATTAATTTTGGTGCGTAGAATCCAGAACAATTCGTTCTTTTTCGATTAGACTTCTCAATCAAAAGTTATAGACTAGAAACCAATTTCGAAAGAAAATTCAAAGGGCTGTAACTTTTGAACTAGTAGCCCAATCTTGGAACTGTTTGAAATTATGGATTCTACAGGCCACATTCTATAAGAAAATTTTTTTTCCGGGTCGATCTGAGACAATTTTTTTTGCGGGCCTCAAAAAAAGGCAGTGTATAACCTTCCTTTTTTACCAAAAATCGACTACACCAAAATTTCTCGGAAAACACTTTTTCTTATTAATTTTGGTGCGTAGAATCCAAAACAATTCGTACTTTTTCGATCAGACTTCTCAATCAAAAGTTATAGACTAGAAACCAATTTCGAAAGAAAATTCAAAGGGCTGTAACTTTTGAACTAGTAGCCCAATCTTGGAACTGTTTGAAATTATGGATTCTACAGGCCACATTCTATAAGAAAATTTTTTTTCCGGGGCGATCTGAGACAATTTTTTTTTCGGGCTCAAAAAAAGGCAGTGTATAACCTTCCTTTTTTACCAAAAATCGACTACACCAAAATTTCTCGGGAAAACACTTTTTCTTATTAATTTTGGTGCGTAGAATCCAAAACAATTCGTACTTTTTCGATCAGACTTCTCAATCAAAAGTTATAGACTAGAAACCAATTTCGAAAGAAAATTCAAAGGGCTGTAACTTTTGAACTAGTAGCCCAATCATGGAACTGTTTGAAATTATGGATTCTACAGGCCACATTCTATAAGAAAATTTTTTTCCGGGTCGATCTGAGACAATTTTTTTCGGGGCTCAAAAAAAGGCAGTGTATAACCTTCCTTTTTTACCAAAAATCGACTGCACCAAAATTTCTCGGGAAAACACTTTTTCTTATTAATTTTGGTGCGTAGAATCCAAAACAATTCGTACTTTTTCGATCAGACTTCTCAATCAAAAGTTATAGACTAGAAACCAATTTCGAAAGAAAATTCAAAGGGCTGTAACTTTTGAACTAGTAGCCCAATCTTGGAACTGTTTGAAATTATGGATTCTACAGGCCACATTCTATAAGAAAATTTTTTTTCCGGGTCGATCTGAGACAATTTTTCTTCGGGCCTCAAAAAAAGGCAGTGTATAACCTTCCTTTTTTACCAAAAATCGACTGCACCAAAATTTCTCGGGAAAACACTTTTTCTTATTAATTTTGGTGCGTAGAATCCAAAACAATTCGTACTTTTTCGATCAGATTTCTCAATCAAAAGTTATAGACTAGAAACCAATTGCGAAAGAAAATTCAAAGGGCTGTAACTTTTGATCTAGTAGCCCAAAAACCGGACTCTATGCTAAAAGACTGCCTTCTCGCGTTCATGATCCAAACGAACTTTCCATCACCAGGCCGTGCGTCTAGTTGTTGTTTGCAGGGAAATATAGAATTAACATTGAACATTTAAAAAGAGGGTTGTTGATTAGACATCAAGAGATCCAATAATTTAGCAAATCATGTTTATAAAAATACTATAAATAGTGAACATATTGTAAGCGAAGTTGAGAATCTTTTTTCAAAAGTTGAGAATTAATTCATTAATTTCTTAACGTAATCACATAACAAATTACTATGGAGAACTTCATACTACGAAACAATATTGATTACTTTTGGCAATTATAAACTAACAAAATTGCGGTCTTATACAACCCAATAGTAGTTACAATGTGCTGCCAGTAGAGGTCTCACGATTAATCTGGGTCGTGAATAAGTACAGGGTGTATTCACAGGTAGGTAATACTTCAAGGCAGAAGGAAGATAGATACCCTCTCTTGAGTTTTAATAACGCCCGCCTCTTCATCTGCCAGAAGTAGATTTATGTATTGCCTTCACCTTGAAGTTTGAAGAGGACGTTAATTAAAACAAGTAAAATATGAATGCTTTCTTATATTAAATATAATTAGTTATTTTACATCGAAACACTTTACATTAAACAGATTTTTAAAGAATTATGTACAAAATTACAAAGTACGTTTTACAATCATAAAATTCGAGTTTATATATACAAAATATCACACGTGACCTGTACGGCGACCATAAAAAGCATACTCGTACATAATTCTAAATAAACCAGATTTAAAAAGAATTCAAACATATACCATATAATAACTATATAAAACCCTGTTAGTTATTTTACGATTTTGCATAATAGTTTATTTAAACGATTAGACTCTTTCTACTTTACAAATAACACGCACAGAATCGCACGCGTCTCTAGAAGTGCACAAATAGAATATTGTCGAATTACAAAGAACTCTCTAAACAGATTAATACACGCACACAATTCTGTACAAACAAAAAAATCTTAAAATAACCTACATGCCAAAAATTCGTCAATAAATTGGACCACTTCTGCGTTAAGCGAGGAAAAAACTCTAAACAGCCTTCTTTCAAATTAAGCGCTAGAATTAAAAAGACGACTAATTTTCAAACAGCGAAAAGCGGGGGGAGCTTAGTACCATGATAACAACGTAAACTGAAATTTTTAAACGTCTTTGCCGTGTTCGGTAAGGATTAACGATAAATGATAACATTGTAATACGTCTAAAAATGGCAGTTTTTTTTAAACACCTTGTATCGTAGCGAATTACTAACAAACTTTTGGGCAATTTAAATCTCGCAGCGAGATTTAAATTGGCGAAAGCGAACGTGATTCTATATGTACATTAAAATTGAAAAAAATGCAATTTCGGTACAATACAAAGATACCTAGAATACTGAGTTTGTTTGGAAATGCTTTACATATATAATTTGTACTCCTGGTCAAACTATAAGCAATTTTCTATTTACATACCATACTTAAATATATAAGTATAAAAATTCAGTCAATCATTCTCATTTTTAAAATGCGCAAGTCAAGAGGTACTTTCCAGTTCAAACGTTAAAGCTTCTTTTTCTGATATTTATACTAATATCCGTCGGAAAACGTGCAACTTGTAAATAATGTTTAATGAGGTGTTGCACGTTTTCCGACAGACAGGTACGACTGTAGTATTACTCTACATAAAGCATTATAAAATGGCAATATTGTATTTACCTTGTCATGACGGAGGTTTATCACAGCAATACAGTAATTTAATTGTCACAATATGTACAAATTTTAAAACTGCTTATGGTTTGAAAATATTTATTACTGAATATTTTCTCCGAAGACGTACATAAGGAACAAAATTAAAGAACACATCCGTAACTTGGTAAACACCAATTTGAAAATCCTTACAGGCGGAAAAGAAAAACAACAAATAAAACTTTATCTTAAGTTGTAAAGTGAAGACACACGTATAATATTTAAATATCCTTTCTAAATGACATAATGAAAAAAACTGGTTGAGTTAGACTTGAAAAACAACCACATTACCGTTAATCCTAGTAGTAGAGGGGGCGTTTACACTTTAAGAACATTTTTGTACTGTCGACTGTTATAACTGTTATTGTAGGCTCTGTAGAATGTGGGAGATGGTAGGGAGAACGGCGCCGTATCGCAACGCCAAGTGTGACGGTTGGGGTAATTAAAACTCATCTGGGGAAGAGATAAACAGTTGAACGCGCACGTCGACTCGCCGCCCAAAATACATACCTCTTTAGGCAAAGGTTTCGAACGTAACGACGCGACCACATTACTACTACTAAAGTTAAGATTATGATTTTTGATGGACATCTCCATAGCGACTCGATGTTGCTGCTGGTAAACGAACTGCGTCCGACGAGATCTCTCCTGTGTGGGTGTGCTGGGCGGTGAGGGCAAAGGGGAGGAACTTGTTGAGGATTCCGAACACGACGACGACGAATCCGACGGAAAAGTTGCTAGCGTGCAATACGAACCTTCCGATTCGCCTAGCCTTTAAGTAACGAGACGGGTCAAGACCAGATACGTCGACGAGACGCGCGCCGACTTACCTATAGCAAACTTCGCTCGGATCGACCCATACTGTCAGTTCTGTCGGCAAGCTTAGGTCCCTGTACGTTAGGCCGCATTTGCTCGCTGCCAATTCGAGGGACTGATCTACGGGTGATAGAACGTTCAGTCTTATACAGCGGTATCCTTGCCCCTTTGCCGGTAAATCGGGAAACCAGTGTTTCTCAAACCTGAAAGTACAAAATTAACTATTATTATTATTATTTTCCTTTCTTTTAACCTAAACGTGTGCGCTTTTGATAATACTACTTAATTATTGTTCTAGCAACATACACATTATTATTATTATTATTTTAATGTCTATTATACAAACGGATTTTTGTGTTTTATCTATAAGCGTAATATCTGGCCTATTATTGTGGATAGTTTTGTCTGAGTAGTGTCCTATCCCAATATAATTTATGTGTGTTGTTTTCAAGTATTATCGGTGGAGTGTATTGTAGTATAGTGTCTGTTATTAAATTATAATTTTTGATGTATGATTTTAACTACCTGATCGTGTCAATGTTTGTATTCTGTCTGTGCAAGTCGTGTGCATGCCGATATTATATGTTGGATTGTTTCTGATGTTTGTGAACAGAGTCGACAAGAATCATGTGTCAGTGTTTTGTCTTTAAATATGCATTTTTATAGTTGCGTGTGTGAATGACCGGTCTTGTATTGGTAAGATGAAACCTTCAGTCTCTGGGAAGATATCAAATTCAGATAACCAAGTCTGCGTTGATATAAAATCAACACAGTCCTGTTATTATTATTATTAATGTAAATAACGTTTAAATTTGTTGCATACAATGTCTCAAATGATTGGTTATCATATCTTTATTTGTATCAAAATTTCTCTGAAGACTATCTGAAGTTCCATTAAAGATTCCTTGAAGTTCTCTGCTTCTCTTCTGAGAATACTTTAGTTTAGACAGTGCTCATGAAAGTTCTCTCAAAGGCAAATCCGACTCTACGCAATTTTGATTCTGGACACTTTACACAAGTAACAATAGAAACGGCAAGTTCATTACGAAAAACTAATTATCTTGTTTGCGTCATTTGTAATAAAAACGAAATGACGACCGAAGGTATTTTAGGAACACCGGTTAGGAAAAACCTGCGGCGTAATTATCTTGATCTTTACGATGTTTTGGTGGGTTAGAAAAAGCTTATTATTTACTTTATACATTTCAATTAGAAAACCTTATCAATGAAAAATAACACGTTATCCCGGTATTTACGTTGTAATGCCGCGATAATCTTGTGGCGTTCTCGACGATAACAATGGAAAATTTGGTACGATAACCACATGAAAATTCGGGACCTAAAATTAAGAGCCTGGGCGTAGATTAAAAAAAGACGAACAGAAACTCAGGTTCGTTCACCTTCCAATCGCGTAGTAAATCAACGTGGTGATAATTCCTGACCCAATTACATAACTTGAACGAATTACCCACCCTCATTAACAATGGACACTTTTTTAGTAAAACACTGAACCAAAAGAACTGCCAAAACATCTAGAACTCTAAATCATACGAAATCAGTAATAATACCTCGTTCACTTTGGAGGTAATCAAATCACACTGAACAAAAATGTTTGATGCACCACAGGAGTTCCACCTAAGGGGGAAGTCGTAGTAGATATCTAGTGTATACAGTAGATGTCTGCAGGATATCCTAAAATTTGCGCAAATATCAGAGGATGTGCATAGATTTCCAAGGAAATCTAGGAGAGATACACAGATATTAGATGTGCAAGGGTATGCATCGACATGAGAGGCGCTTTCACTTGCTCTCAGTTTGTTTTTATTAAGGGGCGTAAAACTGGTTTTGAATTGCATACTAATATCGTGTGCAGAATAAAGCAAAGCGCTGGGTCATGCCCCAATTCAGTTTTTAGCGCTTTTTCGATTCTCAAAAAGAACCTTGTTTTCGGCTGTTCGGACGCCTTTTATAAATCTATCCAGATCTCGGCAACGAAATATCACACCTTTCAGGTTTTCGGAATTATATTCGTACTATCGTGTTATTCCTGCATCACTTAGTTGTTGACTGCAATTCCTAAAGTTGACAATTTCTGAATTTCCTTTAAATGTGTTTAACATAAGCAAGAATATCATAGTATGTACATGATTGTCATCGCCGTCAAACCAAATTTTTCAAATTAGCACAATAGTAAATGAAACACCTATTGAGGTAGCTCCAATTGAACACCGGCCGATTTATAAAAAAATTTCTGTAGTACATAATTATGAATATAATGGTTTTCTCGACCCTGTCCCACATTTTTTGTGAAACTTTTAATGCCACAAACAGAATCAATCTAGCGGCGTTTAGTTCTAAGATACAGGGTGAAAAGTAAAAGTTTTACTTTTTAGGATCATATCTTACTACCGATGTAATTTAGAAAAAAGCTAAAAACTGCCTATTTTAGGCATTTGTACGTAGAATCCAGTGGCCTAGGCGTTTCTGAGATTGGACCCACAGTTTTTAATGTAACACCCTATATATCTTAACGTCAAATTTTTGCATTTTTTATATCCATGAATTATATAAATACCATATTTTTCAAAATGTTGAAATAACAAGTTTCTACAGTCAGACATGTTTATTGATTGGTGTCAACCACCTTGGTTCCAATGGATACAATAAATAAAACAAAATCTATAGCCTACTATTTAAAAACAGTAAAAAATTACGTTTTTATTGATTTTCATAGCTAAAATTAGAGAAATATAGGTTGTGCTACATCAATTTAATCAGAAAAAAGAATACAACAAATTGACGTTAAGATATACAGGGTGTGGCATTCTAAAAATATCAAGTATGCGTCAAATGCTTGTTGCTTCACAGAGTCGGGAAAATCGCAAGTCTCTATCTTTAAAAACAGCTGAGATACACTGCAGTCTCAACCAAAATGGTATAAATATCTTGCCCACAATCATGAAAAAAGATGGAAAGTATTTAAGATCTCCCAACGAAAGCTTTTGTACTAGCAACATAACCACAAAGAGAACAAGAGAGGTAGGAACCCCAACAAAATAAGAATTTCCAGTGAATACTTCTCTGTACCACCAATTGATATTCCCAACTTTTTAGATGCGCCTATGGGTATATCCATAGATGTTTAGAAGGAATTAGAAGCTGTGGGCGGATTTCCAAAGGAATATCAAACATCCCGTGGATGACCGAGGACGTCCAAGGATATCCCGAGTATTTCAGTTTCAGTTTCAGGGAGGAGTACACTTTCAGATGCAGTTCAAGGGTAGCTTGAGGACCCTGTAATTGATAATTATAGTCAGAGCAAGCAATTCATCGCTTGAAGGAGAGGGGGAGAGGAGGGGGGTTATATGCCATGTAGAACAAAGTCAATCAAAAATATTTGATGCACCCTGGCCATTGACGATTGTCATGTTAGAGAGAGTTTTTTTTTAATGGAGGGGGAGGGGGTATACCTTTGTATGGATTTAAAGGGTGGCGTGTAAGCTGTAAACAAATTTAATCAACGGTAAACAAATATTTAATGCACCATACAAATTGCAACCCTACCATTGACGATTGTCCTGTCAGTGAGTTTTCTTTAAAAAATCGTAACTTTATGAGGGGGGAGGGGAGGGGGTAAGCTGTAAATGATAACAATCAATGAAACATATTGAATGTACCATACACCCCTGGCAAACCTGAGGATGGTCGTGTCAGAGCGGGTATTTTTAAAAAGGGGGAGGGGTAAACTACTATATGAACATGATGAGTGGCGTATGGAAGCTGTAAAGAAAATCAATCGACCTAAACAAAAATATTTACTGCGACATAATAGTTGCAACCCTGGCAATTGACCATTGTCATGTCAGAACGAGTTTTAAAAAAAAAGAGGGGGGGGGAGTGTCAAGCTGTAAACAAAATCAATCAACAAAACAAAAACATTTAATGCACAATCAAAGTTGCAACACTGATAATTGATGATTGTCATGTCAGAGCCAATTTTAATTAAAAATTCCCAGTTTTGAGGGGGGGGGGCACTTTTATATGCAGTTAAAGGGTGACTTGAAGACCCTGTAAACAAAATTAAAAACGAAACAAAAATATTTATTGCATCATCAAAGTTGCAACACTACCAATTGATGATTCACGTCAGTCACTTTTCTTTAAAAATTCCCAGCTTTAAGGGGTGGGCGGTGCACTTTTATATGCAGTTAAAGGATGACTTGTAGATCCTGTAAACAAAATCAAACAACGAAACAAAAATACTTAATGCACCATAAAAGTTGCAACACTGCCAACTGATGAATCGTGTCACAGACAATGTCCTTTAAAAATTTCCAGCTTTAAAAAGAGAGACTGCACTTTGCAGTTAAAGGGCGACCCTGTAAACAAAATCAAACAACGAAACAAAAATATTTAATGCACCATATAAAAGTTGCAACACTGCCAATTGATGATTCATGTCAGTCCATTTTCTTTAAAAATTCCCAGCTTAAAGGGGGAGGTGCATTTTTATATGCAGTTAACGGGTGACTTGGTAGACCCAGTAAACAAAATCAAACAACGAAACAAAAATAATTAATGCACCATAAAAGTGGCAACACTGGCAATTGATGATTGTCATGTCAGAGCCAATTTTCTTTAACAATTCCCAGCTTTGAGGAGGGGGGGGAGTGAATTTTTACATGCAGTTAAAGGGCGACTTGTAGCCATGTAAACAAAATCAATCAAAGAAACAAAAATATTTAATGCACCATAAAAGTTGGAACACTGCCAATTGATGATTTGTGTCAGAGACAATGTCCTTTAATAATTCCCAGCTTTAAAAAGAGCGAGTACACTTTGCAGTTAAAGGGCGATCCTGTAAACGAAATCAAACAACGAAACAAAAATATTTAATGCACCATATCAAAGTTGCAACACTGCCAAATGATGATTCGTGTCAGAGCCAAATTTCTTTAAAAATTCCCACCTTTAAGGGAGAGGTGCACTTTTATATGCAGTTAAATGGTGACCCTGTAAACAAAATCAATCAAGAAACAAGAATATGTATAGAAGTTGCAACACTGCCAATTGATGATTCATTTCAAAGCCAATGTTCTTTAAAAATTCCCAGTTTTAAGGGGGAGGTGCATTTTTATATGCAGTTAAAGGGTGACTTGGTAGACCCAGTAAACAAAATCAAACATCGGAACAAAAATATTTAATGCCCCATAAAAGTTGCAACATGGCCAATTGATGATTCGTGTCAGCCAATTTTCCTTAAAAATTACCACCTTTCAGGGGGAGATGCACTTTTATATGCAGTTAAATGGTGACCCTGTAAACAAAATCAATCAAGAAACAAAAATATGTATAGAAGTTGCAACACTGCCAATTGATGATTCATGTCAGAGACAATTTTCATTAAAAAGTCACAGTTTTAAGGGGGAGGTGCATTTTTATATGCAGTTAAAGGGTGACTTGTAGACCCTGTAAACAAAATGAAACAAAGAAACAAAAATAGTTAATGCAACATAAAAGTTGCAACACTGCCACTTGATTCATGTCAGTCAATTTTCTTTAAAAATTCCCAGCTTTGAGGGGGCGGAGAGGTGCACTTTTATATGCAGGTGAAGGATGACTTGTAGATCCTGTAAACAAAATCAAACAACGAAACAAAAATATTTAATACACCATAAAAGTTGCAACACTGCCAATTGATGACTCGTGTCAGAGCCAATTTTCTTTAAAAATTCCCAGCTTTAAGGGGAGGTGCACTTTTATATGCAGTTAAATGGTGACTCTGTAAACAAATTCAATCAAGAAAGAAAAATATTTACAGAAGTTGCAACACTGCCAATTGATTCATGTCAAAGCCAATTTTCTTTAAAATTTCCCAGCTTTAAGGGGAAGGTGCATTTTTATATGCAGTTAAAGGGTGACTTGGTAGATCCAGTAAACAAAATCAAACAACGAAACAAAAATAATTAATGCACCATAAAAGTTGCAACACTGCCAATTGATGATTCGTGTCAGAGCCAATTTTCTTTAAAAATTCCCAGCTTTAAGGGGAGGTGCACTTTTATATGCAGTTAAATGGTGACCCTATGAACAAAATCAATCAAGAAACACAAATATTTATAGAAGTTGCAACACTGCCCATTGATGATTCATGTCAAAGCTAATGTTCTTTAAAAATTCCCAGCTTTAAAAAGAGGCGAGTGCATTTTGAAGGGCGACCTTGTAAACGAAATCAAACAACGAAACAAAAATATTTAATGCACCATAAAAGTTGCAACACTGCCCATTGATGATTCATGTCAAAGCTAATGTTCTTTAAAAATTCCCAGCTTTAAGGGGGAGGTGCACTTTTATATACAGTTAAATGGTGACCCTGTGAACCAAATCAATCAAGAAAGAAAAATATTTATAGAAGTTGCAACACTGCCAATTGATTCATGTCAGAGTCAAATTTCTTTAAAAATTCCCAGCTTTAAGGGGGAGGTGCATTTTTATATGCAGTTAAAGGGCGACTTGTAGCCCTGTAAACAAAATCCATCAAAAAAACAAAAATATTTAATGCACCATAAAAGTTGCAACACTGCCAATTGATGATTTGTGTCAGAGACAATGTCCTTTAATAATTCCCAGCTTTAAAAAGAGCGAGTGCACTTTGCAGTTAAAGGGCAACCCTGTAAACGAAATCAAACAACGAAACAAAAATATTTAATGCACCATATAAAAGTTGCAACACTGCCAATTGATCGAGCAATTGATGATTCATATCAGAGCCAATTTTCTTTAAAAATTCCCACTTTTATATACAGTTAAATGGTGACTCTGTGAACAAAATCAAGCAAAAAACACAAATATTTATAGAAGTTGCAACACTGCCAATTGATGATTCGTAACAGAGCCAATGTTTCTTTAAAAATTCCCAGTTTTAAGGGGGAGGTGCATTTTTATATGCAGTTAAAGGGTGCCTTGGTAGACTCAGTAAACAAAATCAAACAATGAAACAAAAAGAATTAATGCACCATAAAAGTTGCTATTGAGGCAGATGAAATATGGCTTTTGGACACTGCGGGGACCCTGTCAACAAAATAAACACCAGAAACAAAAATATTTAATAGATCACAAAAGTTACAATCACTGCTATGGATAATGTTCGTGTATGAGTATGTGCAACCCTTAATGAGTTTATTAATGCTTTTGTATTATTTAGATTCCTAGACAGGTTTTCTTATAAATTTTACAAAAAAAAATGTACTTCAAACAATCTCCTCCCCATAAAAAAACAATTAGCTTAACGACTCCGTGCCAATTTGAATGGCTTACATAATTTGAATGAGCACACAATTACCCTCGTCTTCGAGCACGTAAACAAGGGCATTGCTTATTTTTCAGATAGCAACACGTTATCTAAGTTTATCAAGTACGACATAAACGCTATCAATCTACTACCAATTCTCCAATTATTGTAATTTGCTAACAGAAGGGGGTTGTTGTGTCTGGTGGTGTAGAATGTGTTGCCTAACCCCCTGCCGATCGAAATTACTTCAAGGTGGTCGGGTGCTCCACGAAGCGCAACGTGAAGGAGACCGCAAAAGTTTTTGCGTTTTCAAGGAATTAAGCAAAACCACAAAGGCCACAGGACGGTGGCTAATCACATTTTGAGATTGCGAATACCGCTTACTCAAAGCGCATCAAAGAGAATAACACAACAAAAATTGGAGCAACTGCTAAAGGTTAAAGGCTTTAAATGTCAGCTGAAATTGCATTTAATAAATATTTAAACAAAGTAATCAATAAGCGAATTGCGACACGGACTATTTCAATTATATAATGGCCGCACAATTAATATTTAGGTACCTTTTCTTCACCTTGTGAAGTCATCACTTTCACTTTATAATTTTTCCACGAAATTACACTTTAATCGCCACCATTATCTTTCCCCAGATAACGTAGCAATTTACCTTCTCACTTTTAGACAAGGTTAAATCAAAGGGGACCTACCTTTGCATTAGAAGCGTAGTTAGGTGACTCTTGAAGTTCTCGATCTGCTCCCTTGGGAATGTTTCGCTTTTCTCGATGAAACGAACTAAAAACATGACCGCTGCCAAAACTTCTTCCTTCATTATTGTTTTCACGTTTCTCTTTTTCTCGAATGGAAATTTACATCGACTTTAAAAACGGACCGAAATACGAGGGGGAACTGTCTGTAAAAAATTGTGTAAAAAATTTTGTAGACTTGTCAAACAGGGCACACTCGATTTTTTCAATGCAACAAGTCCGTACGAGCTACTGAGAACTTCGGCCATAAAAGGGGAATTTATCGTCGAGCTTTATCATCTTATCGTGTTATCTACATCAAAACATTTTGCGATTCGGTGGTATAGTAAAAATAAGCGAAGTTACCATGTAAATATGTATGTTTTGAACGTCACCATTGTAGGAAACACAAAAAATTGAGAAGTCAATGACTATATCTACGTCCCTGGTTTTAATGAGGTGATTGATTATGGTTATCAGTCATCAAGTTTTTACGTGCCGAAGTGGGTGCAACCCCCAAAGCTGCAGGAAGCATACATTTTTGATTTCTCTAATTATTAGAAATCATGATGACGTACCCACTGGGCGAAGCAGCTGAAGAGAAACAAAGAAAACACGTAACACGTACACGCAACACTCCCCAATTACGTACAATTAAATTTTCAAAATTAACGCAAGCGAAGTTCGTGTAATGTTTACCACACAAAAACAAAGCGATAAACAGACAAATTGAACTCAATTATTAAAAAAGGTTCACGTCACGGAAAAAAATGTATGCCACCGCTGTCCATATTTACGGCGCTCCCTTGCGAAATTCCCCCCGGAAACTTATGCGAAACGATTTCGTACTTACTTTGGGAGCCTTTCGACACGTTCCTAAACACAAAAATGGAATTTAACACAGAAAAATCACAGAAATTACAGTGCGCTCATGGTACGACAAAAGCTACGAAACTGGTGGTCATATAAAGAGATCGGAAATGAGTCATCGAGCGACCCGATTGAAATCATCTGTTCACTTCGCGCGCGCGAAATTCAAATTCGATATACGACCGGAGCACGGTCTCGGCGACACAGACTGGCGCCTTTTTCGAAAATGAAAACGAGTCTGTCTGTGTGACGGATATTCCGTACCCTCAGATACTTTCTCCTGTCACATAGTTTTCATCAGAAAAGTAATCGTATCTTCATTTTCGTGGTATATCTTATACCTAGCCATTACTTTCCCCACAGCACTCTTGATATTTTTCGGAAAAAGGTAGTCGAATCCTCCTTCTGCTCAGGATTAAGGAAAATTTGATCTTTTCCATTCAATTCTCATGAACTCTTTCGTATACATCCCCCGGTTGTCTCGTAACAGTTTACGAAGGAGACAATGGGATCTTTCTTTCTTCCTATAACGACTGCAACGTACCCAAAGTAATGTACGTCGAATTGCGCCCCTTACAAATATATGATGACTACTAAAGGGCACTAACCATTTTAGGTTAAAAATATATAACCGAAGAGCAGGTTGGTATAGCGAATATATACCTACATACCTCCCATCAGTAAGGGAGAATTTGATGATCCTTTCCCTAGTACAATTGACTAATTAATCAATTCTAGTACACACTTATACCTACCTACATGAAATCTACATATTCTGGAGGATAATGAATATCCCCCAGACTCCCCCGGTGCTAATAGGCGTCGTGTGCAGTATCATGACACTTTCAAAGGGGACCATCGAATCTTCTTTTTCTAACCAGTATTCTATATCCCCCTGATGGTATCTTTCTGGAATGTGCCTATGTGTATACGATAAGTAGGTATTAAAGGGCACTACTGAATTCATAATTTTAGATAAAAACATATATAGAACCGGAAGGTACCAGAGGGGTAGAGAATCCCCCCCAAGTAAAAACAAATTTTATGCTCTTTATTTCTGTATAACATAGAACGTACTTACTAATGTATTTCCTCTATGCCTATAAAAGGGGCGCCCGCAGTTTGTAATATTTAAGCTACATTTCACACATATAAATAATTAATAATAAACAATCAGTCAGCGTTGTCCGTGAGACATCCATCACAGCTTTACAACATTTACAACTCGGCATGAAACGAGTACAATAATGTGCACGTTGGTAGTTCTTCTAGACATCCCAATCGCCCTTTGTAAGTACACCCTCTTCCGACAATCTGTTCTGGAGATATGAGGGAATATATCCGATCACGATAAGGGGATTCAAGGATTTATTTTATGCATGTATCGGAATAAATGTCATTATCAATCAATTATAGTAGTGTTTGTTCGAATCCTTTGTGCGACCCGCATAGATTTCATGTCAGATTTTTTCCTATTGACGCTCAAGATTTATTTCCGGTTATTACATTTTTATCGAACTTTACATTCACAGCGACTGAAATCTTCACGAGTGATATACCTACTGGAGTACAAAGATGGATGGTACTCTCGCGAAAGTGACCATAACTGTAGGTGAAAGTTCTAGGATAATCTTCTGAGGTAAGCCATCAATGCCTTCTTCGATACTGAGGGGGGGTATTCCAGACATTCAAAACGTTTAGCATTTTTTCACCTCTCATGATATTTTTTAAAAAAAGAACCTTCCATTTTTCTCTTTCTATGAGGGTAAGTTACATATCCCCCCAGGCAATATCACATAACTGATGTATTGTGTTGAAATTATTTTGGGGAACAGCGGTAACACTGGGGAGTTTGGAATAATGCCCAGAAAAGGAGGGGACATATGGTCCTCCAGCGAAAGTGAGTGGGAGTTCTAGGCGATATTCCTAGCGATCTTTTGAGGCAAGTCCATCAATGCCGTCACTGAGGGGTTTTACATACCCCCCAAGTGCACTTTCATCTCTCATGATATTTTTTTAAGGACGCGACTTTCCATTTTCCCTTTCTAATTTGGGGGTAGCTTATACATACTACACCGGGGGTTATATACTATAACTGCGTTAAGTATTTTTGGGGACAGGATATATAGTACCAGAGGGTCTGGAATACCACACAGCACAGCAAAGGATCGGATTTGACGGTCTTCTCGAGAAAATGATCATAATTGTAAATGAGAATTCTAGGATAATCTTTTCATGGGTAAGCCTAGAGGTATACCCCCCCCCCCCCCAACCGTGCACAATTTTTTTCCAAAACGTTTAGCACCTTTCACCTCTCCAGATAATTTTTAAAGGAGGAACTTCCATATTTTTCCCTTTCTGCGGAGGTAGAGGTTATATCCTTCAGGCAATATGGTGTTGAAAGTATTTTGGGGAACAGCCCTGGCTGTAACTTTTGAATCAGTTTGAAATTATGGATTCTACAGGCCACATTCTATAAGACAATTTTTTTTCAGGGTCGATCTGAGACAATTTTTTCTTCGGGCCTCGAAAAAAGGCAGTGTATTACCTCCCTTTTTACCAAAAATCGACTACACCAAAATTTCTCGGGAAAACACTTTTTCTTATTAATTTTGGTGCGTAGAATCTAAAACAATTCGTACTTTTTCGATCAGACTTCTCAATCAAAAGTTATGGACTAGAAACCAATTTCGAAAGAAAATTCAAAGGGCTGTAACTTTTGAACTAGCAGCCCAATTTTGGAACTGTTTGAAATTATGGATTCTACAGGCCACATTCTATAAGAAAATTTTTTTTCCGGGTCGATCTGAGACAATTTTTTTTGGGGCCTCAAAAAAAGGCAGTGTATAACCTTCCTTTTTTACCAAAAATCGACTACACCAAAATTTCTCGGGAAAACACTTTTTCTTATTAATTTTTGTGCGTAGAATCCAAAACAATTCGTACTTTTTCGATCAGACTTCTCAATCAAAAGTTATAGACTAGAAAACAATTTCGAAAGAAAATTCAAAGGGCTGTAACTTTTGAACTAGTAGCCCAATCTTGGAACTGTTTGAAATTATGGATTCTACAGGCCACATTCTATAAGAAAATTTTTTTTCCGGGTCGATCTGAGACAATTTTTTTTTCGGGGCTCAAAAAAAGGCAGTGTTAACCTTCCTTTTTTACCAAAAATCGACTGCACCAAAATTTCTCGGGAAAACACTTTTTCTTATTAATTTTGGTGCGTAGAATCCAAAACAATTCGTACTTTTTCGATTAGACTTCTCAATCAAAAGTTATGGACTACACCTTTTCCACTTTTATTCGAGAAACTATCAAGTTAATTTGAGAAAGTATCAATTGTATTTGAGAATAGTAAAATGTATTTGAGAAAACAACAAATGTACCTAGTTCAGAATAGTGATTTGTATTTGAGAAGGCATCAAATGAATTTGAGGGTAGTAAATTGTATTCAAGAAATGGTAAAATTAAGTATTTGAGAATCAATAACAAAATCACATGTATAACATAGCCTGATGCTGCTGCTTCTGTTGCGGGACTACATACAGTAGCGGAATTATAAAAATTTGATTCTTAATTATAATTCATTAGGAATAATATTACATTCTGAAATACAATAAAATTAAATGATAATTTCTCAAATACAATTGACTATTCTCAAATACATTTGATGTTTTCTCAAATCCAACTGACTATTCTCATCTACTTTGACGTTTTCTCAAATACAAGTAACAATTCTCAAATTCAATTTACAACTTCTCGAATAAAAGTGGAAAAGGTGTAGAAACCAATTTCGAAAGAAAATTCAAAGGGCTGTAACTTTTGAATCAGTAGCCCAATCTTGGAACTGTTTGAAATTATGGATTCTACAGGACACATTCTATAAGAAAATTTTTTTTCAGGGTCGATCTGAGACAATTTTTTCTTCGGGCCTCGAAAAAAGGCAGTGTATTACCTTCCTTTTTACCAAAAATCGACTACACCAAAATTTCTCGGGAAAACACTTTTTCTTATTAATTTTGGTGCGTAGAATCCAAAACAATTCGTACTTTTTCGATCAGACTTCTCAATCAAAAGTTATAGACTAGAAACCAATTTCGAAAGAAAATTCAAAGGGCTGTAACTTTTGAACTAGTAGCCCAATCTTGGAACTGTTTGAAATTATGGATTCTACAGGCCACATTCTATAAGAAAATTTTTTCTCCGGGTCGATCTGAGACAATTTTTTTTGGGGCCTCAAAAAAAGGCAGTGTATAACCTTCCCTTTTTTGCCAAAAATCGACTGCACAAAAATTTCTCGAGAAAACATTTTTTCTTATTAATTTTGGGGCGTAGAATCCAAAACAATTCGTACTTTTTCGATCAGACTTCTCAATCAAAGGTTATGGACTTCTTAGAAACCAATTTCGAAAGAAAATTCATAGGGCTGTAACTTTTGAATCAGTAGCCCAATCTTGGAACTGTTTGAAATTATGGATTCTACAGGCCACATTCTATAAGAAAATTTTTTTCAGGGTCGATCTGAGACAATTTTTTCTTCGGGCCTCGAAAAAAGGCAGTGTATTACCTTCCTTTTTACCAAAAATCGACTACACCAAAATTTCTCGGGAAAACACTTTTTCTTATTAATTTTGGTGCGTAGAATCCAAAACAATTCGTACTTTTTCAATTAGACTTCTCAATCAAAGGTTATGCACTTCTTAGAAACCAATTTCGAAAGAAAATTCAAAGGGCTGTAACCCTGGGAACAACGTAGTACCAGGGGGTCTGGTAGAATACCTCCCAGCAAAAAATCGAATGCGACGGTCATCCGGCGAAAGTGACATTAACTGTGAATAAGAGATCTAGGATAATCTTTTAAGGTAAGCCTATCAAAGCTTCTGGTACTGAGGAGTAATTCCATACCCACCCAGACCCCCCCAGTATTCAGTTTTTTCCCAAAACTTTTAGGACCTTTCACCTCTCCAGATATTTTTTAAAGAGGAACTTCCATTTTTTCCTTGCGGAGTGGGCAGGTTATACCCCTCAGGCAATATTTTTTTAAATTTTGCTTTTTTTTGAGTGGTCGGGGCCAAGGCTGCTCTACCAACCCAACCCACTATACATTTACAAATATCCATCCCCGAACCCGGAACCCTTAATTAGCACCACAGTTCAGCTTTAACTGAATCATGTTGAGAGTTGGGGGGACAGCGTAGCACCGGGAGTATGGAATGTCTCCCAGCATCAAAGGATCGGATTCGATGGTCCTCCCACCAAAGAGACCACAACCATGAGTCAGAGTTTTAGGATTTGAGGTAAGCCCCTCATTGCTTCCCTTACTGGGGGGTATGGAATACCACCTAGTCTATACCCCCCAGAGCTAAATTTGTTTCCAAAACGTTTAGCACATTTATATCTCATATTTCCCTTGGGGTAGGGTACATCCTTCAGGCAATATCATGTTGAATGTCTTGGGTATGGGATACACTCACATAAGTTTCAATTATCGGGGGTGTCTTCACAGATGATTTCAAAGACCCTTCCACTGAAAGCTGATTTATTAATGTAAACATTACATAAGCCATTCATCCGATTGTTTCCAAGGTATCAAGTTTGACATATGCCTCGAGTGGTTCTGTTGTATACAGTATAATGAATCAGTGGGGCTATGGTAAATCTAATAAATTCGTTCGATATGCGGCACAAGATCAATTTTCTTCCACAAATCAAATTGACTCAAACTGCAGTTTCTGTACTTTACGTCATTAGCCACAAGTACCTACATTTGGTTAAATTCAATCTCAATTCATCTCAAACTTTTTTTATCTAATCATAGCCGGTTATTTCCGTGATTAAAATCCATATTTGCATTATTTATGAAGTGTAGATGTACACGTAATTTTCCACGTATTGAAATCGAGAGGAGTTTCAAAGGGCCGACTATAATGCAGTCTATTTATAGGCACTAATTTAATTATAAACATGATAAAATGATATCCCCAAACAAAACATTGCATTGCAAGCTTTTCTTTAAGTCCCTGTTTGAGGACCCCCTCTCAATTGTAATTATCATAATTGTTTACGGTGTCTAATTGCAACTCAGCAAAATATGCTCGCAAGTGCCCCCACAGATTGCAGAGAACCAAAATAAAATTTGCGATATAAAGAAATTCGCCTAACAAAATATATATAGATCATTGAACCATTAGGTAGCACCAAAGGAAGATTCTGTGATCCCTCCCAGTTAAAAAAATTGAAAAAAGGGATGTTGCGTCAGATTCATTACAAGTGCCTCAAGCAACAAAATGTCTACGTTTAACTTGTTGACTAATTGTCACTACTCAAACAATTTATCAATTAATAAATCTGCACGTATCTCGTACGAACAAGGCTATCTCTTCCAGTGAACTAAACGACCTACTGATAATATTTCAAATGCAAAAATGTGCATGCGACGCCTTTGTTACGACTCCCTTGACCCGCGCGAGTCAATTGCGTTTAAAGCCGAGAGGTTCTGAAAGGACGGTGAACTTACCTTTTAGATTTATCTCGGTTTTTAAGTTGAGCATTATCTAATCGAGTAAATTGTTCGAATCACTCACTTGAACTATCTTTGTTTCGGAGTTATCGTTATCTGTCAGTTTTTTCCTCTTAGTAGGACGATATAAAAATAAATGAAGTGTCCTTCATTATCTATGTCATATTTAATAAAAGAAATAATTTTACAAGTTAGTATACACTAAAAACTATGAATGCTATTAAAAAAGTTAATGAATTTGTATAAAATACCTTTATCATTAATCCAACGAGGTAGCTACAATAAAATTAAGACAAACAATTAAGTATCGTTTCGAATTAAGTACTTTTTACTTAGGGAACTAGAAAAAAAATATGTTAAGGAAATTAAAGGTAGAGGACCTATTTGTGAAACTGATCGATGCACAGCTTACAGGACCAGGACCCTTCGGGCGGCGTGTTCAACGGCGGCGACAGGCAGTACATGTGGTAGCCTCGGTCGCAGTCGTCGCAAAACAGAAGCTGATCCTGCAAGTCGGATAAGTTACGAGAGGGAGCTAGAAAATTGAGCGTACTCACATCGTTATCGGAGTTTCCGCATACTGAGCAACATTTACATTCGATGCACTGCCAACGATATTTCCGCACAGAAATAATCATATTCATTGTAAATTGAAGGCATGTCGGATGAGCTAAAAAAAAAGTTTAAATATGTTACGGTCGAAGCAGCTGCCTTAATGTTTCATTAGTAATTAGTTACTCTTCCACTTAACCTTAAAAGATTTAATTTATGCTAAACGTTTCTTCAAAGTGAACGAATAAGGCAGAAAGTAACACAAGTTGTTGATTCTTATCAGTTGGAGCATATAACTTTGAAAATGTTCAAGACCAGAAATCTAAAACCTGATTCCTGAGAACCAAGAAACTAAACTAAACATGTCAATGCGTATGGTATCCTAAAACGCGCCACCTAAGAACTGAAACCTAGACACGAAGATCAAAACAGAATCAGACAAATGGAACAGGGTATGCAGCACTTGATGCTTAAGTTTATCCTTGAAACCCGGATGATAAACAGAAACGTCAACCCTTAAGTGACACCTGAAAACATATCGCAAATATGTTACAATCAGATTATTTAAGATTTCTTATTTTAATTGTCAACCGTCTGCGTGCGTGGTATGTGTAAAAAAGGCACTGAATGTTTTCTTCCTTCCAGCTTTATTGTTTTAATTTTTTGGAGAATAAATTTTGGTTATAGTCAACCAATTAATTGAACCCATTGTCCGACCCGGATAGAGTTTTCATGTCAGATTTTTTCGTGCACAAGAATTGTCAGGTGAAACTTTGTATAGTTAATTCAAAAACTGAAATCCAAACCTAAATGCTTTCAAGACTCGAATTATCAGGACTCCACTGTAGTCGATTATGACTGTGAATCAAATTTCAAGTTTCTATTCAACTGCAAATTTAAAAACTTCTAACGAATGGGCTACCTGAATATCTCTCTACTGGAAAATTGCAACATAAAGCCTAAAAATTGTAATAAGAATATTTCAAAACAGGAACCAGCTGGAGATTTTAGAACCAGAACATGAAAATGGAAATCCTTAAGTCTCAATTCTGAAACCGGAATACTCGCTTTGTTGATTATCGCTTTCTCTACACTCACATGGTGAGTAAGTTGGGGACTCTGTAAAGGAGCTCAAAACAGTATGCTATCTACAGGTAGGTAGTAAGTGCCGAAGAACAGTGACTTTCCAAGTTATGAAATTTTTCTTTGCAAGACAACTAAAAAAAAGCGCGCACAACTATAAAAGATGAGAATGTTTTAAGACGAAAAGTATAATAGAAAAATTTACATAAAATGAAGTGCCACTATACCTCAGCACTAAATAAAACCATTTATATTTTATGTATTGGCATCATTTATTGCACTATAACAATACACTTTTTAAAATGCTTGGAAAATAACTGTTCTTACAACAATTTCATTAAATTTTGAATGCTTCTTACCACTCGACTGCAGTTAATATTTCAAGAAAATTAAAAGTGTAAAAATCATTCAAAATTCCCTACGCTAGAATAAATAATTTCAATTAACGCTATTATAATGTTCATGTGTATATATAATCGAGATTTATTTACGATAGTACTGATTAGCTATCCATATAAGGTAAAAGCGATCAATACAATTAACGCGATAATAATAATAAATAATTTGCGAAGAAATCAGAATCGTCGTCGTATAAAAAAACAAAAGAAATTTGGAAGACGCAAAGTCTTAAAACCTAAAATCCCTAACGCATACATATTTGGTTAATCCAGTCTATTTAGCGAGAATTTCGAAAAGAAAAGCGTAACCTACCATTTCAATTATAACAAAAGTATCCTCTCGGATTTCCTAAAATAAATTAGTAAGAATGATCACAAAGTGTGACTGATGTGTATTCCCCTCTCAATTTTGGTGATGTGTATTCCGAGCCTACGAGTGATTCGGCTCGTACTAATAAGTGACTACTAAATTTCCCTTTGTACAAATTTGGCAGTATTTCTACAGGGTGCGTCGTTTATCTACAGCGGCGAATGACCGCGCAGACAAACCATTTTAACCCACATTGTCATAGGCGTAGAAAGGGCCACCTAATTCGTTTGTTTTTAAATTCAGAAACACGAATTTAGAATCTCCTACATCGAATAATACTGAACCGAAACTCTTGTGACTAATAATAAGAGAGGATCCTTGTTACTCCCACTTAAATGAGTATAAAATTTGTACTTTCTCTTTAGTTGTTTGCTGAAGTCTGAAATTAAAAGAAAATGATTGGGTGGCCCTCCCCATCTTCGCGCAAATGCAATAATTTAATAAAAGAAGGAACTTCAAAAATTGTACTAACATCCAAAGATGGTCCGTTTAACCCTACATTTACTAAATTCACAAAATGATAATCGTCAACCATCACAAGACATTCACTAGGTATAGAATTTGTTCTACACTTACAGCTAACGATTTTGATATATCTGATGGTGTTACTGTAAAAATATGTACACACCGTCCGATCGGCAAACCCCTTATTGCATCCTTTCATCATTCGAGTATTTACAAGTAGGAATTACACTCATTGAATGCGCTTTTTTCGACCTTTTTTGGCGGGAATCGGCCGTCCGTCCATTCGATCGCCCTTACCTGATCGACCGCAGTCGGCGCACGACACCAGCTCCTCGGAGCCGCCCGTCTTCTTGTTCTCTCTCGAGTCGCCGAGGCAGAAGTCGCAGTACGGACTCGGCATCGCCTTATCCTTGAGATGGTCCATGATCGAGACGGGCGGCATCGGATCGTAGTTCTTCTCCGCCACAAGGATGGGCATCGGAGGATCGTCCATCGGGAGTAGGGGCGGCTGATTCGGAAGATTCGGTGGTAGGTTGGGCGGCGCTTGCGATTGGGGAGAGGGCTGTAGGCCTCCCGGCCGACTTCGTCTGATCGGACCGCCCGGAGTGCCTACACAACATTTTTCACTATCAATTTGCTGAAACCTACTCGGTACCAAAAACAAAAGGAGTGATGCGCCTTTGAAATAAAGAAACTCTAAATCCAGTACTGAACTGTACTCGAGGGAAGTTACTAGTGCAGTGCGATAGTCTAGAAGATGGCGTTAAAACATGCAATGAGACGGGAAGGAAGAATCATTGACGATGATATCAAAGCATGAAGATAGGAGCAGAAAATGGATGTGAAGGAAACACAGGATGTGGAATCGTAAAAGAAAAACGCGATACGGAAAGAAGAATAAACGGGTCATATCTGAGAGTGTGGTGAAGTGTAGGATACGTACAGGCACCAGAGTGGAAAGGTGTTATAATTGCTGAAAACAGAGCCACATTAGCATGAAGTGCTGCAATAGGAGAAACAGAGGTTATGGATAAAGACAGAACGAAGCCTTCGATCGCGCAAGGGCTACAGGAGAACAAGAGCAATACAGTATTATAATCGGATTAGACCGGTTATTGGACCCAACCTCATTTTTTAAATGAAAGACCTTGTTAATTAAATGTAAAAAAAATAGTGCCATTTCAAACGCTAAAAAATTCAAAAATGAATTATTTGAATCTTTTTTGAAATTGTTTTAATGACTTGAATCTTTTTTTAATATCATCCCTGGATATTTGAAAACAGAATTTCATATTTTCGACAAACTTTAAAAACCCAAAAATTGTTTTGAACCATTTTAATTTTTTTATTTGAATCTTTTTTGAAGTATGGTATGTTATATTTTTGAAAAGAAAATTTAATTAAATTAATTTAAAAAAATTATGTGAGCTCTGATAACTTTTTTTACCAGATCCCATTATACTTAATTTGAAAACGGCGGTTTATTCAACAACCATTATAAAGAAACTCTTGTATAAAGCATTGTTCTATATCTTTTTTATCTAAGAACATATAGGGTCAGGTAAAAAAATTATCGAACCTAACCTCATTTTTTTAATTGAAAACCCTGTATAATTTAATCTAAAAAGATAGGATATTAAAATCTCTTTTCAAAAATATAACATTAAAAAATTCAATATTGATTCAAAAAAATAATAAAATTAAAAAAACTCAAAAATTGTTTTGAAATTTTTATTTGAATCTTTTTTGAATATCCCTGGTGTGTTATATTTTTGAAAAGAAAATGTAATATCTTTTTTAACTACATATAGGGTCAGGTGAAAAAGTTATCGAATCTAACTTTTTCTATGGAAGACCCTGTATAATTTAATCTAAAGGATTGCATATTGTCTTTTAAAAAATATAACACTAAAAAATTCAATATTCATTCAAAAATTGTTTTGAAATGTTTTTGTATTTTTTTGAATTATTTGAACTTTTTTTTGTGAACCTTTTTTGAATATCATGCCATATCCCATTCCATATCATATACAGGGTATTCCATTTAGAAAAAATAGGTTAAATCCGATAAGTTCTTTACGCGAACAGACAACGCAAAGAGTATGCCTGGACTAAGAGGGTATATCAGAGGAAGCGTAAGGCCGGGATTCAGGTAGAGCACGAAAAAAATTTACTGAATGCCAAAAGGGTTAATGCACTTAAAAGCTTGGTCAGACGACATCGATAAGGATGTGTGGAGTGGAAGGCCTCCCCTAGTGGCCAATTGCAAATCTTTTCCCAGTGCATGCAAACCTATAGGGTGTGCGAGTGGGGGGGGGGGGTCAGACCCGCTATGGCGGAAGAGGTCAAAAGGAGAAACAGTGGGATATAGAACCATTTTCGACACTCTTCTAGGGTGTTCGTAATTGTTAGTGCTATCAAAAAAGTAATATATTGATTCAAAAAAGACTAAACAAAATTTTAAAAATTCAAAAATTGTTTTGAAAAATTTTTTAATTTTTTTAAATTTTTTGAATATCATCCCTGGCGTGTTATATTTTTGAAAATACAATTTAATATGCTGTCTATTTAGATTACAATATACAGAGTATTCCATAAAAGAGAAAGAAAAAAGTTACTGAAGTCCAAAAGGGATGATGCTCTAAAGAGCTTCCTCGGGGAGAGCAAGAGAAGCTAAATATCAGACAAGATCGATAGGGATGTGTGAGGCGATAAAGAAGATCAAGACGACTCTCATGGTGGGCAATGACATATCTTTTCGCAGTGCGTGCAAAACTATGGGGCGGGGGGGATATGAAGTTCATTCGAGGCAGATGCGGTATGGGAGCGTTAAAGCTATACCGGAAAGAAGTAAAAGGGCAAATAGTGGGACATAGTAAAAATAATCTCTGGACGTCAAAAATGCTTTTACTCGACGCATCTGAATATCTGGCCGATAGCACGGTGGTGGTCAAAAATCCCCCGCAGATGCCCATGCAGTTTGAAAAGAGCGCGGGGGTTCCGTGTTCGAACCCCTATTATGGGTGATTATGCAAGCCAGGTGCTCAAAATGAACTATGACAAGGGATTCGCAAGGTCGAGTGTCAGACGGGAGAGCCTTGTTGCAATGATGGTTGAGTGCGACACCAACTGGAAGAGATCATGACGAGAAAGATAGAAGATGTTATCATATCTTACTAACCATGTAAGAAAGAAAAAAAGGGACAAGTGCCTATTTTAGATATTTTTACGTAGAACCCAGTGGCGCAGTAAAAAATTTGTTTGGACCACCGTTTCTGAGATTTGATTGATTGATTGATCCATGGCCTACTATTTAAAAACTATAAGAAGGGATTTTATTTTTGATTCCCTTAAAAATCAATGTAAAAAAGAAAAAAAATGCAAAAAAAATGACGTTAAGATATACTGTGTTACATTTAAAAATATGATCATTTAGTAAAATCTTGAAGAGTATGGAAAGAAGGGTGAAGGAGACCTGAGAAGGGGGTGAAAGAGGAAGAAAGTGAAGAAGGCTTGAATAATCTGAATAATCATAAACATTTGAGCCTTCAGCCTGTTTTCTCAATTAAACTGAAGCCATACCAACGAAAACATACGACAATGAAAATATCCTCACTACTCCTTAAACTTACTGCGTTCTCCTTTTGTTTTTGTTTTGCTAAACGACTCTCACAAATTAAATTCAAGCAACTTTGTCCAAATTAAAAATAATTCAAAACATGTTCACTGAAATATAGAGGGCGACACTTCACCAAATAGTAGAGAGCTAATACAACGCATTTCTCCATAAATCAATAGACGCGTTTTCAATACGTTAGGTACAAAATTACTATTACCTATAACATGGTTCCTATGACAACCGCATTATGCTTTTTACAACAAAAACAAACAAACTAGTGTACAAAACAAAACATCACCATTGTTAATAAAAACATTAAAAAACTGAAAACAAAAAAAGTTTACTCACACTGGGCAAACAACTAACATGCATGCAAAACAGAAACACACAGAAAAGTAAAAAAGAAGGCAGTACCGGCGTTTGGTTGATTCAGAAACGATACATAGCTATCTTGATAGACAGATCCCTGTAGAATCCCTTGCGCGGGTGATAGGTTGTTGGACGCACCGTCACCCACGACTGGACCACCCGTAACCAAGCCCCCAAGAGAAGCAGGCCCACCCATGCCCATGGGTAGACCCATACCCGGCGGCATAGGCGGTCCTCCCGGCACGTTGGGCATGCCGACGACCGGGGCGGTCGGCATGGGGGCATTGCTGTCACGAGAATTTTCATCGCTAGCCCCCTCTTTGTGCGAATGGCCGTAGTGGTAGGTCAGGCCGGGTCGTGTCTTGTACCGCGCTCCGCACACTGAAATTTTTTCACTTACAAACAACACAATTTGGTTTTTGGTGCAGACGCCGAAATGCTTAAAGATGCTCAAGCACTAAATGCAGTTATGCTCGAGCTTACCAGAACTGGAACCGATTAGTGCTTAAATGGTGGCGATTAGTGTTTCATTTAGAAGCGCGAATAGTTCAGTTAGTGGAAACAATGATTTCAAGTACCAAAGCGTCAGTTAGTTTGAACCCGAACCGAAATCGATATAATAAATGTAAGGGGCGTGCCGCTTAGTAATGAGTGTGATCCTATGATTAGCATTAAGAAAAATGTGAGCCTAATTTCCAGCTCTGTGATTACGCCACAGACTATAACCCGTGGCAACCACTGGAGAAAAATCACTTTGGTTTTACTAAAAAGTGTAGTTTGTTTTCTGCATGTAATGCAATAATCGCAGAAAGTCTAGTGAATTTTATCTTGTTAGTGTAGCGAATTTTCTAGATCGTTATAAAGGCGCTATAAGGTCCATAACAAATTAATCACCAGTGATAAGAAAGTGGTCTATGAAGTATGATATGCTGATTCCAGATTTTTCTAGAAGCTGTTGGTTCGCTATATACGCAAATTGAATTGTGTTTAGTTTCAATCTTAACATAGATGTCAAAGTGATAAAGAGCACAGAATTGGTTTATTTCATTTGAATATGTGTCTTAGTGTTGTTTTCATTTTACAATTTTTATCGCTTCTATCGCTTATCGCACGAACAATTGCGAGTCTCGTGAGAAAGAAGAGGGGGCGTTCCTTCGAAGTTGGCGTTATCTAATCCAGTTTTGATTGGCGCAAGAAGATTTATCTTATTATGGAAATGTTTCGTTAAATACGACAAGGAGGTGGCTGCTACCTGGTTCGCGACGGTTGGAAAAGAGTGTACGCTATTTTTATGGGGGCGTTTCACCCTATTTGAATGATTGAAGTTCGTAATTTTTATAATATTTCTGTACAGAAAAAAGTTAACTGAAGTTGTTACAAAGTTGTGAAAAGTTCAACGCATGTTATCCGCATTCGGAAGAAGTTAGTCAAGTTGAAGTAAAGGAAGCAGTTTTAGTGCAACCTGAGGCTTTCTGTTGAGGTTCTTTTGTTGCTTAAAGGTTTTGTTTATCACAAGCCTTGTTATGGCCCGATTATTTGGATTATAAACAAAAAAACTAGTAATGTAATTTTTTTCACTGTCGACCGTATGCGTACGGGGTATTATGTAAAAACAAGCTTTATTCTCTTTATTTCAGAAATTTCATGCCTTTTGGTATAAATTTTATGATTGTCAATCAATTAATTGTGTGTTTATTCGAAGCCATTGTGCGACCCCGATAGTCTTTATGTGGGATTAACCTTTTCATATCGAAGATTTATTTCACGTGCTGATTGAGGCCTCCCAAAATTATTAATTTAAGTCAGTGTGGGGATTTTTCTTTGTAGCAGATGCTGGAAGTGTACGAAACGATTACAAAACAATCTAATTTTCAATTTTGTTTCTTTGAGCTAGCAGGCCAGGCGTTTTGTGGGTGGTGTACACTGCGTCAAATTTCACACAATAAAGTTACAAAATAAATAGAATTAATTTCTTATAATTATATTTAAAAGTGGACGTGCATGCTTGCTTCGTTGCTTTGAAGAACACAATTTTTTGCTTTTGCTTGATATTTTGCAAAGTCTAGAGACTTAAATGGATAATTTTTTTATTTGCCGCATTTTGATGACTCGCTAGTAGCCTATTCAAAGACGTGCCACCAGTCTTTGTAACTCTTATGATTGCAGAAAAAAACATTAAAGAAGAAATGCACATTCCATCACGTTGGACGCGCGGTTTATTTGGCAAAAGTACTTGTTTTGATCCGCTCTCCCACCCAATTTTTTTTTCATACTTATATACCCTGTATAGATTTGTTGGCGCTATCCATTAAGGGCGTTTCGATAGGGGAAGACAGGACTAGTTTTCGAGCAATTGCACCCTCACTTCCTCTTACGCCCCCCCCCCCGCGGCCGGGATTCGTCCAGTTTAACGGTTTACCCATGTGCGAATTTTGTTCCCGGAAGCGCGCCCATCGTCCGGGGAAGGGCAGAGGGGGGGGGGGAGAACGAATTGTCTGGGAGTAGCCGCACATCGGAAAAGTCGCGCCGCTTCAATTCGAAGCTCGAATTTGGTGAAATCGGTCCAGCATAAAACAAAATTATTAAAGAAAACGTCGGGAACTGCTCGTTATCTTCTTGTACATATAAAACGTAGTACGTACAGGGTGGTCCAAATTCTTGGCTCACCACTGAGATCTCCGAAACTGTGACAGATACAGTATGGGTTAAATGGTAGAATCTGAATTTGTTATCAGAATTTCCATAACACGCTAGATATAAAAGCTGTTTACTTATTTCTTATGGGCGCCATGTTGGAGTTTTACCAAATGAGATAGAAGACAAAAAAAGACAAATAATAACCGGTCACTCTATACTTCCACATAAATTTACAAGAAAAATTTCAAATCAAATGTTCCATGGGTAGCTAGATACTGATGAACCAACATGGCTATGACGAAGCATTCAACTGAATTTCTTTTGTTTAGTCCTCCAATCCTATATGGCGTCCATAAGAAATACGAAAATAGTAACGTGTTATGGAAATTCTGATAACAGATTTAGATTCTCAGGAAAAAGTGCCCATAGAAGGTGCTAGCAGGAACCGCCCAACCACTTAAGCTAGGGAAAATGACGAAATTTGAGATTTTCGGTGATGTTATTTTCAAAGCGTTTTTTTGAGTCCTAATGATAAGCCACGAATTTGAACCACCCTGTAGGTACATATAGACTGGTAAACATTTTATTCTTTAAAAGTTGCTTAAAATGATCTATAAAGGGCACAAAATGTTTATTGAATTTGTTCTTGTGTGTAATTAAGCATTTAAGCGTTTTCAACAAGAAAATTTGCGGAAGAAACCCTAAATTTTCCACAATCTTAATCACTTACTTTTTTTACTTCATATTTCCTAATTCTTAATAGTTTATTATTCTTGAGTTGGCTAATCTGAAAAACGTAATTTTCATTAAGCCTTTGTCGCCTAATAATTTTTTTATTCCAAACAGAATGCAAGTAGATTGTAAGAATATGATTATAAGAGGATTATCAAAAGATTCTAAGAAAATCCTTACAAGATTCTGAGAAAATTGCATAAAATAAGCGACATCTGACATACACTCGATTAATCAATGAAGCTGCGACTTAACCTCCCACTGGCACATTGTGTCGGTAAAAACTTTCGGTTCGAGTCCCTACCTAAGCAATAGAAGAAAAAGCTCTCTAAGCATAAAGCGTTACCACTTGTACCATCTTTAGCACAGACGTTAACTCTGCATACGAACATTATTTTGTAACAGACCACATATGACTCTACACAAATAAAATTGCTCGACAATAACTTCAATACATGCACAAGCACCTTTGTATAGGTATATTTTGGCGAAGCGGCAGCAGGCCTTTTAATTGACGTTTACCTTTTAACTGGCGACGCCAGTTAAAAGTAAAAATAGTCCGTCAGTGTCCTCCTACGCGTTCGATTACGCCCGATTTCCGAATAACACTTACGTTCGCAAGCGAAAGGTTTGTCCGGATCTCCGGGCGTCGGATCGAAATTGTGCGCGTACGTCTTCTTCCTACCGCGCCCGCCGCCTTTTCGACGTCCCGGGGCGTTCGGCGAGTCCGTGCCGCGGCTCTAAAACGAAAGCGTTGCGTAAACGAAATCGCAAACTCGCTCAAATTCTCACCCTTCCCGTCCCTTTCCTTCGCTTGCTACGTTTGCTGTAAGTCTCCTCGTAGTCCAAATCGGAGTCCTGGTCGGGCTCGTCGTACGCGTCCATCTCCATTATGTCTTGCTCGTCGTAGTACCAATCCTGTAAGTTGGAGATTAAATGTTGCTATAATGGAGAAGTTTCCAGTTTTTTGTTGTAAATTAATTATGAAATTTTAAGTAAAATAAAACAAAAATTCGAAAGAATCATTAAAATATCTCCACAAATGAAAAAGTTACAAGATTTTAAAGTTGCGCTTGGAAAAATAAATTCGTTCGGCGTGTGACGTCACTTGACCTATTCGCATATGATGCCTATTTGTTCGCTTAGTATGTGTGCGGTTACCACGGTAACGGACGCACTCGATTAGATCAAATGACGTCACATCCCTAATTTTGATGACTATTCTTAAAAAGTAAACATGTGTGCCAAACGTTAGACAAGAAATAAAAATTAGAAATTTGGCACATATGTGTAACTTGATATACTCTAAGAATAGTCATAAAAAATTAGGATTGCCATTTAAAAAATAGTCGATGACGTCATATCTCGAATTTGGAACACCCTGTATAAAATTTTATTACATCAAAAATAGCGCAATTTAAAATACTAATCGACGTGTACGAGCAAATTTCCGAAAAAAAACCTTTGATTTACTGAATTTAAAGAATCACCCTGTATAACAACTGGTCAAAGAATGTATACAGGATGTCCAAAGTTCACGATTTTGGTGTTTTTGCCCTACAAAAATGACAGTGTAGTTATTATGTCATTGTTAGTGGACGAAATTATTAAAATTTAGATCAGATCAGATTCAGAAAACTAATCTTCCACCAGAAAGCTGCCCGCATTTGTTACCTCCAAAAATTAACCCGAAGGTTGTAACAAGAACCCGTTAACGGATTTTATTTGATACGAAATTTTTTTCGCGTGATTGCTTCCGCTTATTTATCTTTATTTTTGAGTGGGCGGGGTTTCAGCCATGCCCGAACTCGGATTCGAACCAGGGACTCTTAGTACCGCAGTCGTAAATGAATTTTGATTGGTTGTGGAAAATTGGTGATACTCATTTTGTCCGCCAGATTAGAACCCCCATTTTGTTTAAAAAATGAAACATCAGATTCTCAATTAGCGCGCCCAAAAACCCGCTATGACTTTCATTTAAAAACAACAAAGTGGGTTTGTTTTTTGAATATGTAACATCAGATTCTTATCACCACTCAAAAACCCAAATAACAATTTTTATCCGCCATATTGGATTCTCCATTTTATTAAAAAAAAAATCTAAGATCAGATGTTCGGTAAACGCGCCCACTATACTAACATTCATTTAAAAGCAACCGTCATATTGAATCCGCCATTTTGTTTTTTGAAAATCTAACATCAGATTCTTCATTAGCCCACCCAAAAACCCCAACCACACCAACTTCATTTAAAAATAACAATTATTCGTAATTTTTATCCGCCATTTGGATCCTTCATTTTGTTTTTTTTTTAATTCAACATCAGATTCTCAATTAGCGCTCCCAAAAACCCACACTACACCAACTTTCATCTAGACATAACAATTTTTGTAATTTTATCTGCCATATTAGATCTCTATTTTGTGTTAACAAATTTAACATGAGATTCTGAATTAGCAACACAATGTTGACACTTGTGTCAGCGACATTGGATCCGCCAATTTGTTTTTTCAAAATCTAACATCAGATTCTTAATCACTACACCAACTTCCTTTTAATAACAACAATTTTTTGACATTTTTGTCCGCCATATTGGATTCGCTATTTTGTTTTTTTTTAAATCTAACATCAGATTCTTAATCACTACACCAACTTCCTTTTAATAACAACAATTTTTTGACATTTTTGTCCGCCATATTGGATTCGCTATTTTGTTTTTTTTTTAATCTAACATCAGATTCTTAATCACTACACCAACTTCCTTTTAATAACAACAATTTTTTGACATTTTTGTCCGCCATATTGGATTCGCTATTTTGTTTTTTTTTTAATCTAACATCAGATTCTTAATCACTACACCAACTTCCATTTAAAAACAACAATTTTTTGACATTTTTGTCCGCCATATTGTTTTTGAAAATCTAACACCAGATTCTTAATCAGTGCACCCAAAAACCCCCACCACGCCAACATTCATTTAAAAACAAAAAATTTTTTAACCTCACGATAACCATATGGGGAAAAATTCCCAACCCTAGATTGCATTGCTCACTGGAATCGGTAGATCCGAATCCCGGTTCACATTCCAATGTTGGGTTCGATCACTACAATAATGTGTACCAGACATAATCAGAAATCATACTAAAACAGAATTCAAAAAACGATTCGCATGATCAAATGACATTGTTATTGAACACCTTGTAACCCTACTATGGGCTTCCATACTACGAAACTTACTTTAGAGACATCATCCTTTAAAAGCAGTTGGCTGTCTTTGCTATCCGTATCTTGCAGGGCGGGATTCTCGACCTGCGATATGTTGTGGAGGTCGACGTCGCCGTCGAGTAGCGCGTCGGCGGCTCGCGCGAACGCCCTCGAGTTCATCGTCAGATATTGTCTTCGTCTCTTTCGCCATCGCGGTCTCGGGTACGTGTAGATCTGGCCGGGAGCCATGCCGGGCATCCGGTGCCTTTTGTTCATGTACAGCGAGGAGTGATTCTGAGCTACGCCCGTCTGACTGTCGAGGAATGGCAACCGTAGGCGTCGCTCGATGCATAATCTCGTGTTGTAATTGGCGGCACTCTCCAGTATTTCTCTGTAGGACGTGTCGTTCATAAAACTGCAACGAAATAAGGGCAAAGTTGTTACCTAAAAATGGCGTTGTCGTGTCTAATTAGCCACAGAGGCGAAATGGGGGAATGTGAGGTAAACACTTACGTTTCGATTTTTTCCAAATTAGAAAAATTTACTGTGGAGATTACGGTTGCCATTTTGATAGGGAAACGCTACAAATTCGGCACCAGAAAGGCACAAACTCAAAAATAACACCACCACCACACGAAGACAACCATGAACATTGAACACAACAGTCGTGTTGCGCATGCGTATAGGTTCCCGAAAATCAATAGCTTGCAAGCAACCAACCGTACGATTGGTATAGGCAACACATCATACGGCAAATTATTCAAATGCGAATATCTCCAAAACGAATCAATAGAATGTAAAAAGCAAAGCAGATTAGGAATCACGATTAAATTGGCTTTCAAATTATGTACCATAGGATTCCATTTAAAATTTTAGGGGTTAAGCTCCCTACGTAGAGGGGTGAAAACTTGGGTTCGTGATTTGTATTCCAAAAGCTGTCCCCCTCGAATACAAAATTGACGTGTTCGAGGATTTTTCGAAATTTCTAAATTTAATACCCTAAAAGCTCTCTGTATACTTCTCGTTGGGCCACTCTGTATAAATTACACCTTCCCAACATTCTGGGTTGCTGTGAAACAAAGGATACAATACAAATTTGAACATGAAAAAATAATTAAAAAAAAAATTATTATATAAAATGATTTCTTAAAATTTAAATGGAATTTTTTATAGTAATTATTGCTATTAATTTTAACAATTTTGATGGTAATCCAAAAGTGTGGGAAAAAAATTCTCTGAAAAAAGTGGTAATTGTTCCATAAACACAAGTAGCACATTTAAAATCCTTAGAAACTATGTATTAACAAATGTCGTTTGAAGACGTATTTATTATTTGCCCCATAATCACAAGCAGTCTATAACTTTTGATTGAAAAGTCTGATCGAAAAAGTACGAATTGTTTTGGATTCTACGCACCAAAATTAATAAGAAAAAGTGTTTTCCCGAGGAATTTTGGTGCTGTCGATTTTTGGCAAAAAATGAAGGTTATACACTGCCTTTTTTTTGCCCCGAAAAAAAAAATTGACTCAGATCGACCCGGAAAAAAATTTTCTTATAGAACGTGGCCTGTAGAATCCATAATTTCAAACAGTTCCAAGATTGGGCTGCTAGTTCAAAAGTTACAGCCCTTTGAATTTTCTTTCGAAATTGGTTTCTAGTCTATAACTTTTGATTGAGAAGTCTGATCGAAAAAGTACGAATTGTTTGGATTCTACGCACCAAAATTAATAAGAAAAAGTGTTTTCCCGAGAAATTTTGGTGTAGTCGATTTTTGGTAAAAAAGGAAGGTTTATACACTGCCTTTTTTTGAGCCCCGAAAAAAAAATTGTCTCAGATCGACCCGGAAAAAAAATTTTCTTATAGAATGTGGCCTGTAGAATCCATAATTTCAAAAAGTTCCAAGATTGGGCTACTAGTTCAAAAGTTACAGCCCTTTGAATTTTCTTTCGAAATTGGTTTCTAGTCTATAACTTTTTTTTGAGAAGTCTGATCGAAAAAGTACGAATTGTTTTGGATTCTACGCCCCAAAATTAATAAGAAAAAGTGTTTTCTCGAGAAATTTTTGTGCAGTCGATTTTTGGCAAAAAAGGAAGGTTATACACTGCCTTTTTTTTGCCCCGAAAAAAAATATTGTATATAATATACATCTTTATATACAATGGTACTTGGTAGTGTGGATGGAATTGATCTTTTCTCTCACAAATAAACTATACTTACAGCACTCCCACATTTGTGAATTGCGCAAATGGACCTTGTTTGCGTAAATTCCACACAAAATTGCTAAAGCAGTGTTAAAACGGTCTACGTGTACCGCTAGTCCAACAAAAACGTTAGAAATTATACGCATAATCAGTTATATTTTCTCACTGTACCTATTTAATTTTCATTGCTAGCTAAATTCAAATAAAGTTTGTAATTGGGTAAAGGCATAAACAATGGTAAAGGTAAGGCGTTAAAATAATAAAATAAATAGGTCTATGGCCTGAAAGAATTAAAAGACTCCTTGCATAGGAAGCATAATATCACATTCCGGTGATTAAATATAATGCATATAAAACAGAGTATCATGGTCTGTGTCTGGTCATATAGTAAATTTTACTCTATGATTTCATTATAATTATAATATAAACTGGTTCTTCAGAACACAGTATACTAGCGGTAATTTCATCCTTTATTGTCATCAAAACTTCGTTGCTTACTTTAATGCTTCCCTGCAGAAAGGAATGGACGATTTCTTCTTCAAAATTTAATTATTTTATTTTTCATTTGCCTATATATATGCCAATTATATCTGTCATATGTGATATATGAAGCAGTCTATTACGCACAAGGGCATAATGGATGGGGGGGGGGGGGCCACCCCTTTAAGACAGCGAAATTGGATGGCCATTTGGAACACCTTCAAGGTATATGGCTACCTACTGCAAAAATTCCTGGACTCTAGAAGTAGTTCGAAACGGCAGAAGTGGGTCCGGACGGACAAAACGCAAACAATAGCACAATTTTTTTATTCTTAAAAAATACGCTAAAAAACCTGAAACATATTCCTTATAATGTACTAAGTCCGTCAAACACATACAAGTATTGATACTAAGTCCACTTATTACAGTTGACCTCGCAATGTTACTGCGATGCGACTTAGTACTTGTTTAAAATTTGTTAACTGTTGTTTATCATCAAACAATACTAAATCCATATATTTCATGTAGAACATCAAAACTTATGTGACTTAGTACAAAAAAGCAATTTTTGGGGAAAAATGGACTTAGTACAGTTTACCTCTGAGGTACAGTAACAGAAATGCATTCTTTGGGAACAATGAAAAATAAAATGTTGTTATGCACACCTCAGGCATACTCAATCCTCGGGCGACTTACAATCCCTCGGCTCTGTCGCCTTAATGCCCTTGATGCATAAATAAAAAATAACTATTATGTAATGGGCCACACAGCACACTGTGAGACATATTCGGTCCTACGGAAGAAAAAAGGGTGGTGGTAGGTAATGCAAATGCAATCGCCTTTACGATTTTTGCAACCCCCCCCCCTCAACAAAAGAGGTTTTCTACATGTTGCTTGAAACATTACGTACCTAAAAAAACAAACTGTTTTGTAGTTGTTCAGAAATATGAACCACCTCCCCCCCAAACATAAGGTGCTCCTAATATTTATTTGTATTTAAAGAAAGGGTTGCAACCACTCAGAATGCGTCACATCCATCCCCTTTGGTCAAAGCCGCCAGGTGAACGATCATCGTTGGTTAAAGGTTCATTGCCGAAACAGCAAACCAACAACCTGTCTCACGCTCAGGATGTGAAGCTGTCACTCCTCATCATGGTTGCAAATGCTCTGTGTTTAAAACAGAGTATTGGAAGACCAACTACAGAAATGATCCTGTGAAGTATAGTCTTGATGCAAGCGTTAACATTTCGCCGACATCAACATATTCAACTTGCGTATCGCATGGTAGCGATAACTTCGCCTCCATCTCACAGCAAAATTGTGAACTAATGGTGGAGTTACGTAATGAAACTATTTCCATATTAGGCGCATATTGATTACGTCACCCATCGAATGAAATCAAGTTTAGAAAAAAAAAGTGAATGTAATTTGAGCTTTACCTATTCGTTACGATAAATCGTAAAGATGTGATAAATAGACATGTGCAAAAATAAAAAAAAAGAGACAACGGCACGCGGTGTTCCCAAGCGGTCACCCATCCAAGTACTGACCGCGCCCGACGTTGCTTAACTTCGGTGATCGGATGAGAACCGGTGTTTTCAACGTGGTATGGCCGTTGTCAAGAAATTAAATGTTCTACGGGAACATTTGCAGAACTTTTCCCACACAAAAAGGATACAAACAGCCCGAATATAGGGAATTTGAACCTTTGGGCACTCTTTTAAAAGATTGTACAATTTTTACATGGCGCCAAATAATCAAATAAAAATTTGACAGCTGTCTATACGATATAAATAGCACAAATATTGATTAATTTTGGCAATTGTAAATAAACAAAATGGCGGTCTCATCCCACCAATAGCATATATATAAGAGAAATATATATGACCAATAGTCATTCTCATTAAAATGTTCTGCCATAGAGGTCCTGAATTGCAAATAGTACTTAAAAGTCACTATCTAGTGACTTTTATAGTACTAAAAACCAGAGTACTCAATTAGTGTTTAAATAACCTTAAATTTAGAATGTATTTGAAGGTTAATACTACATACTACATTGCATATTTTGAAATTCTTTTATTCTGTAATTTTACAATTATTTATAAAAGAGGACGACATGTAGATAGACTCAAGTTACTACTTAACCAAACCTAATTTTTTAGCTTCTACTTCATAAATTAACAACCTCCACATTTTCACGACAAATACTTCGGCTTCTTCATCTAATACCTAAAAAAGAATTGCACAATTAGATGCGTTTGTACTCTATGAACAGATTTGCGAACTATACTCTATTCATTTTAAGAAGGTAGCGGTAGAAAGCATAGGAAAGTTTTGACCTTGACTGTGGTTGGTTAAACCGCGAGTCTGTATTACGCCGACAAATAAAATGTGTGACCAATTTTGTTATATTAGTAGTTTCGATTACGAACAAAACTGTCGAACTGACTTTAGATGTCAATTTCAATGATCCAAACGTGAAATCTGTTGATTTATTTTCATGTTTCAAATTTGGTGCCGTTTTATATTTATCCTGTGTGTGTCTGTCTTTAAACACAGCGCCATCTACCTTCTACCTTCTTATAATGAATGCAGTATAGTAAGTCTTTCTCTTAGTGTACTTACCATTTGTACATCTTCTAATATGACCTGTGGTTGAGATCCAGCGAGTACCTTTGAACAAATGAAATCGACCAATGTCGGTTCCGGTTCGCCTATATACTCTATGATTTTTTTGTTAATCCACGGTCGAATTTTCTTCTCCATCAACGAATTATCGATGACCGACCAATCCAATTGATACGCGAAGAGCGCGCTCTTTTCCGTAGGTATCTTTTCTATTAGCAACTTGATGTGCCTTCGTTTCTCCTCCTGAGATTTAATTGTGTCTTCGGAGTTTTTGTCGCCGTTCTCCTTGTCCTTCTTATTCTTCTTGTCCTCGCTGTAATCCAACGGGACCAGTTTGCGTTTCTTAACCAACGTACTCGAATCATCCTCGTCCGGATTGAACACCTCGCGTAGGTCGGCCTTTTTTCGTTTGCTATCGTTGCGCGGCGGACTGTGTAAACCGGCCGGTTTCGATAATGTGAGTTTGATTCCGATGCCGGTCGGAGGAGGGGCGGCGTCTTCTGTCACCATAGGAACCGACTGCCGGGAGTCCTCGTCTCCGACTTGCACTTGTGTCCACTGTAAAGCGAGCGTTTCAGAAAACCGGGCAGAGTGCCTTGACTTACCTTAACTGATTCGCCGCGACTTTCCGAGCTGGTATCTACAGGTGGGGGCGGGCTACGGTGGTCGTCTACGTCACTATCGCTATCGATCGGCTCGGCTTGTACGGCCGCCAGCTCCTGAGCGGCTTGCTGGACAACGTACCTAAAATTCGCACTTGTAAAACGCGTTAATATTGTAAGAGAGCAACGTAGGTGGAAGTAACATTAAAATCCACATAGGAATAAAGACTAAGCAACTAATGATAAAGATCGACAAGAAATAAGTATGGAGTGGATGAGTAGTAGATGGTAGTGTGAGAAGTATTGAAGAAGTGAGATGCACACATCAGTAAAATACAAAATGGAAGAAATGAAAATGAGGAGTCAAGGAGGAGGACTATAGTTGGTAGAAATTAATTCCTTTGGTTGAGACAGTGCTACCCTCCCCCTCCACACCCCTCTTTTGGTAAGGGATCAGGAAGAAAGGCAATTGTAGGTAAAAACAGTTCCTTTTGTTGAGACCTTTCATTAGAATACTGTGAGATATTAATTATTACCCCCCCGCCCCTCAGAAAGGAATCACCCAAGAAAGTTATAGTTTGTAGAAACCAACTCATTTCGATGAGACCTTTTAGTAGAATACCATAAGGCATAGGATAGAACGGGTGCCCCCCCCCCGCCTTTATGCTCAGATGCATCGATTAGTAGTTTAAATTGTGCTCTTTTTGATGTAAAAAAATTTTATACAGCGTGTTCCAATTTTGAGATATGACGTCACCGGCTATTTTTTAAATCGCAACCCTACATGTGAGCCTAATAAGCAAATAACAAAGATTATGATTAATATACAGGGTGTCCCCAGACCGTCTGAGATTTCATGGGTAACTTTCCTATTGGCGAAGTGCGAGCATTTTTTTTTAAAACTTGATTTTTGAATAAATTGTTCCCTCACTGTAAATCGGACGCTCCGGAACACCCTGTATATATAAAGCTTGATTACGACCAGAATGTATATGTATACCTTTCTCTCTCTTCTTTCATTCGTTGTCGATTTAATTCCCGTTCGACTTCGCGATCGCGGTCACGCTCCCGCGCCCGCTGTCGCTCAATTTCCCGCTCCCTCTCCCGTTCACGCTGCCGCCACTGATCTAGATTTACATCTATTAGTAACTTTGGTTTATACTGATCTTCACGTTCCTTCTTCGCTCGCTCGAATTCGGCGCTCGGATCTTCGAGGCCGCTCGCGAAAATCTTGTTTTTGAGCTCTTCCATTTCCTCCTTCTCCTTCAGTCTATCGCGATTGTCCGCCTCGGATTCTTTGACCCTTTCGCTTAACCTCTTTTGCAGCTGACCCCCTCTGGAAAAAGAAATTTAGATCGTATTCTCGTCGGTTTAGTGGAAAACGAACTTGTAAAATTTGACGTCGTCACGTTCGTCGTCGTAGTCCTCCAAGAACTCCTTGAGCCTCTTTGCGTCCCTTTCGCGTTCTTCCTCTTTGAGCCGTTCCTTTTCTCTTTCCTTTTCGTACTCTTTTGCTTTTCGACGCTCGCGCGTCTCCCACGCGCGCAAGCGCTCTTGGTAGGCGGCCTCCTTCTCTCTCGCCCTTCTCTCGCATTTCTTCTTCTCCTTCAACTCCTCCTCGATTTCTTTTTCCTTTAGCAACTCTTTGGAGCTTTTACTTTTATCTCGATCCTCACGATCTCGATCTCGATCCCTATCCCTCTCGCGTTCCCCCCTGTCTCTATCTCTCTCGCGCTCACGCTCGCGATCTCTAAGCTCTCTCTCGCGTTCCCTTTCGCGCTCACGCTCCCTTTCGCGTTCGCGCTCTTTCTCCCTCTCGCGCTCCCGCTCTTTGCTGCGCTCATCTCTTGATCTGAAATGTACGTGTTGAACCTTTGCGCTATCCTCCTTCTTAACTGACCGTGACCTCGATCGTCGCCGCTTCTTCTCCTCCTTCTCTTTCCTTTTCGGACTCGGCGAGTGCGACGACTCTCTAGGTTCGGTCCCTCTCTCCTTCTCCTTGCGTCGCGTCACCTCCTTCTCTTCTTCTTGTTTCTAGAAGAAAGCGAATTCGCATTAACGAAATTTGGGCCTACCGTCGCCACGCGTTTGTGTAAAATGAATAAATGTTTTCATACCACTTACGACTCGGAAGAAACAACAACCGATCCCTAATCAACTGCTGAGAAAAGATAACATCTTATGCAGGTGATCTTAATAAACTGTAATTTTCAAGTAATGGTTGCTTTTAATTGATTACGTTTTTACAGGGCACATTATAGACACACACGTATACAAGGTGTTTCTTTCTTTCTAGGGCAAACGACATTTAGAACAACAGTCGAATTTCAAACTCAAAATTAACCATTAGTTAAACAAATGTTTTTGAAAGGCTTATCACGCCAGATAATTAGATAAAACTGCAAAATCGCTGCTTTTATTTAATTTGATAACATTTTAAGTTGATAAAATTTGCAGGCGTTTCTTTGTATAAAATTTCTTTATCTTTAGTTTATTTGTTATGCAATATTTTTGTACAAGTGTGTTAAAAGCTAATGGGTTTGGATAAGACAATAATTGATAACATTTTGTTTACGTAAATAAATAAATTAAAAAAAGTTTAGTAGGGGAAAAGGCGTCTTTCGCATGCGGAGCGTATGAATCAGTCTGGCCTATTTAGATAAAAATGAACATAAGTTCAGCCTCACACCTCGCACAAATACGCCAATGTGCTTTTTTGTCTTAAGGTTGAGTTCTTAACTCTGATTTATTTTAATGGCCGCCATTATACATTATTATTATTGTATTTTTCAAATATTTATACTGTTATTCGGGTCGGAGGAAGAGGAAGCATGGGGCTATCGTGTTCCACTTGGAGCTTTTCATTTTCATGAAAAATTTACTCCACATTACCCACTCATAACTATATTTAACATATTAATAATGTTGTGCAATGGACTAACAGACAATATTTAAAAAAAGAATTAATTTGTGATAACTATTAAACTATATGATGTATAATACATTGGTTCATGGTAATATGGAATAACACAGTAAAAAGATGTTATTGCCGCTGCCGGTCAAGTACGATTTTGCGGACGTATTTTTTAAATTGAGATGTGCTAAGTTTTTTACAAGTGTCAGGAAGCGAGTTGTATAGGTTAGCCACTTGGTACGTAATTGATCTTTCAAACAGAGCCGTTTTGTGATACGGGGGTGTGATTAAATGAATCAATCTGGGATTAGTACTGAATCTAATCTTTTCATATAGATACAAAGGAATTTTTGCATTAATTATATACATTACACCGAAAAAATGAAAACGTAAAAATAGCGAAATAAACGGCGTAACTAAAAAAAGAGACTATCGATATATATTGGTGCTTTTTTTGAGCCGAATCAAATTTCTTTCCCCTTTTTTTTGCACTTTATAAAATTCCAACTTTAGTTAAAAACAACCCTAATCACAAACGATAAAACAATAATTAACGGCGATTGCTAATTAAAATGCGGTGATACGTTCAGGTCCGTAAGGACCTATCTAGTATCATTAGTATTAGCAAATCTTGAGCAGTTGCTGAATTTTAAGGTACATATTTATTTAAGACCTTAATGCGAAAATCCTTTGAATCAAAGTGCCAACTTGAACTGGGAACTGCAAAATAGTTGGAATTTTGGTCCTGCGCACAACGTCTAAATCTTGAGTTTGAGATTCAACAAGAAAATATCAAAGTTTTGAATTGGATTTGAGCTTAAAGACTATGTGATTTTATTTTTTAGTTCACAAAATCAACGGAAAACAGGGGGTGGGTCTCTTTGTTATGCACTTATACATATGTGGCAATGTTGCCATTTTTCCAAAGAAATTTCCAACTGACCTTGACCTTGAAAGAGTGAAACACCTTGTATATACATACGCATAATAAAATAATACAAATGCTATTGGTGATGATGTCATTACATGCATATTTTGCATTGATAAATACATGAAAGTCAATGGGAAGTGTTACTCAAACTGCAATAATTCAAAGGAGCGGTTTGAGTAGCACTTGAAAGCACTTATTTATACTAAGCTATCATACATTTACTATAGTAACTTACTCGAGCCCAAGGAGATGAAGGATCCAAGCTGAACAATTTTTCCACCTTGTCGTCTCCAAAAATTGTTGAAAATATATTTATACCACGAATCGTAACTTACAAATACGATCCGCAGCAATTAAACTAAATTACACCATTCATAAAAACATAAAGGCGAGATTAGCAAGATTCGTTCGATAGCGTAACCAATCAGAACAGTTTTAGGTTTCTGATTGATTGCGCAAATCTCAATCGCAACTGAATAAATTGGTAAGTTCAACGCATTCACTCGAGCACTCAATTTGGATCCAGTGTGAAACACTAAAAGCACTAAAATCAGTGACTTCCGTCAACAAAAACAATAATACTTTCATAATAATAAATGGAATAAAATCGATAATTTAAATCACACTCGCGTCGACTTCTTTGACTACGAACAAATTACATAAAACAGCCGAATGCGAATGTAATTAAAATTATGTACAATGGAGAGAACTGGTGGCACATTACTCACCGGCGGCGCCGCACGTTGTACAAAGTCTGGACTGCGCCGTTGCCATATCCTAGTGGTTTTGAATTACCGTATTACCAACCTCAAAGCTAACACCCTAACCTATCTTATTTTATTAAATTTTAGCTAACTCGTATAACTTTTAGCCGGTACGAGAGTAAGAAATAAGTTTCTTAGAACCGCACCGCCAATCGGCAAATAGCAACAGTTAACGACAAAAAAAAAAGTAAAAATGAAAATTCCTATCCCCCCTCTCGCAATTACGTAAACGCGCGCGCACTCACCTTCATTATCTCCCGGAATTTACCGATCTCTCGGGTGATTAGGTCCCTCTTTTCCTCCTCGACGTCGGCTTCGTCGAGCACTTTGTTTGTTTTTTGCAACACTTCCTCTGGAAACGCATATCGGTGGGTTAGTATACGCTAATTATGCCAAAAGTTTATTCACCTTCTTTTTTCATTTCAAAGTTTCTCATTTCGTCCTCGTGCTCGATGAGTATCTGCTTGATTCTCTCGACGGCGACCGCATCGAGCGCCAGCGTTTCCTCGTCCAGGTGGTCTTCGTCCTGAGGTTCGTCCTGCAAGGGCGACGAGCCTCGCTGCTCGGCCCTCTGCCTTTTCCGCCTCTCTGCGCGACAATGTTAATTTCAAACAGTAAATGCAAATTGTCTAAAATCTAGAGGAAAGGAAACAGGTCAGGTTCCTACTATTATAAATCTTCTGGTATGGAATTCTGTCCGTCGTTCCGCGCTATTATAGCTCAATCCCTAGACCTTGTATCGATTTCGGGTTTTCGATATATGAAAGCTTATGGGTTCCAGATGTGCAACTATCAGAAATTAACTCTGGCCTGTATTGCCCAAAATCGATCTAAATCCCGCAGCAATGTTTTTGGGAAAAAGACCAAACACGATGCCCAAGAAATGATCCATATAAATTTTGTTGTCCCGTATATTTTTAACCAAAAGATGTCAAAATCGTTATTTACGCACCGATTTTCTTGGGAAAAGACCAAACTCCATTGACTCAATTGACCAAACTTCCATTCCACAATCAGATCAAAAACTCACATTCGCTTGGAGTTTGGTTTCAGAGATCTTTGAATTTGTAATGGAACCGACTTTACGCGCTAAATTCAATACTTCTTCGAGAAACTGGTCGGACTAGAATTTGTCACGCGTATTCAAATGTTTTATGCGAGAAAGAAATAGAGAAAGAGGTAGGGGGAAGAGCTCTGTCATCCCTCACCAAAAACTGCAATTGTTTATTTTTTTTTACTTTTTTTATTTTTTTTTATTTTTTTGTAGGTGAAGGTTAGTATCATTTGTTTTTAATTTATTACATATAGGGCCGGTTGCACAAAGGCAATTACTCAGAGTAATTACATGATTGTGTTGCATTATATTAATTATTACTCTTACTCTCTCTTACTGTCCTATTTTGGTTGAGACTATACCTCAATTGTTTTTGAATTACGATTTTCGCGACCCTGTGACACTTTTTTGTGAAACTGTTAATACGACAGAAACAATCTACGCACGTTTGTTTCTGAAATACAGGGTGAAAACGAAAAGTTTTTGAGCCGCTGTTTCTCAGATTTGACCTTTGACTCAAAGTATTTTTTAAATGCAACCCCCTGTTAATTTTTTTTTATTGATTGGTATCGGCTGCCTTAGTTACCATGGATACAATAATACAAGACAAAATCTCCGTGAATGCATAGTCTACTATTTAAAAACACCAAAAAATTAGATCTTGATTAACGGCTAAAATTTAAAAAAAATACAGGTTGTGATACATCAATGTAAGTGGAGGCCCAAAATTTTTTTGACTATGCCACTGGATTCTACGTAAAAATCTAAAATATTTTTTTCTTTTGCAGATTTACGTATTTTTATTTGTATTTAGATACAGTATGTTCACATATGGAAGCTATTCAAAAAGCATACATCACACGTGTACAGTATGAAATCGTGTATATAATTAATTTTGTAGATGTGTTCCCTGGTTGCTGTAGTTTGGACATCGCCAAATTCTTTATTTATAATTGAATTTCTTGCACCTGTAGCATTTCATTTGCAAGCGCGATGACGATTATTACTATTTCTTTACAGGGTGTTTCATCTGGGGGGCGAGTTGTGTTAGATCAAGAGTGATAAATGACTACGAACTTATATTACACGATGTAGAGGCAAAACCATCACATAAGGGGAATTTTTTTCTTTTGAAAAATTCCCCTAAAAACTCAAGTCAAAAAAACAACTACAGACTGAAATGAAGTTTTTGCAATTGCTGACAGTTGTCACTATGAAATTGGGGCGCAGTCTTCGTCTGTATACATTTAACAGGAGCAACATACAATACTTACGAAGCATGAAGGGAATAAACAGAACCCGAAGGATAACAACTATGTGAAAGGAGTCGGGATTTTAAGGCATAAGGATTTAATGCCGGGTACACACAACATACCTTTGTATTCGTCAAGAATCGTTTTTGTTTTTGCGTCGACTTTCGCGACAAGTCGCCTATCACCGACGGGCATATCATGTAAGAGGCGAACGGTCCTTAATCCCGCGTCGGGACCGGCTAGTTCGCAGAAACCGAACGCCTTCACGCGCTTCCAGCTGATCACGTGTCCGCACGCTCCCAAAATCAGTCTTACCATCGTGTCGGGAGCCCTTTCCGTTATGTTTCCTGAAAGCGAAAAGGTAAACCATGAACAGTTGGAAGGTCGGAGAAACGTACCGACAAAAACTGTAACCGCGGGACCTGCCAACTGCTTAATTTGCTCGCGAGTCGCGTTAAGTTTCGGGAACGCTCGAATTTGTTGGGGCGTGGAAGTTACTTGAACGGGCAGCATCTAAAAGAGGGTGATATTCACTTGCATTCCGTTACGCGATTACTTACATGTGGAACCGGCATGACCGCCGGCATTAACGGAGGCGGCGCGGTCATGGACATGTATGCCATCCCAGGCATGGGAATGCCTAATGTAGGTCTCGTTGGATAGGACATCACAGCGCTTGATATTGCCTATTCACCATAACAGGAACATCTAATCTTAAAAGGATCAATAAACTTCTTAAACTATTCGGAGCGATCCAACTGTTAAAATGGAACTTGAGGACGTTTGTATATAAATAACGAATAAATATTTCACGTAAATAGCCTTATTACAAAAGTCTTTTGTTTAAAATTATTAAATAAAACCAGTTTTATGACAAAAATACACGCCTTATCAAAAAGTAACTTCTACTACCAACCGAACGAATTCCTTCATTACCAACATGACCAGACAAAGAAAAAAATCACTGTTACCAGGGGCGGCTCGTTACAAAAGAAACGCCGTCAAGGTGAACACTTTTTTTTTGTAATTTCTAAATTAGACCTATCATAAGGCAATTAGTGTCCCTTCTGTGATTAAGAAATGGCATTTAATCATCCAATCTCGTGTTGCTAAGCAACCCTGTATTCTGTAACTCTAGAGGTGATTAATTGGTATCCACGGATAGGGGACACAATTCTGTTCCAAACTAGTTCATCTCAATCAATCGTCTGAGGGCCGTTTGGTACCAGACAAAACGCTAACGAATTTGTAAAAAAAAACGCGTTTTAGCAAACACTTGTTTTATTCAAACTTAAAATAAACTATAAAATTAGACTATTTGTAAAGGCCGCTTGACATGGAGCAATACCACGTGCATTGTATTTTGACATGGTACAATTCTATTCCCATTACATGCAATTTCAATTTTTATTGCTCCATGTCAAACGGGCTTAAACAATTGCATTAAATTTTCCTTCAATCCTACGAGTAAAAAATAATAGGAGAATATAACGGTGGTGGGAAATAGCATAACACGACGGAAGTTGTCCTCATATCACTTCCTTTGTGTTGTGGACTTGACTTATCATAAAACAGAAGAGACGATGTCAGTTTGTTTTATTACACCACTGCCAATAATGACGCGTCTCTCCCCACTCTTATAACTTCCTTTTTGTCCATTTCCGTCTTCACCCCTGTTAATGAAAAGGTTCCCGCCTTTTATTATATATACGCAATATAACCCCAAAAAGTACCAAAATTTGCGAACCTTTCCGTCATGATATTAAGGTACATTATTAAGCCAGCGCTAGTAGAAATAAAAAACAATTATAATAAAAATTTAATTTAATAAAAATCGCTTTAATTTAACACTATATACAATTATTTACATATATGTAAGGATGTACTTTGTACAACCCTCGATAAACAAAATGGTCTTTACCATTAGTGGGTAGGTACTCCGCCATACCAGTTTTTCAAAGGTATTATAAATAATATATTCTAACACTTCCGAATCGCTTGTCGTAATTGATTCTGGAGCACTTCACATCTGGAGAACTTCAACATATAAATTATATATAACAACAACAAGTCTTTTACGAGATCATTTGAATTGCAATCAAGGATTTCGCTTTGATTGGCAAAGAGATAAAATGAGAAGTGTGGCGCATTCCTCGTTAACTCTGCGAGATTAGAGGAAGAATTTCGATGGTAGGCAAACGTGAGATGGAGAATTAAGAAGACAATAATTAGGCCGGAACTCAGATGCTGGGTAAAACGGCCATGCTCGCCTTACAATCAATTAAAGTTCGGTCGACGTCCGTAAAAGTGAGCCCGAAAGTGTCAAGAAAGCCTAAACATTCCTCCTCAGTTTTGAATGCCAACTCTTGGGTCACATTGCTCACGGAAATATGCGGTCGGTAACTAAACAGGTAAAAAAGCATTAATAACACTTGAAATGGTCAACTGGAAATTTGCACCCGGACCCCGGATGCACGTTTCCAAATGTCCAAATTCAAAATATAAGTCAAATATACCGTGAAATATACCTTTAAAATTGCTGAAAGAGAAACAAGTAAACACAAATCTGTCCTGCAAGTAACTTTAGTAATGGCGGCGTTTACTGTTTCGAAAGTTTTGCCTTTCGAAACAGTCGCGCGAGCGTGAATTAAAAAAATGCAGACAGACGATCGCGCTCATAACCTACCTTTTCAGTAAGGCCTTAAAATAATTTATTCGTTCCCGCTGCGTAAACCAATCCATGACGTATCCGGTCATGCACGGAGCCTCTCCGTATAGCCTAAAGAACCTGTGAAAATTGCCTAAACTCCACGCAGATCTTAACCTTAACGTAAACGCGATTGTTTCGTCCCGCCTTTCCTCGGGCGAAAGAGTCTTCATCATCGTCATAATATCTGAAAAAAAATATTTATTTTTCTTTAAAAGGCGCGTATTTAGCAGACAGGGGCGGTCTTAGGGGCAAGCAATTACGACCTCGCCTATCAAAACCTTGTGCTGCACGCTGTTTCTAACTGACAAGGTACAAGATCACCACCCCATTAAATACCCTATATACAGGGCGAATGGGTAGTGTGTTATAAACCGATAATCAAAAACAATGACGGGGCATCGTGTATATCCAAGTATTTCAATTTATTTAGTGTAAATCTAGAGAATTATTTAGGAAATAAGCATAGATTTGGTTTATTGTATTTGAATTTGTATCTCAGTGTCTATTTTTCCTTTTAGAATTGTTTTGTAATTGTTCTTGTTAGTTAGACACATCTGGTCGTTTGCGATAAGCAGTTTTTATCGAAAGAAATTTAATGAACGCACGTGTGCTTATCGCTGTTCGAAGTTGTGTGCAGTATTTCGGCGTAAGTGGGGACGTTTGACGCGTTCCTACGCAGCTGGCGTTATCAAGTGTAATTGTGATTCGCGGTGTATGTCAAAAAGATGTAAAAGAGATTGTCAACATGGGTACAAAGGGAGGAAGTGTGAACCAAGCGTCAGGTAAAAAAAAACGTGCTTCCCTGAAGTCGCTCGCGCCAGTTAAGACCGCCCACTGTTCAAAGCTTCCAATTACCTAAAGTGTTCTTGGTAAAAATATAGTACAGTAACCGGTACGCCGTAAATTCGTTACGATGCGCGCCTCCGACTTCTGAATATAACATTTTGAGTTGCGTTTGGCACTGATTAAACTCCTCGTGGTCCCCTTTCTCTAACGCAATGCGCGCGTGCGTCTCGTACACCTCGACGGTGAACCGGTCTCTTATACCTTGAACCTGTGCAGAACAAAAAATTAAAAACTGGAACGGATCGACGCGCGAGGGCGCTTACCGTCAAATCCTGCCTGATCGATTTGAGCTGATCGCAGGCGTAAAAATAGTCCTGCTTCTCGATCCACTTCGCTTTAACATTCTGTAAGGACAATTTGAGGACTTCGACTGGACGTACTTCACAAGCTTCGGGGGCCTTAGTTAGTCGCAGGAACGACTTTTCGACGTCCTGACAAGTACCCACAATGTGAAATTCTGTCCAGTCAAAGTCGCCGTTCGGATCTTCTATAAATTTATTATTAAAGCTATCGGCGAACATCGTCCTCTTTTTCTTCCCGTTACCATTGAAAATAGTAACGTTCGCGTCCGCGGGCGCCTTCGGGCCCGAACTAAACCGTGCCGCTCTCTGTTGGAGCACCTCGGAGTTTTCTTCGACGGACACGCCGAACTCCGTATAGAACTGTTTCTTCTCCTTCATCTTTTGCCTTTTGAGCTGTTTTGCAGTTTGTTTTTTGGTCACGCCCAGTCTATCAATTAATTTACCCCTCCCCTTGTTCTTCGGCGTTTTCGTTATGGACCTATAATTCTCGTCGCTCAACGGTGAACTGAAACAGATACTTGAAGTTACATCTTTATTCAGAAAACAGCCTTTATTTTGCATTGGTTATTATAGATTTTTTTCACACCTCTGATTAGAATATTTTTACAAACTCAAAGGAGCGACACCCAAAAAACCAGGAAACGGCTCAGGAATATTCAAAAATGACATGCGCAGCACAATTTTTGGCACGCCCATTCTGTTTTCTTTCACTAGACGAAGCTACCATAAAATTTTCGATTAAATTGGTCCACAAATAAGAATGTTGACTATTGCGCATGCGCAGTACGACTTTTGCCACGCCCATTTTGTTCGCCATAAAAAAACGTTCAAAATAGCTCCTCAAATTGCGAACGTTTCGTTTCATGCGATGGATTACATACGACGACTCCGTTCCAATTTTACACTAATTCTCTAATCATTTACTTTATAAAAACGTGTAACGAATTTAATGTAATATTATATCTAAATTTTGTAATTGTTATTAATAAAACAAAAAGTATAAGATTGAATACGGTTGTAAGATAGTACTACAGAAACTGTGACTGTGACTTTTTTGTGCAGGCAAGTTTAACCACAGATAGTTCTAGTAAAGGCAATGTAGTAAAAATCATATGTGCGCATGCGCAGACTACGCAATGCCAACTTTCTTATTTATGGAGATACTTCTTTGTACTTTTAACCAAAGATGCACTTAGTAAAAGCAAACGTATCACATATTGTAAACATCAGATTATTGTGCGCATGCGCAATAACTGTCTTAGTTATCAAGATATCCTTTTGACTAATCACAGATGCTTCTGTTAAGAGCAAACATATCTCATATTGTAAACATTAGATGCGCAGCGGCAACATTCTTATTTATGAAGATATTTCTTTGAAATTTTAACCATAGCGATCTGTAGTAAAAAAAAAACGCCGCACATAGCTATGGCCTTTTGGGAAATACTGATCAATACGTGTCAAATGCGCTGAAATTATTCGCCTTAGGGAGAAAACCTTTTTACTTGTTTCCTAAATGTGCCTAAAATCTACGCAAGGGGTTTATCGTCAATTTTTCTCTATGCAAAGGCTCATTTAAAAATTCAAATCTCTTGAACCGTTCAAGATAAGCGGGTCCTCTTTTTTATAATCGAATCCTTAAACTAAGCCTAAGGAATTTTTTAAGTGGCCGCTGAAAGTTATGGAAAAATTTCCAGGGTTACTGCGATTTTTCCAAAAAAGCAATAAAAAAATGTCAAGATACCAGAATAAATAAATAAAAAATTGACATATGTCAAAAAATGACTCAAATCTTAAATGCATTAAATTCAGAATAAAATGGCGCATCTTAATGTACTTTACTAAGTGACAAAATAACTTTTCCCTTTTCCCAATTTTTAGTGCACAAATTTAAACATTTTGTCAATTTTTTTGGGGTGTCAAATTTTGTCAATTTTGTTACTTCCGCCATCTGATCGTGTCACTCCATTTTGGAGCTCAAACTTCAATTTTTTAATAAATAAATCATGGTAGTTTCTGTGGACTGTGCCAGAGAAACTTACCCTCGCTCCCAAACTAAACGATGTTAAACTGAAGTCTTCACCTAACTATTAGCTTGAGTTGAGACACAGAATTAAAGAGGGCATTGCGTGTTTGTTAAGCAAAATGTGTGATGTGTGTAAATAGTGTACATAGAATTGTTATAAAATTAATAAAACACTATAAAAATTTAAAATTTTGAAACCACTCAAATTCGACTTCCCCGTTTCTCCATCACTTGGAAAAAAATTAAAAACCTTCCAACCCCACCTTATTTTTCAAGCATATTAGAACGCTCTGTATGCAGGAAAATCTTACCTGGAAGACCTCCGCCTGTGCGGACTCCTTGAATTCGACTTCTTATAATTATTCGTCGGGGACCGTGATGACGACCTGGAACTTGAAGACGACCGACTGTTTCCGCGTAACGTCGACGCTCTCGCGCCCAGTCGGGCGCCCATAGCGACGGAGATACCTTTCTTCGGCACATTCTGATAGTGAGATAATTGGTCGGGTAATTTTTTCGGAACTAAATTCATACGTTCGCTATGTATACTCGGCAAAGGCTCTTTAGACCAATCTTTTACCCATAATTCGCCCGACGATGCGGCCTGCGTTATTTTCCCCTTCAGTACGATGTCGACCTGGTCCTTGTCGATGTTCGTCTTGCACTTTGCGTAGCAGCGATTGACGTAGTCCTTGAGATCCTGAGGCCAGTCGTCCGTCGGATTGTTGAAGGCGTTCGGTTTTGGTTTCATTATGATGGGTTTCGCCGGTTCTGAGGGTAGAGGCGGGGGAGGTACCGACGTGTCTGGCGGAGGCACTGGCGGTAATGGAGGCATAATTTCGGGTGGAGGAGGTGTCGGTTTCGTTTGTTGGTTTTCAGATGGAGGAAGCGGGGGCAAGTTGTAATTATTGTAAAAGTTGTTTTGCTGATTGAATAAGTTTTGATTGATTTTGTTACGTTTACGTTTCTTCTTGGCGGCCCCGCTGGTTAGCGAATTGGTTTGTGGGGTATTGTCATTGGCATGTCGTTTGTTGTTAAAACTAAACCTAATGTTACCGAATGGTTTCGGGGGGTTGTAAATTGGGGGTTTGCTTATGAAAGGAGTTGGAGTTGGCGCGGTGGTAGGTGGCGGAGGACCTGGCGGTAGAGGGGGATTTATCTTCCCATCGTCACTGTCCGAAATTTTCTTTCCGTCTAACTCGTCTGATTTGCTATTAAAACTCATGTACGGTCCATATCCTACTTGTGAATAATACTGATAATAGTGAGCGTACGATGGATGGTTGTAACCCTCGGTGTAACCAGGGTATTGTCCATACACCGACATCCCATATGGGTACATCCATTGATGGGTCTGTTGTGCTGACGACTCCTCCAAACCGTTGCTCTCCGTTTGCGCGGAGATTTGCTGTATCGGTGTTTCTACAACGGTCGAGCTTTTATTGTCTTCGTCCATGGTTCCAGGGATACCTAAAGTTCCACAAATAGTCGCCATCTTGTCGAAATATTGCGACAAATTTGCTCACCTGAAAATCGCAAAAGTGGATAGGATGGTCACCTAATTTACTCGTTATTGTGAAATATTAATATTATCTAAATTGAAATCAAACTTTCAAATCCTTATCTCCTTATTTTTATCACGAAAACGCACTAAACACTGCACTACTTTCTGGTACAGAGTATGACGTTTCAATTCTGTAATGTAATTCAAGCTGCGCATGTGTCAAGTACCAACCCACAAAATATCCCCAAACGTTTTGGAACTATAGAAATTTTTGCGCGAAATTTGAAATAAAAGTTTAAAAAATGCTACTTCTTCTCATCTCTATTTTATGTTCTCGCTGTATTATCAAACGTTTATTAATTAAATAATACCGATAGGAGATATTTTAAAAACCAGTCATATTAATCTGACAATTCTATCTCTCGTTTTTATTATTCTAGTCCAGTTTGCCCATTGTCAATACCTCCTTCCCTCTTAGTGGATACCATGATACCTATGTCAGTGTATTATCTTGAAAGGATTATAGGTAAGGGTCCTGCCTAACAATATTTTATGGTGCCATAAAATAGATCCCAACACCCTCCTTAGATTTCCAATTCAAAATAAAATCTGAATAGGCAGGAATAATCCATGTAACCAATGTCCAGATAATGGAATTCTATACTGTAGGAATAGCCTTATTTTAGACCACTTTCCAAGATTTCATGGGCAATGACTTAAACATCTTTGGGAGGCTTCTAGAAAGTTCTAAATTCCAATGCTTATGGTTGAAAAACCATTTAGAAATAGAATAATCTGGCGACTTGGAAGATCTTTCTCGGAGTATTTTTTAAGAATGTGTAAAGGCTAGAAACTTAAAAAACTTTAATAGTACTATGGAATGGGCTCCGAGAGTTTTGAAAGAGCATGAAAAGTTTAGAAAGGGGCACAGCCAGATTTAACCCCTCCAGCGCCCTGAGGCACATAACCATCGATCACACCCACCAATTCTTTCTTCTGCCGATACACTGGCGCCATTTAATAAATCATTTCCCAGTGGAGTCTGCCAGCATTTGCACAACAAATTCTATAGATCTAATAATATGCTAGATTTATTTTTACGATATATATTCACTTGTACAACCAAAATGTAAAAAATCACGACGAGTGTAGCTAAAATTGAAGATTTTATAATATGCTCGCATCAAACTATCCTTACAGCTTCAGCGACGTCGATCCACACATGCAGCGCTTGCATAATTGGATCGTTGAGCGTAGGCGTCTTATCCCAATTCCAATGCATGAACGAATCAAATTTATTCACTATATAAAAATTTCGATCGACTTTGTCCGTACCAGGTGGTACCGTTTCATGTAAAACCACGCCCATATAACCGTCGGGAATTGCCAGTTTTTTACCAGATAAGGGATGCCCTCGGAATGAGCTTGAATAGACTGGACAGAAGCGTTAAGCAAAAATTCAAGTTGAAATCTTACTCGAGTCTTCGTTTACTTTGACGAGTGGTTTGAAATACGTCGAAACTTTGGCATCGCAGTCGGCTGAGATTTTAAATGGCATAGATTGTATATTCTCTTCTATTGAAGATTTTGCAATATCTTTCCCGCCTTGGATGTGAATTGCCATTGTATCAATTTTAAGGTTAGATATTTAGAAAAGTCAACAAAACGTAATGGGGATTTTGTGGTGATAAAGTTGGTGTTTAGCAACATGTTGGTATTAGGGAAATTCAAAAATAAAAATATATAAAATGTTGCATAACCTCTAACTCTACACAAAATTTTCGAAAAATGATTTCACTCACTCGTCACGTCTTAATTCCAGTCGTTTTTCTGCTCATATGCATACGTAAATATAGAGAAAGCACCTGGGGCAAATGTAAAAATAAAGTTAAACTCGATGGGAAACTTGCGATTGTGACCGGTGCAAACTCGGGAATCGGTTACCAAATCGCGAAGGAACTGGCAAGTCGCGGTGCCCACGTGATAATGGCCTGTCGAAATCTGGGAAGGGCGGCTACAGCCGTGCGAAAAATTAAACAGGAGTTAAGCTGCTCGTCGATTATCGTAAGTCAAATTTGTACTAAGTCGATTTCTCACGCAAGCAACTGCAGATACCTATGGAGCTCGATTTGGAATCGGTGGACTCAATCTTACTCTTCGTCGACGAAATTGAAGCCACGTACTCTTCGGTTCACATTTTAGTAAACAACGCGGGCGTTTCACATCCTTCAAGTACTCGTTGTAAGACAAAGCACGGTTTCGAAATTCACTTTGGCGTAAACTACCTCGGCCATTTTATACTGACCAATCTGTTGATGGGATTGCTCGATCGAGAAACGAGCCGCATTATCGTGATATCATCTTTAATGCACGAACGAGGGAAAATATACTTGGATGACTTGAACCTCGAACGAACCATCTCGAAGACTGATCCTTACGCAAACTCGAAGTTGGCGAATATTTATTTTTGCAAGGAACTCGCCAGACGCACCGAGGGAAGGCCCATAAGCGTGTACGCTGTCTGCCCGGGCTGGGTGTATACGAATTTATTTCGGCATCAAAATCTGAAGTGGTATCAGATTCTGCTAAGTCTTCCGTTCGCATTTTTATTTATGAGAACGCCGACTCAGGTAAGGCGACTTTAGTGAGATTAAGATAACGGTAACGGTTGTAGGGTGCCCAAACTGCCATTTACTGTGCGACCGAGCCAGATTTAAAAAATGGTCAAGTTTACAGGGATTGTAAGGAGTATCGGTCGAAGGTGAACTTTGATCAAGGCGTGTCGAAGAAATTGTGGGAAATAAGTCGTGATTTTGTGAAAACGATCCATAGTAATGTGAAATTGTGGGATCTCTATGGATCGTCGTTTCTATGAAGTATCTCGTCAGTCATTGTTAAATAAATGTCAACTTTTGTTTTCCGTGCAAATCTATTCAATGAACCTGTTTCACTTCCACCAGCCGCCACCAACACCAACAAATTTTGCTCGAAGTACTTCACTAAAAAGAGAGCAAGGTATAGTGATACAGTCTTTTGAATAGATATCTACTCTCACTTTCTTTTGCAAACATTTAAATTCACAATTCACTTGAATTTTGGACAACCCTTGTGGTCCAACAGAAAAAACAAACATTTTCAAATCCTATTTTTTTGACGCGCGCATTTAGAGTACTTGCTGACTTCACTTACTCAAAGTAAGAAATAAAGATAGAGATACCTTGATGCTTATCTAAATAACGTGCCATCTCGTTGTGTTTACAAATATTGCAGGAAGCGAACTTGGTCACATTTCACAAGATGCTTTTTAAGGGAATATTAATAATACATAATATATTTGGAAGGATTAAATGGATTTTGAAATATTTAGACAAGTGGTCTAGTATAAAAACAGTCGCAGGTAACCGCGCACGTTTTTTTCTTTGCACCCTGTATATACAACTTACGATACATAAATTTTTGAGAGTTGGCAACCATGCAATTTCTAGGTGGGAAAAAGCTATCTGCGCCATCTAGAAAGCACGAACGGGGGCTACGTTTAGCATCTTGTCTTGAATGCCGGTCGTGAACGCGTCGCTCCATAAGTGTTTTGTGTTATTTAATGCAGGTAGTCATTTTTGCATTTGTTTATATCGTATTTGTGTTTTGTATGCCGCATTTTATATTTTTTGTGTTTCAATCTTTGTTTTTAAAATATACTTGGTTTAACCGCAATGCAAAATGACATGTTTGATACCGTTATCCTTTTGTTTGTAATCGTTTACGTTTTTGGTGTAATGTTTACTTAATTTCTGTTTATGTGTTGATTATACTGTGATGGAACCGAATTAGCCCGCTAAAATTCGATTTAAATATTCCCGAATCCGAGCCTGGCGCAACGAAAAAGGGCAAGATTGCGCTTTGTTTCGTTTTCGTGGAACACGTGTTTTTTTCTTCTCTGCTCTACATTGAAATGGGCCATAATTTACAATAAAAGGGTCAAATATTACGCTATGTGAGGAAACTTAATGATCCGTATCGACCCGTCTCGGAGCACGTTCAATTTTCGTCTAGGATTTGTTTAAAAAAAAGGGCTTCGACAATTACAAAGGTGATGTACTCGTTTTCTTTTATCTCTACGTCTATTGCATCCCTCTAATAACGATATGATCGTGTTCGATTATTTGCCAATTTAATGTTATTTTCGTAACGCATGATTATCGCCATTTATAACACATTCTAGATACAAATTGTACTTTTAATTATACTGGTTCTACTGTGAATTACTGACCGATTTACGTGTGTTTTTATTTATATTTAGATACTGTATGTTCCCTTAGGGACTATATTCTATACAAGTTTGCAGAACTACATTTTAATTTATTGCAGCGCATCTCGTTATTGTTTGCGCATGAATATATTACTGTTTATTTACAGGGTGCCTCATCTGGGGGCCGGGGGACGTACGTTAGGTGGTTGATTGTTACATATTGCGCTTGGCATTGTGAATTAATTACTTGATACTAATGTTTGCCACGACATGTTTCTTTGTGTTTGTTGTAATGTGATACTATCGTTATACTCCTACTATATTTATTTGAACAGGGTGATTATGATTATTAATACTTGGCGGGGTGACTTGTTTCTAATAGGTACTGTGCTATATTTGATACCGATATATCTCGATTTGACGTAGCAGAGGCTGGCTAAAGTTCAGAACTGACATACGCAGAGGTATATATCTTTTATGTACTGTTTTTTGTTGTGTCTTTGAAAAGAGCCTTCTTGCTGATATTGCTAATCAATCCGATTAGTCGATCCCTGACATGTAGTGACCGAATATTGGTTTTGTGTCAGTTTTTGTTATGCCAATATGTTGACTGTCAACGCCTACGTAAATTCTGTATACCTCTTTTGTTTATGAGTATGTATGCGTGCGAGTTTGCTGTTTACTGTTTTAATGATTGTTTTTTTGTGTTATGTGTGTGAAATATTGATTCTTTAGGCATTCCAGCGGAGCCTGTGATTCAACATCGTATTGATTTACTTGACAACCATCATAATATGCATTCATGCCATTACAGATAACTAATTTTGCTATAAAGTTCAATATTAATTTGTTGGCTGGGTTTTTTCTTGGTCAGTTCTTTTTTTCCCAGCCTATTTTTATATTGGTACTCGGTGAACTACCATTTTCTAAATTTAATCTTGCAATGCTAATTATTTGGATTAAATCTCCGTTTTTAAAGCTTGTACTTGTTTTATTTGTATTCCTTACTTGACCCTCACTCCTACAAGCAACACATATCTTGTAGCGACTCTTAAAAACACAACATAGTAAGTGGTCCTGTTATTCAGGTTGGGTAGCTTTATCTAGACGATCACGTGCCATGGGGATCAGTTAGTTTGGGAGGGAAAGTTTTGAATTTTAAATCTTGAGTTGCGCAGTCTCTCGGGACTGGCCTGGGTACATCACAATACTTGGTCTTGTTCGAGAACTTACAGTCATAAATTTTGATTATTTTATTTTAACAAATGGAAATTACCGAGTTGCTTGATGTATGTACTGACTTGTTGTTTGTAATTAACATTTTCTGCGTGAATGAAGCAGTCACGGGGGTGGTAAAAACTGTAATCAAATTGAGTTACGATACCTAATTCCGTGATTGTCTTCGACATTCAACTGTAGACTCGAAACCCCGAACGGGGGGCGATGTTACCTATCTTGCGGGGGCGAGATTATGCTAATCAACACTTTTCGGTTTAGAATCTATGTGCGATAAATGAGCTACGACTCCATATATTTCTGCCGATAGTACTCTGTACTCTTAACCCTTTCTCAGAATTTAAGTACCTGATGCTCTTACCTTACCCTTTGTTCCCAAAAATTTGTTTTTAACCTTGAGTGCAGTGTAACCAACATTGTGTATATGCATTTGCTATCTTTGTTACTGCTTAAACTTTTACAAATTATTTTTTTAACTAAATTTTGGACTGTATTAATCAAAAACTGCGAGGATTTTCTACGTCCTACTCTTTTACCCTTGGCATTACTTTTGCGAGAGTACGACACCTTTTGGCTTTGCTTATATTAATGTACATCAACTAAATTTCCGGGCATTCACAATCTTAATAATAACGATCATTATTAAACAAACTTTTCACAATTTCAGTGTTTTATTTTACGTTCCTTCTCTACTGTGCTTCAGGTCATAGCGTTGTTTACAACCAACGTAAGGGGGCCCTGCCTTAGATGTTTGATCATATGCCACTTTTCAAATTTAAGCGGGATCTTGTTTATTTTTGGAGGGAATAGTCATTCGGGTGGCCATTTTTAAACGTTACCGGGTTGACTTTATTTCCGTGTTCTTGTAGTGTGAAGTTAGCCTAGAACCTAGGGGTTAAGTACACTACAGGCCAAAGGCGAAAAGGCTCTCTTTTGCATCTTTTTCATGTCCGTTTCTACTTCCTTATTAGGTGTTTTGTTAAAATACGCACAAACACAAACCTTATCTAAAGCGCACACATACGACCAATTAACTTTTTTACGATAGCCCAATTCTTATCGCAACGACCGACTTACAATGATCTTTTACAAAACAACAAATCAACGAATTCTAAAAAAAATAACTTTCAATAATGCTGATCCAAATCAATGTCTACGCAATATCAGTCACTAAATATAGAAAGTACCGCAATCCATTGGGGTCGTGTGTTAGAGAGAGAACGCATGATTTTTGCCCAAAAATGGCGGAATTTACCAGATTCTAGTAACTTTAATGTTAGGGATTGTTCCACCTGTTTGGAGATATCTGTATATATGTTTATAAAACATGACAGTACTATGAAGTTAGGTTATAAAAAATTACAGCTATTCAGATTTTGTCAATTTTTTTAAGTTGGCAGCAAATTTGACCAAAAATGGCGGATGATTGCGGTACTTTCTATATCTAGTAACTTTAAGTACCTCGTTCAGTTCCGATTTTTCGCTGTATCATGGTGTTTCCTCATCTCGTGCGTACTGCAGCTCTTGTATCTTAGCAACACGAGAAGAGAGGCCCTCTAATTAACTTTTCTTCCGTTTAGTCTGGTCTGGGGTGTGGTTGTGGTTTAATCTATTTTAACGAGCGTTCCATGGCAGATTTTAGCCGTTCCAAACAAATTGTCTTATGCGAATAATCTTCCTCGGAGTATTAGCTCGATAAAGCTTTGCGCTTAACGTTGACGGACTACGTAAAGGTTTATATACGCAAATTGTAAAATCTTTTATTTCAGCTACATTCATCATAATTTACAAAAATGGATTTAATTAAATTACATAAATAAATATCACAAAAATGAAAGTGTCCTATTACTAAGCCTGTAAAATTTGAGCGTACGGCAAAAATGATGCGGAGATCAAAGAACGCGCTTTGGCAGGTTTACATTTGGCTTAACGTTGGTCAGTCAAATTGAACTAAGTGGAACTACGATTGATCTACGGCTAGATAAGGGACCTATATATACAAAACTGGTCGTTCAGTTACTGGACACGATTCGTTCCCCGTCTTTCATCATCTCCGCGTGTCTGAGACGTTTTTGGGACTCTTGCTGTTGCTTAATGAACATACTGAGTCTGTCTAACAGAAACTGTTTGTCGTGCCCTTCGAGCACCAACTGATTTTTCAGAACTGTAACCATATGACGGTTTGCGGAGTTAACCGCCCAGTAGTAGTAGACTAGGAGTGTTAGTACTACGAACGCTGGTACAGCGAATCCGGCGGTACTCACGAAAAATAAAATGCTCTGCAGCCACATTGGGGAGGTTCCAAAAATGTTGACGATGTACGACCAAACCGTGGGGAGCGCGCGAAAGGGCCCGCACGACTCCGACGGGAGGAGCTCACCGATGCCGTACGCGATGGGGAGGACGGCGAAGATGTAGCTGATTAGTAGGACAATCATAAACATCGAGTTCGATCTTGAGGCACGGTAAATGGTGACGCTTGGGGTGCTGTTGATTAGACAAGCGAACTTCTTTATGTAAAACATGAGAAAGCACACGAGCGTCGCGATCGCGGGTAGCAGCGGCGAGTAAAAGCAACCCAACCAGCACAGCGTCTGCGAGTAGATCACGTCAAGCACGTGCTTCGGCAATTCGAAATCTTGGGAGCCGAGAAACTTCGCGGCCTTGTTAGTGCAATTCCTTGCGATGAGAGCGCGCGGAAAATTAACCAGGAACGTCAAAATCGCGTGCGTCGCAAAGTCCGTAAGCACCAATTTGTAGATCTGCTGCCCGACGAAAGACTCCCAACAGGTCGCGCAATCAGCGCTGACGCATGAATTGATATTTTCCACGTCACACGCTACTTTAATGTACAACGACGCGTAGAGCACGCACAAGGATGACAGTCTCAGGAAAACCGTCCGCACCAGAGTGATCCGTATAACATTCAAGGGGCTGTACTTTTCCAAATTAACTAAAAACGCGAACACAAACGGAACGATAACATTTAAAAATACGATGCTCAACGACGGCAGGAATTCGTAGAAAAGCATCTCGAAACTCGAACTGAACAGGGCATCTTTCAACGTATTCGCTACCTGCTTCGTGGAATAATCAAAGACAAAATAAATTGCCGCAGCCGAAGCGGCCAAAACGACGATCACGATCACGTTAACGAGTAGCCTGACCACGAACAGCTTAGTTCGTTCCTGTTGCGTACGGTTTTGTCGTTCCTCCTCGCGACGTTCAACCTCCAAGAAGCCCTTAATCTCGTGGAAGATCGCATTGTGTTTCATATTGGCGGTCTTCTCGTTTTGTATGCAAAAGTCCCAACCGCCGAAGATCAAATTGCAATATTGATAAAATTGGCCTTCGCCCTCGACTAATCGCTCCTTAAAGCCCTTCGCGGCCGACTTCACGATCGCGAACAGCGACAGCAAGAAGTAAATGACCGTAACCGAAATATACGCCAAAGGCAAGTCGTAATACAACGTAGCACCGTTCACCTTATAACTAAAAGTCTCATTCGAATACACGCCGTAAAACAAAATCGTCCGTTCCATTCGACCCGTACCCTGTACCAAATCAAGGACGATGTTACTGTCGGTCGTCTGATTGAAATAGACGCTCGAGCAGCAGTCGTCACATTGCTCGACGTTTTTAAAAATAATACTAGGTAAAATGACGAACAGAAAGACTAACGAAAAAATACTGAAATTTAAAAACAGGAGCCACTTTATAAATAAGAAATAGGCGACAACGCCGGTACCGCAGTTACCCTCGATCTTTTTCAAGTCGCCCTTCCACAGCTCCAATTTCGAATACGACTCCTTAATGGATATTCGAAATTTCTTCCACATCTTGCGTCTCTTCCACTTTAACTGTTCGAAGCCTTGCAGTCGTAAATTCGGCTCACTCTGGAACGTAAAAACGACCTTAATTACGTGTACAAGTTTAGATACTTTATTCTGTAACTTTTGAACTAGTAGGCCAATCTTGGAACTGTTTGAAATTATGGATTCTACAGGCCACATTCTATAAGCAAATTTTTTTCCGGGTCGATCTGAGGCAAATTTTTTTTCGGGCCTCAAAAAAAGGCAGTGTATACAAAAATCGACTGCACCAAAATTTCTCGGGAAAACACTTTTTGTTATTAATTTTGGTGCGTAGAATCCAAAACAATTCGTACTTTTTCGATCAGACTTCTCAATAAAAAGTTATAGACTAGAAACCAATTTCGAAAGAAAATTCAAAAGGCTGTAACTTTTGAACTAGTAGCCCAATCTTGGAACTGTTTGAAATTATGGATTCTACAGGTCACATTCTATAAGAAAATTTTTTTCCGGGTCGATCTGAGACAAATTTTTTTTCGGGCAAATATAAAAAAAGGTAACCCCATACAAAGTATAACTTGATTTTTTAAGTAGTATTAAGCCTTTTATCTAGTATACTATTTTAAATTTTTAATGTATTTACTTTTCAAAGTATTCGAATACTGTTTATAGTATTCGAATACCTTTGATAGTATTTGAATACTTTTCAATGTATCTGTATCTAGTATTCGCTTGTGCTGGACGCAAAAGTATTTAGTATTCAAATACCTTTGATTTGTGTAAAGTATTTACTATTTAGTATTCAATTACTTTTTCAAAGTATTCTGCCCAGCTCTGTATTATACGTTATGATTTCTCATACCAAAATTTCGGGACGGAACATTAAAACTTTGGTAAAGCCCCTGATATTAAAATTGATTGATGCATTCGCGAATCCAACTTAAAACCTAGCGATCAACTCCATTTATTTAACCTACTGTTTAATTCGCCAATATTGCAAGTTATAGTGTTAAAATGTCTTGAAAATAATTAACTTGAAGTGCGCCTGCGCCAACACATTAACCTTGCAGGTATTGCGCATTTATTATTTTATAGATGAAAAAAATGATCCAAAGGGAAGATGCGAATCGTCCCTCTAAATACATCTGTACATTTGACATACAACAATCATCCCCCCTTCAGACTTCTAAAGCGGTTTACAAACGCCAATTATAGACGTATAACTTTACGCTACATAGAAGTAATGACAATCAATGATGTGCGCATGCGCAAACTGCGCATCAATTTAATTATGCGATTTATTTATTTAAATTAACTAACAATAAATTTATAATAGTCTTGAAATCAATTGATTTATAAACTTAAAATATTAGTTATACGCAATTTATAACAGCGCCAACGATTTATTACCTCGGCATTGAAATTGGAACTGACCGAAACGCATTTCGATTTGCTTATATAGCAAACGCCTCTTCTTTCTTGAAAGTTCTCGAACGCTTCCGAGTATTCTAGAATGTTCTCGAACAAACACGTCATATTTCCCGGAAAGATTGCGTCACATCCGCCATTATCGCCGATCTTTAATGGCGTTTCCCTGTCTATCGGGATTTTTTTGAATATTCGCAACAATATGTTTTAATATTAACCACGGAAGTAAAAATCAAATGTGCACATGCGCAGACTGCTCAAAGTCAATTTTCTTATTTACAGACATTTTTTGAAATTTGCTATAGATGTTTCTAGAAAAAACAAAACATAGCGCGTGTAGTATAACTGTATAAACCAAATATGCGCATGACAGACATACAGACCAGTTAATATAAAGATTTTTTGACATTTTTCGATTTCTCTTGGCTGCTTTTGTTAATAAAATCTTTTACCCCACGCTGGGTTACCGGTTCCACAGATATGGTCTGGGACCTTTATTAATAGGACACCCTGTACATGCGCAGCGGTAACTTTACCATTTACAAAGATATTTCTTTGAGCTGAGCCATAAAAATGCGTGTGTCTTGCTTCTGTCCAGTGATCAGAGCTGGGCAGAATACTTTAAAAAAAGTATTTGAATACTAAATAGCAAATACTTTACACAAATCAAAGGTATTTGAATACTAAATACTTTTACGTCCAGCACAAGCGAATACTAAATACAGATACATTGAAAAGTATCCAAATACTTTACAAAATAAGTATTCAAATACTTTAGAATGTATTCGAATACTTTCAAATACTTTTCGATACTATCAAACGTATTCGAATACTATAAAAAGTATTCGAATACTTTGAAATGTATTTCATTATCTTACTTTGAAAAGTATTCGAATACAGTAAAAAGTATTCAAATACTTGTCACTCAAATATATTAAAAATTTAAAAATAAAATTTCTTATAGAATGTGGCCTGTAGAATCCATAATTTCAAACAGTTCCAAGATTGGGCTACTAGTTCAAAAGTTACAGCCCTTTGAATTTTTTTTCGAAATTGGTTTTCTAGTCTATAACTTTTGATTGAGAAGTCTAATCGAAAAAGTACGAATTGTTTTGGATTCTACGCACCAAAATTAATAAGAAAAGTTGTTTTCCCGAGAAATTTTGGAGTAGTCAATTTTTGGTAAAAAAGGAAGGTTAAGTATTCAAATACTATGCGAAGAATTCGAATACTTTACGAATTATCCAAATACTTTGCGAAGTATTCGAATACTAAATATTTGTGAAAGTATTTGAGTTACAAATACAAATACTGCTTCCATAAAAGTATTTAATTACAAAGTATTTGAATACTAAAAAGTATTTACAAAATCGAATACTGCCCAGCTCTGCCAGTGATGCAACGGAAGCGGAAGTGGAAACAGAAGATAACCTATTTTTTGCAGAAGCGGGGAAGCGAGCGCGAAGTGTAAATACTACTATAAATTTGAAAAAAAAACTAAAATAAACCCCAGAAACAAATCTAAAAAAGCAGCAGAGCACAGTGTCACCCTACAAGGTCATGACGGTGAGGTGAGGTGACGGACGGATGACAAAGTGAAACCAATAGCGATTTTTCACTTTGTGGAAAATATGCAAAAAATTGAGAGAAAAGAAAACAAACCTTTTTTCAAAGTAAAACAAACAATCTAAAGTAATGGCATTAGTCCCATGCACTAAAGTTTCTGAAAAACAAAAATAAAGAAGAAATGAAAATTTGGGACTCATAACTAAAAATGATGCTGTTCTTCTATAAGACTGCATTCTTTATTTCTTAATCTTTGATTTGATTGTATTAGTATAATTAAAAGTAAGAGACGAGTCCCAGGCAGATGGAGCCCACAGGGTTTCCATGGTACCAGTGGTCCAGTATGGAAAAGAGACAGAGATCACAGACCCAGTGTGACTAAGAAGTTAAGATAAATACAATGGGATGGAAGCAAATTTTAGTTGGGGCACCATGTAGGTATATATAATTGCATTAAATTGTGTTAGTGTTTCTTTCGAGGTTCCTTTATTCCTCCCAGAGTGGTATTTCATCTTTGACCCTGCTACAGGGAATTAACCCACTTATTACTACTAATCCTTATACAGTTTCATGAATTTGTTGGTGTACTATCAGATACATAGATGGGCCTCAATTGTGGATAACTAATAATAAGAAACAAATTAAATGAACTCAAAAAGCCGATTCGAATAAAATAAACCCGAATTTATCCATCAAGATAAAGCTAAAAAATCAGTTATGAATCAAGAACCCAACTTTTGAATAATGTCAGAATTCCTAGCTCCCGTACCTGTAATTTTGCCTTCATTTCTTTCTTTTGCGCCATCGAAATGGGTAAAGCCTTGATCTGCATAATTTCCTCCCAAGTTCTTTGTTCGTTGGATAAATTCTCCGACAAATCCGGCAGCATAGACACCTGTATATCGGCCGTGGTAGACGCCCTACGATTAGTGGTCGAGCCACGTCGCGATCTCAACGTGGTATGTGTATGTCGACCGAACGTCTTCGTATCACCTCTGATACGCTTTATCGTAGCTAAAAGCTGTCAGTAACGCATTGAAATTATATCGCTCGCTTTATACTAACCGGCTACCGCGCGATTCTGTTTGCTCGGTAAAAGTGTGGTCAGGTGCCTCGGATCGCGCTGTAGCACATCGAAATCGGTGTCGGTGGACGGGTAACTTTCTTGGTAAAACTCCGCTCCGGCTTCTTCCCAACCCTGAGTACGCGGAGTTTTCTTTTTACTGCGGTCGCCTCCTGACATCGCGACGCCGAGTTAAGCACCTAAATGTAAAGAAGGCGAATAGTGTACGCCCAAAAAATGCATTTTTAACGCCACGCAAAAAATCTTACTTACGCTCTTTCATATTTAACATGAATTTTTGGGAAACCGAGATTCATTTAATAACAAGTTTCCATACTTAATCAACAATTTATTGACACAATTGTTTATTTTTTGACAGCTGTCAGGCAAAGCCATAATCACAATACAAAAAAGATTGAATTAAGACAGTAGGATTTACAAGGGGGAAATTAATGGATTCTAGGAAGGGGCACTTAGGGTTGGTTTCTTCAACGTTACAGAGAAATATCTAACTGTTGTATAACGTTAACCAGAGGCTTTAATAGAAAAAAGAAGTCTTTTCATGGCGTGATGGCAATCAGTACAAATTGCTGTATGGGTACATTCCAACTCTTGGTAATGCCATAGAGAGTAAAGGCAGGAGTAAATTTTATCACTGTTAGGAGGCACTGCACTGCAGCAGAGAGCTCGATGTGACATCCTGAAGGCCATATCATAAGAGACGACTGACCTGCGGAGGTGGCAAACAAACAACACATTACCACTACAGCGGCGAGCAGGATCAGACATTGCCAGACTCTAATATACTAGACCACGAACGAATCCGAAACGCTTGGTGAAGCCCGACCTCGACCAATTAGAAAAGCACCAACCCAATATGACGATAATGGTAAGTTACTTGGCCTTTGTGTTTATAGCAGAAATGTAGATAGACTTACATTAACAAGATGCCCAACGTAAGCCGCATTGGTGCTCTCCAGATGGCGCATAGAGCTCTCCGCCTAAAAATTGCATGGTGGCCAGCTCTCAAAAATGTGTGCATCGTCGAATTGTTTGCTGTATGTAATTTCCCAGGTTGTTTTTAACGAAAGATTTTTATTGCACGGCGCCTGGGGTGTTTTAAGATTCATGGAGGAAAGGAACGCGTCTTCGTTAAAAAAGCCGAGGTTCGATTTTTACGCGGACGAAAACGTCTTTGTTAATTGAGTTCGTGTATTTGTGTGAGCAATGCCGGGGTTTTTGTCCCGAAGAAGGTTTCCCTGACATCACCCGATTATATGCGTAATACATTTTACATGTTCTCGTCTTTTCTTATGCGCAAAATAATGTTTTTATTCAATTTCCTTTTCCATTTGTATACAAAAAGAGTCGCCAGTTTTAGCACAAACCGAAAACCAGATTCGAAAGTGCCGCGTAACGTCCGTCGTTTTGACATGAAAGAATGGTTTCCAATGATGTAGTGTTCAATGGGAGCGCTTTTGTAGTCTTTTCTATTTTATTCATTCGAACTGAAGTACATACATAAATATGGAAGAAAACATGAAATATATACATGATAATTACAACTTTATACACATATAATATTAAAAAGCTGCCTTTGTGAATAAAAACCCAAGAGCAAACTATTATTCAATTTTAATATTGAAGAACTAATTCGTTGTTAAATTATTTCTACAAATTAATAAAGCAAGTTCGTATAAATATTAACAAAGGAGACAACACTAAACATCAACCTTTAAATACAGGTTTTTTTAAAGCCCTCCAATATCCTTGTTCATTGTACACAATCGATAAGCGCTCCTGTGGTAATTCGCCAACGTGTCTGGTGCCAAATGTCAAATAAGAAATGATATTATTGTTACCCTGCATGTTCGAACCGCTCAAATGTTAAGTCAGTGCAATGAGGAGGTTACTTGCAAACACACTGTATGTAGATTTACATTTAACAAGTTTACATTTATAATCTAATTTGAAAAAACCTATACTAAAGCATCCGATAAAACAGACGTACAAGTTCACATTTATTATCCAAAAAAAGAAACACAAAAGGCAAACAGTAAATAAACAGGCGGTAGTCCTTAGAAATGCGTTATCGTGGACCAGTGAAGACCTCAGTTTGGCTGCGCAAGCTTGCTTTCTTTTCTTTATTTATTATGAAAACATACAGGGTGCGTCACCTAAAGAACATTCTCGTTTAATGTAAATTGGTCGGTTTTCGTCAACTACACTGTGAACAGGGAAAGTAAAGCCGGGCGCGCAGTGTTGAAATTTCGATTGCGAAATGGACGCGGGTAGTTGAAATGACATTATATCATAGAAATCACAGCACTAAAAGAAGGCGATTTACGTGGCGTACCCCATATTACTATATGAGACGGTGAAATCCCTACAATAAATTAGACTGATAGTGACACAAAGCTGTTGTATTGTGTTATGTTCCTCTTCAAAATATCGGCGCACAGTCCCAAGACCCGTTCAAACCTGAAACGAGAAGTGAAAGCATTACATTTCTCTGTTAGGAGTCCAATTTTAAACAAAACTACTAATTCATATTTTGTTAAAGGTTCAACAATTTGTTACTTATTTGTTGCTGATTTCTGTCGCCAACAATGGCCTGTACCGTCAGTCGTCAGGAATCCGAATCAAACAATATCTCGATGATGTTGGTATGTCGGTCGGTCTGTACTTTCATTTCCGGTTGAACCGATTGGAACCAAATTTGGTACACGCATTCTTAGACATAAAAGGAAAGAATTGCGCATGCCCAGGTGTGCGGATGGTGTCTGTGCGAACTATAGCAAATTTTTTTTCAATGTTTTCGCTCCCAACTCCCATAATTAGTCAGAAAGGTAGGTAATTAAATCATATAAAGCTTTTATGCCACTCAGGGGTATAATCTGAGGCGTTTCAGTGCAGGTTGCCTACCCATTTGGGTACTGCTAAGGAGTTACGTCATTTACGGTTTATACAACTGGACTATCTAACCTCTCGCCATGAACAAAACAGGCAAACTGCTAATTAGGGATAAAAAGGAATGGAGAGGATTAACCCCTGACTCCACTCTCAACCCCAATACCGACTCTAAATCCAGTGTCTGGCTTGCTGCCAACCTTTTATATCTTTTATGGAGGGATCAGGTAATTAATTAGGGTTTGTTGTAAAATGTAACTAGATACTAGACCATAAAAAATTTCCCTGTACTGGGTGACCCAATAAGACTGTTCCTCGGCCATATCTCGAGAACCGGGGTAAAAAAAATTATTCGGTAAATCGATCATGAAGAATCGCTGGAAAATATTTTCAAGATCAAAAATTGACCAACAGAGGACGTAACTGCCATCTTAAATTTTAAAATTGCATTTTCTTTCAATTTCGCATAAAAAAACTTAACAAATTTTTTTTTACATTTTTAAAGAGAACCAGTTTATCTATCATTTTCGTAAAAACAAACTCATTTATTTCAAAAACAAAGATGGTGTGGGGCGTTCAATTGTTTTTGCAATGACCAGCTTTAACTTCTTAACCGTTTAACCGATTTTAACAAATTTGGTATGGTTGAAATCAGCATTCCTTGGGCAATGAGAATCAACCAAAATATAGTTCATTTAGTTGAATCCTTCTCCGCCAGGGGGCTAGTTTTGATACTATGACCCAAAATTAAAAAAATCAAACGGAATGACATAAAAGTAGCCAAATAACATCCAAAGAGGCCAGTGAAAACCGTTTTTCAAAATCTCGTTCCTAACCTCGAATATTGGGAAAATGAGATTAATTAATAAATAAAAATGCTTAAATTGTATTTTAAATTTACTTTTTACGTATTTTTGGTATTTGTCGATGGCGCGAAAGAAAAGCACCCTACATTTTTAGGTAGGCCTTGGAAAATTAAACAAATGAAACACTATGCATTATAAAATAATAACAACTGTATTTTGTAAATTATTCTGCTGTGTTTTACATTCAGAAAGTGCAGTTTTTTGAATTTGTAATCTTTTCTAAAATGCCGATTTTTAACCAAGAAGCATTTAATATGCTGGCGATATATTTTGAGTATCATCGCTGCCCACATCTTCTATTTGCGCTATCCGAATCAACCACAAACCATCGCCGCCAGCATATTAAATGCTTCTTGGTTTGAAATCGGCATTTGAGAAAAGATTACAAATTAAAAAAACTGCACTTTCTGAATGTAAACACAGCAGAATAATTTACAAATTACGACTGTTATTATTTTATAATGCATCGTGTTTCATTTGTTTAATTTTCCGAGACCTACCTAAAAGTGTAGGGTTCCAAACAATCTTTCGCGCCATCACCAAATACCGGAAATACGTAAAAATTTTTATTTAAAATACAATTTAAGCATTTTTATTAATTAATTAATTAAGCTCATTTTACCAATATTTGGGCTTAGGACCGAGATTTTCAAAAACGTCAAAGTCATATGATTCCATTTGATTTTTTTAGGATTTTGGATCATAGTGTCAAAACTAGCCCCCTGGCGGAGAAGGATTCAACTATATTTTGGTTGATTCTTATTGCCCAAGGAATGCTCAAATCGTTAAGAAGTTAAAGCAGGTTATTGCAAAAACAAATGAACGCCCCATGGCATCTTTGTTTTTGAAATAACTGAGTTTTTGTTTTTACGAAAATGGTAGATAAACTGGTTCTCTTTAAAAATGTGAAAAACGAATGTTTAGTTTATTATGAGAAATTAAAAGAAAATGCAATTTTAAAATTTAAGATGGCAGTTACGCCCTCTGGTGGTCATTTTTAGAACTTGAAAATAGTTTTCAGCCATTCTTCATAACCGATTAACCCAATAATTTTTTTTACCCTTGTCATACGACGAACGGTTCCCGAGATATGGCCGAGGAACAGTCTTATTGGGTCACCCGGTACCTAGTCCTAGTGTAAAACTTTAAAAGCGCCTGTTCGGCCTGCAGAACCACACTGGCGATAGAACGAAGGCACGAAATATACAGTGTCCTTTCAACTAGCGACGCTTTGAAGCAGTACGCCCTTCAGGCTGCCTACCAGGCCAGTTTCATCTGAGGTACCTGCCTTCAGCTTATTATCTGTTCACAATCCCAGATATGTGTATAACAGACAAATAAATACCTTGAAACTTTATTCCAGAACAGAGAGATTTTCGTGCTGAATTTAGGTGAAAACTCGGATTCTATTATCTGTTTTGATTTCCATGCTCAGCAATTACTACCCGATCTATTCCAGTGGTATCGCATTTTTATGTTTCATGTTGGAGAAGTGGCGTTTGGCGACTACCGCCGTGATTGGCGATTTACCGGAAAATTCTTAAAGAATTTATGGTATAATAGAAGTGGTGTTTCCTTAAATACTAGACACAACAAGGGAGCTGCTAATTTCGTGACGGTTCAAGAGCGTGCACATCTTTTTACGCTAATTTTCGGCCAGTCGGCCCTATTTGTGTAGTTGAAGATGCAGACATGTCAAAAGCAGCGCGTGCGCATGCGCAAGCGCAAATTTAATTTTTGTAAAATGTTAACTTTGTGTACTTCTATAAAAGCAAATTGAACATCCATGTCAAAAATTCGATTAGGTACTTCGCTCAATAAAAGGCGAAGCGATGGTACCGTGCGGAGTTTTGAAGAAACTATTTTTTTAAGTGGGGGGGTTCGGCCTAGGCTGCTCGACCAGGTCATTTATTTTGTGAGTTGCGATTACCAGGTCTATAATCTTATATTTGAATGTCATTTAATTAACTTATATACAGCGTGTTCCATTTATCTTGAGGCAGTCAATTATTTCAGAAACTAGCAGGGATATAAAAAAATTATTTACATTTCTTACCATGGAGGGGTTTAATGATGCTATGCACATTTTCACACAACAGTTTCAAATAGAAATCTACACTTTTTACTGAATATTTTTATTCTACATTGGAAAATAATACACTTTCTTGGGAAACGTGCTTTCCCTACTTACCACTTTGTTGAAGACACTCTTTCAAAAGAGCGGTTTTCTGGTTCTGTCAAGAATTGGGCACTTTTATTCAAACAAGTGATGCAGGTAAGGTGGTTTAGCAACAAATAAGTAACATGATATACTTTTCGTTACTATGTATTTTGCTCGGACTGCTAGTTTAAGTAAAATAAATTCAAGGTATCTTACCGCGCCCTATCCAGCTTGACACATTTCAGTGGAGCAGTAGCAACGACGGTTGCGGCACGCGGTCTGTCGAGCAACAAAGCGATCTCCCCGAAGTAATCGCCCGGACCTAACCTTCCCACTTCGGTGGCGTCCTCACCTTCGGCCCTATTTTGCATAACTAAAGCCTGGCCTTCGACTATAATGTAAAAGTCATCGCCGGGCTCGCCCTGCCGCACGATCGTCTCCTTATCCTCGAAGCTGGCCGGCTCCAGCGCGTCGGCGACGGTGAGACGTTCCCACTTGTCCAAATTTTCGAGAATCGACACCCTCGACAGGAACTCCTCGTACATTTTTCGTTTCCTTATCGTTGAGCCCATTAGAATGCGCCGATACGAATCTCTATCGATGCCCCATAATTTAACGTCAGTCTTTGCTTTAACCGTCGCGGCTCTCGGCGTACCGTAGATTAATGCCAGCTCGCCGAAGCTGCCCGCTTCACTAATCGTCGTTACCAATTCGTTATTGATGTACACCTAAAATTGCACAATTCACATTTTTTAGATTTCGCTTTTAATGGGGATATTCTATTACATTAATGAACTCATAATGAGCAGTTTAGGATTGGTAGATATTACCCAATAAAAAATTGTAAAATAATTCGCCATTGTGGGCGTGGAAAACAGGTCAATAGGCATCATTCAGAGATGATAAAAATTAACAGATGAATTCTCTCAGTAATCGAGGCAGAGTTGAACTGGGTCACTGGGTCAACTGGGTCACTAAATTAAACTGGGTCGCTGGGTCACGTCATACACTTTTCAGTTAGACCCAGTTTGATCCAGTGACCCAGTTTGACCCAGTGACCCAACTTGACCCAGCGACCCAATTTCACCCGGGGACCCAATTCGACCCAGTCACCTAGTTTGATCGAATAACGCAGTTAAGTCAGTGCCCTCGGTTCAAGTGTACAGATTATGAAATAAATGAAATGCTGGTTTGTTGAAAATAATACTTGATTGCTTGACAACTGCCATTTCTGTGATGTTTGCTTTAATACTGCCGTAAAAAACTTTTCATGTCCCGAATTGTATTAGAATACTGTTATTTCTTTGCTTCAGGGCTTACCAGTTTGCTTACAGGTGTTCATTCACATTTAATTTTTTAGCGCATTTCCACAAAAATAAAAAAAAATGCGCTATTGTGGCCACTTTGTCCGTCCGTCCGTCCGTCCGCTCGTTTTGCGACGCTACTAGTTTTTTATCTTAAGAGCTATTGTTCTACTTTTTTCGCTATTTGGTTCGTTATGGTGTCGAGTCTTGTACCAAGGAAGGAAATTTTTCTGTACCGCTTACAAAAAAAGTTATTGTAAAAAAAAACAAAAAACCGTTTTTTACATGTTCCATAATTTTACACTTTTGCCGTTTATTAACGATCCTAGAGATCGTTTATAATTTTGCATTGCTATCTGTCGTCTGCATGCTGGTCTGTCCGTCTGTTCCTTTGTCTGTCTGTTCATCTATCTGTCCGTGTGAACAATAACTTTGTTTATAAATGTTCGATCGCTTTTACATCTCCGTTAGTTATGAACTGAATTGCATGAAATTCAATATGGGCATAGCTTTAGCCATATAATACGCAATGCCCAAAGTTGAATCGAATCGATTCAAAATTCACAGTGCCCTTTTCGCATCTCGACCATTTATAAACCGAATTGCAAACTTTTTTTACTTATAAAAGTATTTGAATGAAATTTGATACATAGGCACTTGGAATAAAGGAAAATCAAACGCCAATTTCAAAATTTGGTTTTGCGCATGCGCAGTGCCAACTTTTTATTTATGGAAGAATTTAAATGAAATTTGATACATAGGCACTTGGAATAAAGGAAAATCTAGCGCCAGTTTCAAAATTTTATTTTGCGCATGCGCAGTGCCAACTTTTTTTATCTATGGAAGCATTTAAGTGAAATTTGATACTTTAGGCGCTTGGAACAAAGGAAAATCTAACATTAGTTTCAAAATTTAGGTTTGCGCATGCGCAGTTCCAACTTTCTTATTTAGAAAAGCATTGAAATAAAATTCTTCTCATAAACTGAAATTGAAGTAGCACGTCAAAAATGGATTGCCCATGTGCAACGTTATCTTTCATATTTGTGGCCGGATTTTTACGATTTTAACAGAAGTTGCATCTTACAAATGGAAAATGAATGCAAGTGGAAATGCGCTTTATGTAAATCGTTTACGATTACTTTTTAACTTGTTTCTACTAGTTAGCTTAATCCAAATAAATCTTTTCTCTAAATACTTTCATTGACTACTTGACTACAAACTATAAACAAATGCATTTGATTTTTTTAGGTATTAGTTCTCTTGAATGAAATTGGGCTACGTGCTTGTTGCCGAATATTATTAAAGAAGTTTTTTTTTAAATTAAAAGTTACTTGAAATTGTTTTGGATACCTAACAATAATTTAATTACTGAGCCACCGGGTCAAGACGGGTCACTGAGTAAAGCTGGGTCACTGGGTCAAGCTGGGTCACCGGGTCAAACTGGGTCACCGGGTCAACTGGGTCACCGGGTCACTGGGTCAGTAAACTAACTGGGTCACCGGATCACTGGGTCACTCTATGCTTGACCCAGTCCAACTCTGAATCGAGGAGAAATCGCAAGATTCCAATTGGAAGGGAATTTAGATTTTCGGTATGAAAATTTGGTTCGAGAAGCTAAATTTTATACCATAATTTCAATTATCAATCTGCCAAATTCAAGGGTTCACTTATTGTTGGATATTTTTTCTTTCATAAAAAAGGTGAATAAAAAAGTTGTTCAGGTGTGTATGCATATTCTCCAGTCTCCCTTCTCTGTACCTACCTCGACTTCTCCTTGATCGATGACATAAAAATTATCCCCCTCGTCACCCTGTTGTATAATTGGTTCGCCGGGCAGGCAGTTGACGGGGAACATGGCGTCGAAAATGTCCGACCGCTCGTTCTCGTCCAAATGCGAGAAGAGCACGTTCTTCGCGATAGCCTTCGACAGTGCGGCCATCGTCTTGTAGTCCTTCGGCACGACCTTTTTCACGTAGCTCGTCGCGTCCTCCTCCGTAACGGGCTCGGCGGAGATTCCGCCGCGCCGCCTGACCGGCTGCTGCGTGTGGGCGGGCAGCGGCGACAGGTCCTCCGTGTCCTCGGGAGAGACAGCCTGCTGTTTGGCATCTAACGCCTGCTCCTGTAAACAAACGACGTTGTTTAGCGAGGAATAAATTGTGCGCGATAATTAATTAAATTAAAGTTAAATTGCCCCGTTCAATCCACTCCATTAGGGTCTAATCACATTTTGTCTCCGGTACTGAAAATTTGATGTTTGTAACATTATTAAATCAGTTCTGTATACATTTTTGGGCAATTAGAAGTTTATTTCTGGCGGGGCAATATCAAAGAGACGTCAATTTGTAGCAAATTAAGTTTGAGCGTTCGTAGAGAGCGGTTAAAAGCAATTTCTTTTTTTTTGCTTGTGCACATAGTAATGTCACGTACCTAAAGCAATAATTAACACCTGTTTGTTAAATATGACGTAAACAGTTGGCTACTTCGAATACTAAAAACCAAAAGTAGGCAGTAGCACGTAGAAAAAGAGTATGTGGTTGAGGATTTAACCTTACCCCTTTTGATTATTCTTCCAAACTTCGCGTTCTGTATTTATTTTGTTTCTTGCATTTGTTTATGTTTCAATTTTGAAGTGCTGGGGTGGTGCGTTGCAACTGAATTTTTGTAGGTAAGTAGAAACAAACAGAAAAAGCAACCGATTCTTAAATTCGACTGAAACATTCACATTAAACGGCGTAAGAAAAATCTCAAGCATTCTATAAACTGCGACACACCAAAAACCTCCACCACAAAAAAAGCAACGATCAACGTCTTCCATTGCTATTTAAAACCATTTTTCTCTTTTTCTCTCCTCCCTTCCTAGCAAATTAAAGCGTCGTCGATCGATAAAATGCACACGTGTTAACTTACGCGAAAGACAAGATATGCGGTCACTACGCCACCCACAAAACACCTGTCCAGTTAGATCAAAACAAATCAAAATTGAAACTTAGAATTTTATAATCGCCCCTCGTACACATCCGACATCTTCTATAAGAAAAATTCCAATATTGACTACACATTTCTCAATTTGAGAGACTCGGTGGCTTCGCTCAACGAAAATGCCAAAGAATTAACTACACAAATTTTCATTAACACCTGACGCAATTCTTCGACACGACAAGAAAAATCTGACGCAGACTTAATTAGGTAATTGGCAATAAGGAAAATTTATTCCGAAACACATGAAACAATTAAAACAAAACCCTTGCAAGAAAGAGAAGCTTACAAAGCTTGTTGAGATATAATTCCCCGCACGCAGAAGGTCGATTATTAAAAAATCAAAAAATTTTAAACTACTTACAATTTTTTAAAAAAAATCTAATTTCAATAAACTTTGCAGCTTTTCACTTGTCACTATGCATTTTTCTAATAATATTTGGGTCCATAAAGACTATTTTGACACGTGATAACACTCAAAATATGTAAAGTAGAGATGAATAGCACACCAAACGCTACGTTGATTAAAATATTTTATGAAATAGATAATCTTTGCACTTTAAAATTATGGAATTGCAAAGTGACAAGTGAAAATTCGCAAAGTTGGTTTATGAAATATGCCCCTGGTCGTACAAAGTTTGCGATATGAACATACTAAACTCGCACAAACGCTAACAGCTTATGAATTTCATTTGTTCTTGATAACAGTGAACATGATAACAAAATCTGGGATCATGAACAAATTCTCGGTGGCTGTTCGGACGGCAGAATCTTTTAACTTTCACTAAGCAGAGAACCCACACCGTAAGTTTTTCTGAATACGGACAAACCGTTTCAGAAACTTTCCACAAACTTCACGATAACAAAACTCTTTTATTAATACTGCTTAACTTCTACACATTTTACTTCGAAACCGGCAACAAAACAACTAGGGTGGACTGCCCGAATAAAAATAGCGTAAAGAAACGTACACGCTTTTGATTCCGGTCTTTAAGGAATTACCATTTCCACTATAAAACGCAGAGATAACAAAACTTCTTATCGCAACGACCGGAGATAACAAGAAATAAACTTTTACAAAAAATTACACGTGAAGAATAAAGTAAATGAGTAATAAAATAAACAAATTAAAAAACGATTATTTAAACAAAATTACACATAAATAAATAAATAATTTATATAAATAAAAATGAATGTTTGATGTATGTATGCTCCTCATATCTACCTAAGTGGATGACGTGATTGCCATGGAACTTTGCCAAATGGTTGGACGTATGGCCGTGGAGGGTTCTATATAAATAATCGATATGCGTTCGCTGGGTAGTGCGAGGTGAGGAGGCGCAGCCGCCAAAACAGAACGTATAAGAGAACATTGACTGATAGGTGGTATATGTAGTGGACCGGGTGCGCGGGGCGAGGCGACGTAGCCGCCGAAACCGAGTGTATGTCCCATTCAAGAAAACAAGGTGTCCTAGGGCTGCGAGTTCTAAATAAAATCAAAATAACTTGAAATTAAAATATGATCGAAATTGTACCAAATAACAATGTTTCGTTTCGGAGAAATCATCAACTCAATTTGTTTATATGGCCGGCAAAAAAAGAAAAGTTAGAAACTGTTGGTTTCAACAGGATGGTGCAACTGTACAGAACGCATAACGCCCTAATCGGTAAAATTTATCGGAAACTGGATTTCTCCAGTAGGATTTTCTGGTGTATCAATTTTGTATTATTAATTCATATTCAGGGCATTTAAAAGTGGTGAACATTTACGAGAAAAAAATAATGACGACCAACTACGTAGTTCTACTGGCAATTTGTGCACGTTTAGCAGCTTGGAAGTGGAAGGATGATGGTCTCATATTTGTAGCTGCCTTTTGGTTCAACAGGTTTGAGTGTTGTGCCGTGTGAAGTAGCGGTGAAAAATGTTTAATGAAGAAAATTGCGTGTATAGATACAACGATTGACGTACGTCGAATAAAAGTAAAACCACCACCAAACAAGCTTCGTTTCCGGTTTGCTTCGTCTATTTAATTCATTCCTCCTTCTTTAACAAATTATTGCGTCATCTTCGAATACAGAACACCTATGTTTTATTATCTTGAAACAAATAGCAAATTTCTTATCGCAATGACCGGATTTAAATGAGATAACTTTAACAAAACATGATTTCTAAATGTCCTACTAGGCGATTATCTAAACAAAATTAAGCAACAAATAATTCTTAAACAAAATCGCATCGACTGCAATTTAAATATGTACCATGATGGAGATTGCGTTCAATCCCAAATTAACGACCACAGTTACGCATACAAAAACACGATCTACTGCGGGAACTTTTATGAAGTGTCGAATTTTTTTTTCTAATTGAGTTTGTCTACTGTGGTCAGAAGCACTCCTCTCCTCTAAGTGTGCAAAGAAGTGCAACTCCGTTTTGAATAAATTCAGCTGCTATCAGTGTAATTACGCTGCAATTAATAGCGCCACCTATTACGAAAAGCATAACTTTAAGCGACGTATCTTAAAACATGTCACATTGAGGGATATTACCGGCAGCCTGAGCGTAATGCCACAAACAGTAAGACAAATTTTAATCGTCATTTATTAAAGCACGACACATTGAAAAGTATTTATTGTTTGCTAGGTGGTGGGTAATGCCACGAATAGTAAAGCTGTTTGAAAGCATAATCGACGTAAGGGAATTGTCGGCGAGTTGCACGAATGCGGTAGGAATTGAATGATAAATTGCTACTTCAAGACAGCCTCGAGTTCTTAAGAAAAAGGCTGTCAGGTAGGATAAAATTAAGGGTTTTGGCGTATTTGCCCGTTTCAACTACTTTTTTAACGATCAGAAACAATGCGTTCACATTTCTGCACCAAAAAAATCACGTCTTTTTAAGATAAAACATCGCAACCAACCTTCTTTCTTTGTCTGTTAATATCGACCTATAAAAAAATGCGAACTTTCGGTAGGTATTGACTTTTAATTTTCGCTGAGGCCATACAAAATCTTTATAACTTGGAAAGTCGGCTGCTTTTTACACGAATCGACGACGTCCTCAATTCAAGCGGTAACAAACGGTTCTAACCACCCACCGCATGAATCCCTTTACAGGAGATTCCCGGAGCGATAAACGTTGCATGTGTACTCCACACTAAGAAAAACTACGCGTCAACTTTCTTATCAACCCATCTACAAAATAAATATTTAGCGAACACATTGCAGCGATCCATCCAATCCAAATATAAACCCACCGCGACGGCCTTGAACTTTAATTAATCACCCTGGCAATTATAAATTTTCATCGCCCGAATGCATTAACATAAAAAACCGCACGCAAAAAGATCGACCCTTCCACTATCCAAAAGGGCGTTTATAAAAATGTGAACGCTTCGCTAACAAGAATATACTTTAACGAGAATAAATGATTGAGCAATTTACGTGTAAAGCGTGCGAAGACTTACACTTGAAAAATCTTTGCTCATCAGAACGTCCTTCCACATCAATGCCTTACGTAAACAGCTAAGTCGACAATTTTTCATTTTGTATAAAAAGTAGATCGAGACTCATCCGCAGAAATTGTGGAGGCGGTTGGGATTACTCTCAAATTATTATTTTGATTTCAAAATTGGGTTTTACAAATTTCGAAATTCATCAAGTTTGCGTTCTTTGTGACGAATTTTAATTACCAACTTTGCCTACACATTTCTGAACGTTTTCAAAGTGGACACACCCATCAGTCCGTTTCCGTCTGTTCGTCCCTGTCTCTGTCCACGTAGTCGAGTGAAGAGTGCTATTAACTGAAAAGATTTATGCATCAAGGGTATTAAGGCGATAATTATGCCGAGATTATAAGTCGCCCTAGGGTTAAATATCGACTAATGCCTGAGGTGCATATATAATTTTATTACTTACTTTCACAAATATTTAGTATTCGAATACTTCGCATAGTATTTGAATACTTAACCTTCCTTTTTTACCAAAAATCGACCACACCAAAATTTCTCGGGAAAACACTGTTTCTTATTAATTTGGGTGCGTAGAATCCAAAACAATTCGCACTTTTTCGATTAGACTTCTCAATCAAAAGTTACAGACTAGAAACCAATTTCGAAAAAAAATTCTAAGGGCTGTAACTTCATAGC